GAATTAGGCAACCTGCTTATTTGTCGCTAAGTGGTTTACTCTTGCACCAACTTTTGGAGCCGCGGTAAGTACAGGAAACTGTTAGTGTCCAATTAAGACCCTAACTCTCTCACCATCAACAGTCCAATGGGATCAGACACTCCAATACTCCAGCTCACCAGCTACGATACGGGCACGAAATGCGAGCCTCTCGTACACCCATACGCTGGAATTAAAAGCTGTGATGAGTCGGCCCCCATTTCTCAAAGTCGCCGTATCGAATCGGAATCGTTGATAACTCGAATCAGAGAGAAACAGGGGAACAGAAATACTCGAAAAAAAAAGCGAAGAGTAATTACAGAAACGGGCAACATCGGAATTTTTGAAACTCCAAATATGGATCCAGTCTCGAACAAGAATGACACGATCCGGCGTTGTCTGCGGCGCAAGAGGTCATCGATGACTTCAACGCAGTATTACCCTGATTTCTGCCAAAGCTGCGGGTACCAACATTTGACATGGCCTGGAAGTGGTTCGGGATTTTGAAACAGCCAAAGTTAATTCTAAGTACGACAAACCCTATGGGGCGCAATGCAAGGAATTGGCAAGGCAGACACACTTACAGTTATTGAGGACGTACAATTTCCACGCAACAGGGAATTGGAAGCACGCAGCCAAGATTATCACGGTCACTAGGAACGCGTTGCAAGGAAGTCAAGTTTTGTGTGAATCGACAGGTAGGATATGAATTCACCAATGGTATATGTACATGGAAAGTCATCAAACCCGCCTCCATCTAAAATAGACACAAACGCCAAAACAACCCAAGCCTGCTCGGTAAGATAGCATGGCAAACCCCAACTCCGGCCCGTAATTTTCATTGCTCAGTTCCCATCATAAAGACTTCCTTTTTTTTTCCCCTTCCATTCTCATTAAACGGTAGAGAAACCATTTAGTTCTTAGACCACCAGTCGCCCTGGTCGTGCATGGCCTGGGCAACCTTGACGAAACCAGCAATGTTGGAGCCGGCAACGAGGGAAGGAAGCTCGCCCTCAGCAGCCTCGACGTAGGTCTTGGCAGTGTTGAGACCGTTGAAGAAGGCGTTCTTCATGATGTCCTTGAGCTTCTCGTCAACCTCAGCCTGAGTCCAGTTGAGGCGCTGGCTGTTCTGAGCCATCTCGAGACCGGAAACGGCAACACCACCACAGTTGGCGGCCTTGCCGGGGGCGTACCAGACGGCCTCGCCCTTCTTCTCCTTGCGGTTGTTCTCGAAGACCTCGATGGCCTCGAGAGTGCAGCCCATGTTGGAACCCTCGGCGACGAACTTGCAGCCGGCGGCAAGGAGACCCTCAGCCTCCTCCTTGGAGACCTCGTTCTGGGTAGCGCAAGGAAGAGCGATGTCAACCTTGCCAACGTGAAGCCAGGGGCGGGCGCCCTCGATCCACTTGACGTGGCCAGCGTGCTGGAAGGTGGTAAGAGACTGACGGGCCTCCTTGATGGCCATGATGGCGTTGATGTCCTCAACAGTGATGCCGGACTCGCCAGTGGCGACAAGGGCACCCTTGGAGTCGGAGAGGGAGACAACGGTGGCGCCTAGCTCAATGAGCTTGAGGGCGGCGTACTGGGCGACGTTGCCAGAACCGGAGAGGGCAACGCGCTTGCCAGCGTAGGAGCCGGCGCCAGAGTACTCGAGCATGTGGCCGACGTAGTAGACGAGACCGTAACCAGTGGCCTCAGGGCGAATGAGCGAACCACCCCAGGAGAGGCCCTTGCCAGTAAGGACACCCTCGAAACGGTTCGCAGCCTTGCGGTAGGCACCGAACATGTAACCGATCTCGCGGCCACCAACACCAATATCACCAGCGGGAACATCGGTATCGGCACCAATGTGCTTGTGAAGCTCGGCCATGAAAGCGCAGCAGAAGCGACGGATCTCAGCGTCGCTCTTGCCCTTGGGGTCGAAGTCGGCACCACCCTTGCCACCACCCATGCTCACTAGAGACGCCGAGTCAGCAAATCTGGTATTCTGGTTTTGTATATCTGTTCGGTCACTTACGGCCAGTAAGGGCATTCTTGAAGATCTGCTCGAAACCGAGGAACTTGAGAATGGAAAGGTTGACGGAGGGATGGAGACGGAGACCACCCTTGTAGGGACCGAGGGCGGAGTTGAACTGGACACGGTAACCGCGGTTGACCTGGACGTTGCCGTTGTCGTCCTCCCAGACAACACGGAACTGAATGACACGCTCGGGGATGGAGGCAACGGTGAGGGCGGTGCGGTACTCGGGGTGCTTCTGGAAGAGGGAGGAGTTCTCGAGAGTGTAGGCCAACTCTGTGGTGAAAATCAAGTCAGCTCTATGTCCGCGGCTAAACGATCGGTTTTTCTCTCAGACATACCCTTGTAGGCCTGCTCGAACTCGGGCTCAGAGGGAAGGTTAGACATTTTGAATGTGGTGAAAGGGATAAAAATAAATTAGCGGGTTGGCCACCGGGTATCGATAAAGTTGTGCTTGGCGGGAGGGCAAGATGGATGAGCAAGATAACAAAGACGAGAGGGGGCACAGTTTTCTGGAGGAGGAGAGGAAAAGACTTTATACAAAATAGAGCTGGGGCGACTGGGGGAAGGAAGCAGAGGTAACCTTGAAGATTTGGGGAGGAGCCAGCGTGAAGGAGGAGACCTCGACTGGGCGAGACAAGACAGACGGGATGGAAGGGCCCACGGTCGGAGGTTCATGGCGAGGATGGGACGAAGCTACTACGCTTGTCCGTGACATCGGATCCTTGTTCCTGTCTCGATCCCCCCTCGATCCCCTCGTCCCTAGTGCTTTCCCCGTCCTCCGAACATGGAGACACCTGGAGGCGAGCATGAAACCACCATCACTTCGCCTGTACACTATTTTTTTTTCCCAGGCGGCATTCAAATCCCGCGTTGCAGCCCGCGAATAATCCCAGCCGCAGAATGCCATTGAGGATTGGGAGCGTGGGGCCCATGGGGGCACTCGGGGTGGTGGGGTTGAACTAGTAGTCCCTGTCAGTCTGTCACTGTGTACTTGGCCACCAATGGTCTTGTCCCTATCTACTTGTATGTAGACGGGATGTGGTCCCGCCTGGCTCTGCAATTTGTATCAGATGCATCCAAATGTCGCTCTCCAGATTAGCAGATGTGGCCTGAACCGGCAGTGCGGATTGCATAGCGACAAACGCGATACAATTCGTCGAGGAACTTTGTTCACCAACGTTTTCGAGACAATATGCGTCATGTCTCGCGAGCGACGGAGACGCGCCTTTCTCCTGTGAAAATCTTTCCACCCTCCTTCTTTCCACATCCATCTGCACATGTACACTACTGCGTACACAAGGCGTGGGATATCACAGCACAATAGAACAATTATTGACCAAGCACTTGGGTGGGAGGGTCGCGTAGAATTGCCCGCTCTTCTAGACTTGAAGGTGTGACGGGCTGTGTCAACGTCATTTCTCTTATCAAAGCTCCGAGGTCGGCTCTCTTTTCGAGCTACCGATAGTAGAAATATCCCGCCTTTTATTAACACTAATTACTACTTAGTGTATAAGGTAGGCCACAGTGAGAACATGCCCGACGCTGTTTCCAGCTTGGAATGTAATTTGAACGTGCAATAGAGTCGTCACTGATCTATCCATCGTCAGCACTAGCCACTCCTGCCATGGCACGGGCTGTCCTGCCCGTGCGCAGAATTTTGCCAGTTGGGGCGAGAACTGAGAAGTGAGACCCGTCCGTCCTGAATCAAGACATGGCAGGCCAAGACATGGCAGGCCGGGACTGCGCTTGCTGCGCAACCTCGGCGAGCTCCACGCAGGGCGCCACAGCCGCATACATGATGGATCGGCTGCTGTCTTATCGGCGCATGCTTATTGGTCGCCTCGACGGTTTGGTAAAAAGCTTATGTGAACAAGTCGTGAGTGGTTTCGTTCTTCTGCTCCATTTGGTTTCGCATGGGTTTGCACGCTGGACCAGCCCATCCTTTCTGAGGCAAAGATTGGACCACGGACCAATGCCAAGTTGCGCCAAACCCCAACTTCGCCCACTCATTGCCAACGCCGCTTCAGAGTCGCTACCGCCGTCGAGCACTCCGACCTCGCAGGTCGCGTGTCGTAGCAGGCTGTCAGGTCAGTCATGCAACGCTGCGGCAGCATCAGGGTTTTATTGGAGGATATGGGGTGAATGAGATACGATTTGTCCTTTTGCTAACGAATTGATACTTGTCATTGGACTGTTTGATCAGCTACCTGGGGAGGCCAGAACAGGTTGCAGTCCGAAACCGCCCTTGGAAGCAAGGCCCCTGCTTGCCATGCACTCGTCGCCGTTGTTGACTTGGTGTGAATGCATTCCCAAGTATACATCCTTGTCGCCAACCCCCACCTTCCTTCCTGGGATACACGATAACGATTCAGGCACGTGTCAGCGTCCCTGCAAACTGCAGCAATTGTTCAGCCTTGCAGGAGCTTATCAGTGGACGGAGGGGCAATGAAAAAACAAAGTCAAAAAAAAAAAAAAAAAAAAAAAAAAAAAAAAAAAAAAAAAAAAAAAAGAGAGAGAGAGAAGATAAGAGAGATTGTGGTGTATCTCCGCCACTACCACGGGTCGCGGTCCGCTTCGGCGAAAACCAGATAAATACTCCTCGCCATCGACAACGAGCGTGGAAAAGTCTGGGCAGACAACCACACCACAGTTCAACGAGAAGCTACGCCGAGTTAGTCCGACAGCGACTATCCAAAGCGACAACGTCAAAAACTCGACATGCCGAAACTTCGACGATTAATGGAGCGTTGCCGGCCTCGTCGAGTACACTTCTCGGACCAGCTTCGGGAGTAGGTCTGCTCTCCGGTGGCAGTTTCGCAGCTCAACTCTTTTCTCCCAAGTAGTTTTCCGCCGGCTGGCTTGTTTCGGCGAGTACACTACACGTCCAACAGGTCCATCTCTAGCGCGGCACAATCTTCCTATTTGCGTGGCGCCGAAATGAAAATGAATCCGACTCGCGAAAAGAGGCCACCCGTGAAGTGGAAACAAGCTTCTTCACATCCTATTCTTCCCGATGGTCAGCGCCAACACCAGGGGCAATCCCGGCCGCTAGACGCCGCCGACTTCGGGTTGCCAGTCATGTCAATCGGCGGGAACCCCCGACATCGTGCTCGTGCCCGAGTCCACATCACGGAAACACCGCCCGACCAGTAAAGGTATCAAGAGATCAACCAGTATCTCGACCGTACCCACACATCCGCCTCTCCCATCAACCCCGCCAAGCGACGATTCGGGGCTAAGCGGCACCAAAACCCCATCTCCGAGCGGCCAACGCGGGTTTCCGGTGCTGCTGCGAGCACTTGCAGCCTGTCTGCAAAGTGAAGCTCCCGCGTTTAACATACGGTGCGACCTTATCTCGCATGTGGGCGCTATATACGGGCCGACATACCCTTGGCGCTGGACTTTACTGGTACTGTAGCTGCCAGCTTGTCGCAACCAAGACGGACACCCATCTCCGCTCCCAGTTCGTACTTGCCCACCATTCGTCCATCTTTTGCGTGGTTTATGTTTGAGGCCAGCGTTCTGTGACTGAGTGACTGGCCTCCACACGAATGTGGGTGTCGGCGATCTCGAAAACCACCGAGGTGCACAGTTGCCGGTGTGTGGTTTGTACGAGACTTTGTGAATCACTTCACAGCAGCTTGCCCACTGCCTTTGAGCCTGATGATGCGGCCAAGCTAACTTGAAAGCTGTCCGCCTCATTTTCCGATCTGTCTGTCACTTCCACTGATTGATCGTCATCAATGGCAAGAGCAGCACAACAATTGCCTTGCAGCGCACTTTCCCATCGCATCCCAGATCACGCTTTCCGTCGAGTCCAGTGGCCAGGGGCAGCTCTCTGTCGAAAAACTGGAGATGTCCCTTCCCTTGAAAACGGAATGGCAAGCTGGACTTTTCGGGAGAGCAGGGTTGCGGACAGAAGCATATATCACTGGCCATATCCCGATTGTTGACGAGCGGAACAGGAGTCACTTTCCAGTTTTACCGGACGACGAAGAAGACGTGCCAACGTACGAATTATGTACAATTGAAGATTTGCCAAGAATCGAATACAGAATCATTACTTTCCATCGTGTCTCTACTGCTCGTTCCTTCTGCTTCCCCACCCACTAACGCCAAGACATCTTGCTGACAATGGCGATACAAACAGAACAACCGACGCTCCCCATCAACCGTTTCACGACACCTGCATTACGATCGGACCAGCCACGATGATATCATCCGTCAGCTTGCCTGTCAACGGGCCCGCGCTCGCCAAGTTCACATAAACAACGCCCTTCAAGCCCTGCGGCACCACGCACGCGCCCGTAGCAGCATCGAACGCCGTGAATGCCGTACCGCCGGGGATGCCACCCGTCGTGAAAGCGCAGAACTTCGCGCTACCCGTCGCCGACGCATCGCTGCTCTGCAGCTTCACTTGCGACCCGGCAGCCGCCACCGTCTTCCCGTCCCCGCCCATTGTCAGCGTCGGAAACGCCTTCAAGATCAGATTGCTTCCATCGGGACAGCTCGCGATGAAGGGCGCCGCAAGGCTGAACACCTGTTTAGGAGACAAGGGCGTGTCGAAGGCCTGCGGCACCGCCACCACGCCGCTCGCCGCTCTGATGAACGTCTGGTGGCGTGCCTCGACCGTTAGGATCGAGGCCGCGGTGGTCAGGATGCCCGGGTCGGTCACGAGCTGCGCCGCGCCCAGGTATGCCGACACGCCAACGTTCTCGAGCACGGCGGCTGTGGCGACCATGGCGGCGGCAGAGGTGACGGCCTGGAAGTTATATTTACATTCCTGTACGGGCTTGGCGCCGGCAGCGGCGATGGCGCCCTGGAGCAGGATTACGTGCTCCTCTTCGATGCTGCCGATGCCCTTTAGGTCCTTGATCTGAGACTCGGAGAGCCCGAGGGCGGTGAAGTCGGCGGCAGGGAATTTGGCGAAGCCTTCGCGGTAGAAGGTATTTTCGAGGTGCTCAAGCGTAAGAGCGCTGGAAGACAGGTTCGTTAGCTGATGTGAGGCTTGTGCAAGCAGAGAAGAGGAGAGCCTACAATTGCAGGATATCTACATCCGTTAGACCGGCGGCGGCAGCAAGGGCATTTTGTCGTCTCATGAAGCTGTGGATCTTGAGTTGGTTGTCTGTCAACTTGGGGATGGCGGGCAAGGCCGAGGTCAAGGCAGCTAGGCATGCCGTGATCAGGCCGAGGGTCTTTGTCATTGAAGGCATATTGTCTTGCTGGTCGACTTGCTTCGTGGCAATTTGACGTCGAGGTACAAATGTAGGTTGTCTTTCTTTTGCGATGTGTCTCCTCCAAATGGTCTCTTTCTCGTCGAAGAAATGCGAGCCTGGTCCTGTATATGCTTCTGTGCGTGTGTGGACTATGCTGGTCCCAGTATTACAATATGAGTAGGGAAAACCACAAGGCAGGGCCGTAGGTTGCTGGACTTTGTCGATCGTCGTTTAGACAATTGTCGTTCAGGGTTGATGAAGTGACGAGCACAGCTCGAAGAGACAAGTAGAAAACTCGAAAGGAGAATGAATGGAAGCAGCAAGAAAGCAGACCCGTGCTTGGTATAAAGAATGAATGAAACAGAAGAGTAAATGCAACACAAACACAACACCAGGTTGACAATCGATCGTGAAGGTGAAAAGGAAGATGGTGAGAAACGAACAAGAAGTGTAGGAAGAAACAACCGTCTGAAGATATATCCAGAAGGAGACAACGTCACAGCCAACAAGAGTCGTGATGATACGGTGCTGGCGAGCGCCAAGGGGCCGGATCACGGAATATGTAGTGTACGGGGTCATGGACCCTACCTACATTTCACCATGTAAGGGCAAGGAGATAGCTTCACTCAGCGGCAAACGGCTGTTGAGTGTTCCGGGGATCTGGGGTAATAGTATGCGGAGATAGTGGTCGTTCCCAAACCACCAGGGACTGACATGGGCAGGGGTTCCTCGAGTTGCATGAGTGGTGCAAGAAGCTCGGAAGCAAGTGGTACGTATTACATACCTATCATATACAGGTATTGCTTAACATAACTCGAATTAAAAGTTGAAATTTCCCAATTGAGGGGCGCATGCGGATCTGACTTGCTGGAATGTCAATAGCATGTGAGATACGAACAAGCCGCTGTCTAGCTATATGTCATGTAATGGCATAGAGGAAATATTTGGAAACTTCCGAACACATCCGATCCCGTCCCTTATCACAGGTAGTCTAGGTTGGCGAGGTAGATATCTATCTGGTTACAAGGCAGGAGAGTAAGTAACCAAAAGAACTACACTAGATCTTTGCCAACTCTTTTCTTCGAGGGTTGACTGAATCAAAGGTGATTGATGAAAGCGTCAAGTAACTAACTAGGTAGCCAAGCCATTCTTGACGTTTCGTTCCTTCGTTCTGGACTTCTCAGCAGCCTCTCTTGGCTCAATCCTAGCTCTACTCTGAACCACAACGATAGAGCCAGAAACATGTGGAGGCATGTAGAGAGAGGGGTATGTAGTTAGAAACAAGCCATTTTCATATCAATGCAACATGATCAAAATCATGAACCTGGAAGCTCAACTATCCCAAACGGTCAACCGAGACTCCGAACCAATAACAACAAGCTCATAAGAGAATTAAGGTTGAGGGTTGGAGGTGTATCCAATCTTGCATGCGCTCGGATATCTCCATTTCCAAAAGAAAATGAGAGTCCTCAAGATATAGACAGGGGACGGGGTTACACCACCACGAAAATCTGTAACATTAGGGTTGTTGGGGTTGTTGAAGGGGGTCATCGCCTCCATGTCTCAAACACGTTTTAAAGGTCTCACGGGTACACGGATTTGTTCTAACCCGGTACCCTTACCAAGCCTTTTCAAGCTTGATTTGACGTTGACTGTCTCCTACCTGCTACCTCTCCTCACACTACTTGATGACAGATTTCGATTCGTGAACACGTTCTAAGGAAATGGAAGACATGGATGCCGAGCTGGAAAGAGATGTTTTACGATGTATATACACCCATTTTTGCCCACACTCGGCATGGGTAAAGCTTCCTCAACAGCACATGCTGGGATGTTTCCGACGTCAGCACATTTGCACTTGCGATAAGCTTGATTCGGCCGAATAGCCACGCCACCTTATTGATAATATTCCGCCTTCTTCTCACTTCATCAAATAATTATAATTTATGTCTGTGCTCGGCTTTTGCTGTCTTACTGATCCTCATCATAACGTATTCATCCCCCCGTCACCAAAGCTATTTGAGGTAGCCAAATTATGATTGATACTCCCATAGGGGCCCCTTTCTGTCACATAGCTGCCACCCGCCAATTTGTCCATGTTGAGTGTGATAACACCTTCGCGAATAAGCCAACAGACTATAAGAGATGCACACCATATCGTCAATAAAGGAATACACCCACATAACAATCTTGAAGACGTTGCTTTCTAACACATCATACATCATCCGTTCCTCCTACTTGTTTGACAAAATCTCCTCATGACGACGGACATTAAGGTGAGTCATCTTAACCGTTCCTGCACTGCTGCGCATCTTCTTTCCAAAGCATCAAATCATTTAGAGGGCATAGGGATTGAGCGAGCGGATGGTCAGGCACCTGTGTGTTTGGTCAGTTGTGCATGCTGTAAAGGAAGAAGGGATGTAGAACTTACGGTGGGCTCTTGGAAAGGTCGGTCTTGAGGATGACAGGCACACGGGTCATCTCCGTTACATCCTGGATGTACTCGCCACCCTCCTCGCGGAGCTTGAAGAGCTTCAAGTACTTCTCCTTGTTGGTCAAGCGAGCCTCGGGCGCCTCACCGACGGGTACCTTCGAATCAGACCGAGTACGGTGGAGGGTACCGACGGCCTCAGCCGCAGACTGAGTAGGTGAGCCAGGCACGCTCTGAGTCGGGCGCTCCGCAAGAGATGCGCCGGCCATGGCCTCGGTGATATCAGAGGCATTGTCCTCGATATCGTCCTCGTCCTCGTCCTGAAACAGGGCGTCAACATCATCGTGCGAGACGGTACCAGTCTCGATCTGCTTGCGGGCAGCCTCCTCGCGATCCTTCTTAGCGCGTTCGGCCTCCTCAGCCTGGCGAGCAGCAGCGAGAGCATTCGAGATGCGCTGAGAAGCGGCTGCCTTGGGACGCTCATCTTCAGGGACGTAGGCGGAGCTGGGAACACCCTTCTCCCAGTAGAGTTCAAGAACTCTCTTCTCCTTTCTGAACTCAGCCTTCTTCAGAGGAAGCTGGTCGCAGTGGACGCGCTTCTCGAAGCCCCACTCCGGAATGAGAACGTCGAAGGCAGACTCGTACACACAAATGACGATACCCTCGCTAATCAGGTCGCCATTAACCTCCTGCCGCTTCTTATCCATGGTGCGGCAAGATTCGATGTGAACACTCTGTTCCTGAGCATTTTGAGCCGAATCCTTCTTGGTGTTGCAAGACTCAACGGTCTTGACAAGGTTCTCCAAATCCTCAGTATATTCAATCTTTCCATCAGAAAGAACAGCCTCAAGCTGACGATGAACAATAATGTCGGCGTAGCGCCTGGTGGGGTACGTGAAATGAGTGTAGAGGGGTAAGTTTAAAGCATAGTGAGGCCAAAGCAGACTGGCAGTCTTGCCCGCAATGAAGTACTTGGCCCGCTGCATGGATTTGACAAGGAGGGTCTCCATACCCTTTCTGATGTCAGAGTCGTCAATCTTGAACAAGCTATTCTGTAGGGTACCACTGCTAGTAGCGTCAATGTCGTAGCCCAAAGCAGTCATACGGTCAATGATAGTCTGTAGGCGGCGGGAGTTAGGAGCAGACTGCCTGCGCAGAAGGGCTTTCTCCGGGAGTCCCTGCGCCAGACGTTGGGCAACATGGGTGTTAGCCTTGTGCATAAGCTCTTCGACAAGTTCAGTGGCCTGGCTAGACTCGAAAATGTTGTGCTTAGGCGGGATGTTCTCATCATCAAGTTGCTGGAGGAGACGGAGAGGCGCAATGGGTTCGCCACCGGCGCCCAAGCGAGCTTCACGGAACTTCTGGGCGACAGCGTTGAGAATCTGGATGTCCAGAGCCTTCACAGACGGATGGGAGAATCCGCTGCTACCGGAAATAGCTTCATCGATCTGGCTAAGCGATACCTTTCCGCCGCTCTTGACGATGCCCTTTCCAATCCAGGTGTCCCCTTCAGCTACCGCGCCAGTCTGGGGGTTGACGTGGAACACAACGCTAAAAGTCAAGCGATCCTGTTCAGGAGTGAGGGTGCAAAGCTCGCTCGACAGCTTGGGGGGGAGAAGGGCACAGAAGCGGTTGACAAGATGGACCGCAGTACCGCGCTTCTTAGCTTCACGGTCAACGAGTGAGCCGGGCTTGACGAAGTGGGCGACATCGGGAACGTGAATACCAATTTCAATCTTGCCGTCAGGCAACTGCTTGAAATGAACACCGTTGCCAAGCTCGACAGAGCTATCTAATTCAACAGTGAACACATTCTCGCCACGGAAGTCACGGCGAGCGGCAAGAGCAGCTTGATCCTCACTTTCAAGCGACCAGTCTTGCTGGCTGACGTTGCGCAAAACAGCCTCAGCAAACTCGTCGGACGCGAAGTTGTTGTCACGAAGGAGGGCATCGGTCTCAACCTTAAGATCACCCATTTTGCCCAGCTTCTCAACGAGGGTACCAAACGGATGCAGAGAAGTGATGGGCCAGCGCTTGATGCAAGCCACGAAAATCTGGTCCGCATAGTCCTGGTGCTTCTCCACGAAGTCCTTGGGGGCTTGCTCGGTAGGAATGGCAATCAGAGGGACACGCTTGTCCGTGGGCTTGAACCAAACGATCTTGGGCTTCTCGTGGGAGCGCGAGTCTTGTTGGCGGCCATTGCCACCGTCTCTTGCAGCGCGTTCAGCTTCCTGCTTCTCCTTCGTAGCCTGGCTGCTCGGGCGGAGCAAACCAAGGGTACCAGAAAACATTTGGCCGGGAACACGCTCAATAACAGCAACAATGTGACCAGCAAAGAGAGGCTGCTGCTCATCATTGATCTCCTCTTCCTCGACCAAAAGAAGACTTTGACCTTCAACCTCCACGTCGTCGTTCTTCTTTTGAGTAGGACGTTGTCTGAGGCTGCCACGGCGGCGGAGTCCCCCCTCAGCGTTGCCATTGTCGTCACCAGTATTTTGGCCTCCACTAATGGAGCCAGAACGAGTGTCGGTAATATCCTTGCGCTTCTTCTTTTCTTCCTTCTCGCGCTTCTGCGCCCACACCTCACCAACATCCAACAGCTCGACCGCAACGAGATCACCTTCGAGAGCACGGTTGCGATCCTTGCTGCCGCAGATGAAAATATCGGCGGGAAGCAGGCCATCCTGCGTCGAGACGTACGCATCGCTTCTGTTCTTCTTGTTCACGCGGAGAATACCAGAAACAAGCTGGCCGTTACCCAAGAGGGCAGGAAGAGTAGCTTGGGGGAGATAAGGAGTGAAAAGCGTCTTCCGCTGCTGTTGCTGGCTTTGCTGACCAGGAGCAGCCATTTGAGGAGCGTGCTGGCTGGCGGCAAGACCAGTAAGTGGCTGACCATTCATCTGAGCAAGCTGAAGAGCCTGAAGCTGGTTGAGCTGCATCGGATTAAGTTGTTGGCCAGGGAAAACCTGGGGCATCATCATCTGACCGGGGAACTGGACCAGCTGAGGCTGTCCAGGATACTGGAATGATCCAATCGAAGAGATGGACTGGCTCACCGAGCCGCGGCTGCGGTGACCGGGCTGGAAGCCCTGGCTCTGAGGAAGGGCAGCGGTCTGGTCCTGAGCCTGGTTCTGGTTCTGGTTCTGGTTCTGGTTCCTCCAGTTGCCGTCGAAGTTGCGGGAACCAGTGCGGGCATGGCCGCCACCAGGAGCGCGGCGAGAAAAGTCGCTGCCTTGGCCCATGGAGTCGGTAGAGAAATGGCCTCCGCGGCCACCACGGCCATTGGCACCAACAGCCATGCTCTGGCTCCTGCCATGGCCGCCACGGCCGCCACGGAACGACGATCCCTGAGCTATCTGGCCCTCCGCCGGAGCAGGAGTGGTGCTCGGGGTGGTCTTGGCATCATCCTCAGACTTCTCGGAGGAGCCAGGGGCAGGAGCAGCAGGGAACTGGAAGGTAGACGTCGTGCGCTTCTGTTGGGCGATCTCGGCGGCCTTTTTGGCATCAGCCAAGGCCAAGGAATGTCTTCTCTGATGACCGCCGCCGGATCCACCACGACCGCCACGACCGCCGGTGCTGTTCTCTCGGGCGTGACCCTGGGTGGGATCTTGGAAGTTGCCGAACGTCGAACCAGAGGCGCCGGCAGAGGGAGCAGGCGGCGGGCCCCCCATGCCCATGTTTGGAATGGCCGACTGATTACGGCGATGTGAAAGCGGTTGTGTAGGAGGAGCTAGGGGCGGCTGCTGCTGCAGCTGGACCGGGAACTGGAAGCCCGCCTGAGGCGCCAAACCGGCAATGGGCTGGAAGTTGGTGAATCCGCCAGGGCCCAGGGGTTGCGTGGCCGGAAGCATGCCGAGGTTGGCATATTGAGCTGTAATTTGCTGTTGCTGCTGCTGAAGGAGTTCGATCTGCTGCTGGATGGCAAGCTGTTCCACTGCACCAAAAAAAAAAAAATCCAGTCAGTACGCCAACGCATTGAAGGGGGGGGGGGGGGGGGGGTGAGGGGTTACAGTCAGGACACAAGACGGGAACGCGAAGGGGTCAGGGGTACGATCATTGGCTTTTGAAGCTTTTCGCCACGAACAAGAACAGACTAGTGCAAGAGCGGTAGAGGGGCGCCGCAATAGTACACGATGGCAATGGCGATGACAATAGCAAAACTCAAAACATACTGTTCGTGTTTGAAAACATACTCATCAACGGGGTCAGCTCCGACGGGCTTCTTCGATGGGCGATATGGAGCCGTCGGCCGGCGGGGCCAGAGACGCCTCCTTGAGGCTGCTGTTGCTGATCCATGATGCAGGTTGTTGGGACGGACAGGTGCAGATGCCTCGGGTGATCCAGGCAGAAAAAGGTGCACGTCGAGTGCGAATGCAAGGCGAAGTCGGCGTTGGAACTAAAGCGTGTGAAGAAGTAAAGTAGAGCACGAGACGAGTCGAGTCGAGTCGAGTCGAATCGAATCGAGGCGTGGTCGACCGAACAGAGACGAGGGGGAAAGTTATTGAGCTGGGTTTATCTTTTTTGTGTGGCCGGATTGCCGTTGCGATGCATCAGATGCGATGGGAGTTGCGGTATGTTTGGTTGCGGTGCGGAGACGTCGCCCCAAAGGACAGTTTTGTTTCGCAGTTAAAGCGGATTGGATGAAAGAAATCAAGTCCAAAGAGGTTATAATGAGAGATTGAAAAGTTGCTACGAGGGAGTGTAGAGAGAAGGGAGGGAGGTGTCCGGCTTTGCTAGTTGACGTTGAAGCTAGAGGGAAGCCTGAAGCCGATGCGGATTGAGGTTCGTGAGGAGGGAAAGGGAAAGGGAGAGTGCAGGAGGAGGAGGAGTCGGAGGACGGGAGAAAGAGGTTCGGTGCTATACTAGGAAGTCAGGAGGACTGGGCCTTGGACCTGGGAGGAGGAGGAGGAGGAGCAGAGCACTTTCAGCGCCGCAGCGGGCAGTCAGCGAGAGGAACCCGAAAGGTCCATCCATCGGCGGGCATCCTGGGCTGGCTTGTACCTAGGGTATCTACCTACCTAGACTACATGCTAGTGACGAACTGATGCGTGAGAGGGAAACGACAGGATGGTGCCCGCCCGCCTGGCAGTCCCGGCCGTCCTGCTGAGGTGAGTGAGGTCCGTCCCTCCTTGGAGGCGCATGCTGCAGGTGTACACGGTGCGGCGGCGGAGCATGGAAGGTCCAGGTTCACGGCAGGCATCTCTCACGGTTTCGGCAGTTGCACCTATCAGCGCCGGTGCTGGGCAGTTGGCTGAAGTGGTGCCCTGGGCTACCTACCAAATAAGTAGCGGGCACGGGCAGTCGAGAACTACCACGGGTACCTAGAGGTAGTAGTAGAGGTAGCAGCAGCTACCTGTACCTTACCTAGGTAGGTAGGTACCTACTCACTCCAGCCCCAGACAGCCGAAAGGCCCCAAACGTTAGTAGCGCCAGGGTAGGTGCAAGCACGCAGGGTGTGAGGGTGCACCGGATACACCCCATGTGCGCGACACACCGTGCTCCTCTTACAACGCAACTACTACCTCTACTGAATGAAGTAACCTTTGAGCCCCTTTTATAAAACCGTCTTCTGCCTTTGTTCAAAACGAAATTTACAATCATGACATCCATTGCATACCTACTTCTGGAGTTTGTGTTCAACAGCCAAGAGCTTCGAAGAGTCGAGGACCGCGACAAGAGCATCCGGGGGAAGCTACACTACAATCAACGACGCCAGTGGGGAAACGGTTCCTCAGCAGACTCGGGAAAATCACAAATGGCAGAAGTGGACACTCCCGCTAATCGTCTTTACCCCATACCTCATTTAGTTTAGATCCAGGATATCTCAAACATGGCGTATGCTGGGCGACGCTTCCCTGTCACGAATGTGTCTGCACAGGGACAGGGACGACAAACTCGAGATGTACTCGAGGATACGTGCTCGAACATTTCTCTCGGGGAAACTCAACGTTGGTCGGAAAGAGGATCGCCAACCTATATCATGATGTGCCCGGCATCACCTGGGGAATTTGGACTGGCCTTGTCGGCGTAACAGGGAAGATGTCAATGATGATGGTGATACCCTAAACCCTGGATCGACGTGAGTACACCGCATACTGTAAGACGACAGCCGTGTCTCCCGTGTCAGAAGCTCCGGCAGGCTTTGGGGGTCTGTGTCTTTGATGACGGTACGATTCGCAAAGGCGGTTGAAGAGAAGAGAGACACAAATACCTACGGGAACTAATGGAGTTGCTATCTGCCACATACAAAGACCACAAGCTGACCTTCTCGTCGATGTTTGCTGTCCGCAGCACCAATGGATGAGGATGATATGCAGCAATTTACGATGAAAAGATGTTTCCTTGATTCATCACACATCCTGCATCAAAGTTCGTTTGAAATGTCACTAGCACGTTGCCTTAGTTTAGCTTCGTATGTACATACAATGGCTACTCCAAAGGGTAGTCACTCCGAAGCCCTTTCTCTTGATTGTTCCTATCACTTTGTAATTCAAATGGAAGCCCGAGGACCTGGTGATATTTCAGCGTAACACAACATAAGCAGACATCTAAATTTGGGTTATAGATACCAAAGCCACTTTGTAATGTCTACACAGGTAGGTTCTTGTTGCCAACAATATATCAAGGCTGGAGTTCAGGTTGGTTTATAGAAAGGTGCCACTTCCATCCGTTCTCCCCCACCAAAAGCGGCTGCAAGGACCACTGCACCTAGCCACACACAGTGTGTAAAGATACTACTAAGACAGACGGGTGCCAAACTAAAACCGCACCCGTGGAGTGGACTTAGCGCTATTGGACTCGCGACGCGCGCAAAGTACAACTCCATTTGATAGTATCCATAGTACTACCCTTCCGCAACTGTCAAGCCGAAGACAAAACCGGACGATCACCTCAACATCACCTATTTTTTTTTAACAAGCAGCGATATATCTGCCTGAAAATTTTCCCAGTGTACCACCTGTTCGGCAATCGTGACGGGTGACTGGGATTGTCAAGCAGCAGCGCATCCAACCACCGACAGGATGGCTGGTTCGTCCCCCGCTCGCCCAAACGGCAACCAGTGGGCAAGCTCGTCCTCGCGATCAGTCATATCCGACATTCTTGCTGGCGACCGCAATTCCGAGGCCCGACATAGACTTCTGATTGAGGCCGCTAGGAGGGAACATGAACGTGTACGCGAGGAGGCCGAAAGAGTGTACCAGGAACACCTCTTGAGACAAGAGCAGGAACGTCTGGTCGAGGAGCGCAAGAAAGAGGAGGAAAGGATACGAGCAGAAGAACAACTTGCTGCTGAGCGAAGGAAGCTTAACGCCCTCAAGGCGAAGAAAATCGAGATCCCGCCCGTTCTGCCCGACTTCGAGCCAGCAAAGGCACCATCTCCAGCCCCGAAACCTGCCTCAACGGCATCCCCATCACAACCACCCGCGACCCAAGTCAATGGCAAAACACTTTTCGGAAAGCAACCCGAGTTGCAGCCAGCGTCTGCACCGGCTGCATCGAAGCCTTTTGGAGGATTTGGACAGACACTAACAAGTGCGCAACCTGCCACTGCTGCCCTGAAGCAATCAACGCCTGCATCTGCAGCCTCTTCTCAGCTTGCGACCAGTAACTTGCTAGGGAACAATATCCAGGTCAATGGAACCGCCACGGCCACGACCATTGCCAAATTACCGACACCAGCACCCGTGCAACAAGGAGCGGACCGATTGGCAGTGATACACAAAAGCCTGAAAGAGCTGCGGAAGTCTATGTTGGATCAAGCAAAAGCAAATCAGGCGCTCAAAGCCCGTATGGGAGATATGCGTCGAGAGATCAGGAAGTGTGTTGGACAACTCACGGGAGGCGGCGCAGGAGTCAACCGTCAACAGGTAATTGATCACCAAATCAGCCTTATAATCGGCTTTTGGGGGACTGTGCTAACCGGACACAATGGCAGAACAATACCATTGCTGCTCTACTACGCGAGGCGCTCGAAAACCGCGTACAATCCCAGCTCGTTGACCCGAACACCTTCCTCGTCGAATCACGAGCCCCAGTCCAAGGGCCTACCAACAACGATCCGCAGGTCCCGTCGCTATTTATCTATCTACTGAATGTCTTCGCTAAGGCCACCATTTCCCAGTTCATCAACGAAGGCGGTCCACGACCAGAGACAGCCGATCCCGTGGGTGTCTGTATTGCCGCCGTGTTTTCCGACCCGGCATTCGCGTGGCGTGGGGCTTCCATGATCGACATCCTTCTCGCCAAGTTCCGCATCGTCTGTCCCGTCCTGTGGGGTTATAGGGGCAGCGAGAAGACGGAGCAAGGACGCGCCAGGATAGGGTGGTGGAAGGACAATGGAAGATGGGTTACGGAGCAGGTGCATTTTGACCGAATGACGGGTCTCGGTGCCGGCTTCGCCGCGATATCGTTGCGAAACTTCGCCTCGTCCAAGAAGCAAAACCCATACCCACCACGACATTACTGGGCGGCCATGGCGAAGATTGTCAATACCCCTTCGGGGGAAATCTCAAATACCCAGTGTGTGGTTCTGAAAGCTATGATCCAGAACTACGAGGAGAAGTTTATCCATGCATATGGAACTGCTGCCCTCGCGGCGTTGAGGACCGCGCTCGTAGAGTTCCCTGCTCGGGCACCGGTCAAGTCGAGTGCCGTGAACTCGTTGCAGGTTGTCCATGATCTGCTCAGGAAGAGTACTGGAGCTGCTCTTGGATAAATAAAGTGGTCGTGTCAGGGGAATGGGGTTGGTGTGTTGTGTGTCAGAAAGAAAAGTCATATCAAGGGCGTTCAGGAGTTGGTCATTTGAGGTTTTCAGCATCTTGGAAGGATAACGTCTGCCATGTGCCGGTTACGAAAAGTTAGTGTTCTTCCAGAAGAAGCTGAAAGGCCGGGCTTCCCAGCGTATTTGGCGCTTTCTGTTATATACCCAGCGTATCTACAATCAAGGCGGCGAAGCTCGTAGTGGGCATACAGAAACAAAACCTAGCACATCGGCACTCAGGGAAAGAAAGCCTTGTATCGGGTGCAGAATTGAGCCTTTGTATGGCTCCAAACTCAATGTTGCTGACCGATGCCCGTTTCCAACCGGATCATAGCGGCAACAACTCGTCGTTACAGTGATCCAGTAGGTCATTATTGTATTACCGTATGACCGTCCATCATAATGCTGTAGGCGGTAAAGCAAAGTAAGTAACAGGAGAGCCAAACATCATAGACACCCCTTCAGAACTCCTCTTAACCGGCAGAACCCAAAAAGAAAACAGCCCGCCTAGTCTAGTCTTCCAAAACACAACCCCAATCCTCCCACCCAGCTCCCAGCTCACAAAATGAGCAATAAAACCAACAACAAAATCAATACAAAGATCAAGACCGCAATGCAACAACTGCTCAGTGTGTCCTCGTTGTGTCTCATCACATATGTCAACTTCTGCATCCCCGTCTGCAACCTCCCTCCCACGCGGTCCGCCAAATCGTCCGCCACCTCCAGCATCTCCCTCTGCTCCTCCAGCTCACGGCCCATGTCATCCGCCTGCCGCCTCAGCACTCCGACCGTCTGGAATACCCCATCCAGATGCTGGTCCTGCTCGCGCATCATCTGTATCTGCTGCTGGTGCTCGAATTCGGCTGCGTAATCGTCGTCTTCGCCGGTGGCGCCAGCGGCACCGTTTTCGCCGTCCGGGATGGCGAAAGATGATGGGTCTGGTAATTGGTCCTTTTGTTGGGTACCCTTTCCAGAGACGGCGGATTTGGATGCGAGCTCCTGCCGCATGTTCTCTACCTCGGACCCGACATCTTGCACAAGGCGCTTGCGCCGCGTGACTTCGTGCGCCGACAGGCCATATTGCGTGGGGTCGCACTCGACGGCCTTGACGGACTCGACGAGGTCGGCGAGGTCTTCGGCGAGGGAGGAGAGGGCGGATTCGAGGTCGGAGCGGGCCGCGATCAGCTCAGGGGAGTCGGTGGAAGAGGAGGAGGAAGAGGTGAAGAGGGAGCGGATGCGTAGGTAGGAGGTGAAGAGGGAGCGGGTGGATTGGAGTTGGGTTAGGACGTCCCTGTGTTTGGAGTTTGGTTAGCTGTCATTGTTTTGGCTTGACTGTGGTTTATGAGTTGGGAAAAAGGGGGGAGGGTCAGAGCATACTGTTGGACCTCAAGGAAGGGGTCCTCCTCGTGAGTGGAGGACATCATCGCGCTACTGCGAAGACGAGGAGGAGGAAAGCTGCGGCATCAGTTGTCGGTTGCATCAATTGACATGCGCCGGCCTTATTAGTCCCAAGTCAAAGGAAGTGGAGATTCACTGCATGAAGAGATTGGGAATGTGGTGGTATATGCAGTGATCTATTGTCTTTGATTAGAATAAAGACCAAGGTATAATGATGTTGCGGCCGGCAGGGTTCACGATCTCGACAACTGCCTCGACCTGGACGTACTGTAGCGGCGCTATGCATACAAGCGCGGCCCCCCAGATTGACCACTCCCTTTGTGGCTGAGGGTGAGTCTAAAAAGTACATGTGGTTCTGGACCCGCCGTCGGCTTGGCGTGAGACATCCCATCCCATGGACCTCTTCGGCTGCCCCGCTTCTGCAGCGGTGCAGCTCCCGCTCCCTCGTCTCAGGGCAATCGCGCAGTCGCTGTGAACGAACCCCGACGATTCCATCAAACCCCGTCTTGTCTGAACATGGTGACTGCTGCCCCTGTTGTTTTGAGGGGAAAATGCGAGGCCCTTGATGCAAAGGAACTGGTTGGACGACGCGCGCTGTCGGTCCGGTTGTCAGTGCACTGGTTCCAGGTTCCCCGGTCGCGGGGACGGGCAGTGGAGGGCAGCTCGCCCGATTTGGTAGGTGAAACGTAGCTTCAACGGAGCCGGGGACCAACCGAAGAGAACCATCGTGTCTCATCAATTGTCCTTTTCCTTCTCTTTTTCCTCCTCCTCCTCTTCTTCTTTTCCACCAATTCTTTGACTTGGGTCAGGTCATTGTCTTTTCCCATCTCAATCCAAAAACTATCGTGAACCGTCAAGATGTTCAGCTTGCGGCGACTCCTCCTCGCCGCCGCGCTGTTCCTCGGCGCGATGCTGCTTTTTGCGCAGTCCGCCGAGGCAGCCAAGGGCCCCAAGATCACCCACAAGGTCTACTTCGACATTGAGCAGGGCGACAAGCCCCTCGGCCGCATCGTTATGGGTCTCTATGGCAAGACCGTCCCCAAGACCGCTGAAAACTTCCGCGCTCTTGCCACTGGCGAGAAGGGCTTCGGTTATGAGGGCTCTACCTTCCACCGTGTCATCAAGCAGTTCATGATTCAGGGTGGTGACTTCACCAAGGGCGATGGCACCGGTGGCAAGTCCAGTATGTTACTTCCAAGTTCTATTAGGCACTTTGGTCCATATTATTAACCGCTTGTGTACAGTCTATGGTGACAAGTTCGCCGATGAGAACTTCAAGCTCAAGCACTCCAAGAAGGGTCTCCTCTCAATGGCCAACGCTGGCAAGGACACCAACGGCTCCCAGTTCTTCATTACCACTGTCATCACCTCGTAAGTCGAATACACTCGAGCCGCATGGTCTAGGAAGTGCCCAGTTGGCTAATACGCATTCTGTTGCAGTTGGCTCGATGGCAAGCACGTCGTCTTCGGCGAGGTCCTCGAGGGCTACGATGTCGTCGAGAAGATCGAGAACACCAAGACCGGCCCTCGCGATGCTCCTGCTGAGCCCATCAAGATCGCCAAGAGTGGCGAGCTTGAGGTTCCCCCTGAAGGTATCCATGTGGAGCTTTAAAAAGCGTCTTCTATCCACCCTTGCGAATCCCCATTTCCCCGCCATTAACTGTTCACAAACCTGTGTGGGAAAGGTCATATAAAAGAGGAAAGGATATAGAAGCAAAACATTTTGGATCCTCATACCTACAATGGTGTCCAACTGTGGATCGTTTTGTTCCTATGACCGTTTACCCGTGTATATGAGTCCATGTGCTGATGAGTCGGTGTTTTTTCTCATCAGGCCTGGAAGGCCAATCGGAATGGGCATCTCCCGCGTACGCAAACGAAGACGAGAAGCCTGCTGCTCCTGTTCCTGTTACCGATGCCAAGCCTCCTGCGCACGACAGCATCCCCGCCGCCACCGCCGACGACGATGACACTGGTGCCCCCTTGTTCGCCAAGGTCCTTTTCTTTGGCGTATTAGTTCTAGGTCTCGTTTTATATATTCGCCTTCGTCGCGCCCCTAAGGGTACGTACGGAAAGGGCATGGAGTAGGCAATACCTCGAATATTTGAAATCTGACAAGGCTGCATAACAGGTAGCTATGGGGGTCTGGGCGGGCGTGAGTAGCCCAGACGAGTAGTGTTAAACGGGAAAAAAACAATCAGAATCAAATCATGGGCATATTTGGATCATCGCATAGTTCGCTTTTATTCCTATGTATATCAGTCGCAGTAATGGTTGTGATGGTTGCTCTGGCGATGTAGTGGCGTGTCTGTAAGTCGAAGCATAAAAGTAGCATCACGTGGATCCATTTTTATCCGTTCGAGTCGCTGGGATATCGAACTTTTTTTTTTTTTTTCGATACATTTTTGGTAAGACAGTACCGACTTGTAAACCACGACCAGGAAAACCTTGAACATCTTTTCACTATCTTCCCCGAAACTCTACGTCTCGCTGGCCGAATCCAAAACTAGTTGAGAAGCATAATATTCAATCAACCAAAACCCGCCAAGATGAAGGTCATGACACTCAACTTTCTGACCTGCGCGGTCAAGAACTGCAAGTCATCCAACGACTCGTTCCCGCTGCACCCCAAGGAGGCCGAGCTGGCCAAAGATGACATCGAGATCAACCCTCAACTTCTGATTAATGTCTTGCCTCGCATCGACTGGGCTGCTCTGCGGACTACTTCTACCGAGGTACGTTGAACTCGTTTTGCATTTCAATCCAATATGGATTCACAACATATCTTCATCCCCAATTTCCAGAGAATTTCCACATGTCCATCTCACACCTCCCTCATCCTCCCACACTTTCACTTCACCCCAAACAACAGCATTTCAACAACGTCCTCAACTAACACACACACCAGCTCGGCTTCCCCACCCTCCCCGAGCAGCCTCCCTCGCCAGAGGACCTCCAGTCCGACGAGGCTCTCCTCAAGGAGCTGCACGAGCTGCTCATGGAGACCCAAATGATGGAGGGCAAGCTCGTGTGCGGCCACTGCGGGCACGAGTACGCCGTCAAGAACGGCGTGGCCAACTTTCTCTTGCCTAGCCACTTGGTATGAGTGGAGCGCGAGGCAGCAAGGCGAGGCGTTTTCAGGGATGGTCGTGTCGACTGGACTAATTGGACTGGTTGGAGACCTGTTGGAGAATCGGGGAATCTTCATCGGATAGTAAGCACCAAGCAGTGGTAGAGTGGAGAAGTGGCTCCTACACGAACTCGGGGAATGCATGCGATGCCAGAAGGCTGGTCACCTGCGGGGAGCAATGAATGGATGGTTTTGGGTGACTGCCCAGGGTTGGTTAAGGGCTACCGCAGGAGTCGATCTGGAAGAGATCAGAGTATGGCGAGAATGATTTCTTGAGGGGGCGGTTATTTCAGCATTTTATTTGTTCACTTTCAAGGCGTTCTGTAAGGGAAAACATCAATAGAGGACTATCTGGCACATATCAGCGGCGTGAAAGAAAATTTATTCCACCAAGGTGACAGGCTGAAGTTTCCAAGATTGCACATGTTTCATGCATATCATGAGCTCCATATCATAGCTCATGCGTGCATTCTTGTTTTCATTCCCATCTTGTGTTGTTCTAGTGTACGAATGCGCAATGCTTTAATGATACCCAACCAAGAACAAGAACCCTCGAACTCCGGCCTGTCCCCCAAACCCATATACATAGCATGATTCCATAGCAAAACAAAACCTTTGTTCTGCCGCATGCACATCTGTTGTTCGTTGCATCCCAAACCCTACAAAATACTAGGCACAGGGCCTCCAAGTGCTTTACTGCTGCTTCTTCTGTGCAGTCGGTCCCATCTCCTTGTCGAAAGCGCCATATGAGACTTCGAGACTACCGAGAGCCTTCAGTCCAACGCCAAGGATGGAGAGCATGACGATGAGAGCGAGCAGGGCGACGAAAATGCCTGGTTCAGTGTCAGTCTACTACCTTGGAAGAAAGCGCCGACTTGAAAGGATGATTACATACCAGGAGTGAAGAACTGATACTTTGCAAACAGCGGGCGGTTATCATAAGTGGTGTTGCCGTTGTCACTGCCCTCCTGAGAGCTAAACTGTCCGCGCTTGAGATCCATATGGACTGGCTCGATAAAGTCAGGCTGGTAAGCCTTGAACTCGTTAGGATCTGATACCATGACAAGGGTATAGTCGCCCTCAAGGGTATCGAGCATCAGGCCCAGCTGATCGTCTATGGTTGCTCAGGTTAGTATGGGGCAATTCAATAGCCGACCCGTGATCCGAACTAAACATACCATTAGAAGCCAGGATTTGCGCCCTCTTATCCTTGTGCTCCAAGGAAGGTAGATGCGTGAGGTCAACCTTGACGATACCGGCAACCTTCCCCTTGGCTGCGCAGGCTTCCTTCACATAATCCTCCAACGAATGGGTTGAGAGGTCGCCGACTACCTCCGCAACGCTGAACCGGCCCTTGATTTCCTTGCTTGCGATTGTGTCGCATAGACTGCGCATTTTACAGTGCGAGCCATCGCGGATGTCGGCGGCGTGCACGTTCGGCTGGGAGACGATAACGTAGTCCCTCGTAGGACAAGAGGAAAGGATCTCCTTGGCGGAAGCAATTACTTGATTGCTGGTTTGGAGCTGATCGTATCTTTCGGGTGTGTTGAGCCTGGAAATCACGGTTTCAAAAGGGTCAGCATCTTCAGTCGAAGTCACATGCATGGAAGCGCAACTGAGTGGGATGTGGTGCACAAGATCGTGATGGCGCGAGGGCAAGGGACACCACCCACGGCGACAATTGGGACATGACGTACTTGGAGGTGGAAAAGAGGACAAATGGTGAAGAGTCCGAGAAGGCATGCACTGCCGTAGAGGCGAGCAGGGTTGTTACTATCGAGAGTTGCATGATTTACAGGTTATGCCAAACTGTCTGCGATGTTGTCGTCGTCGTCAGTTGTTGTGTGGGATATGCGAATATGGTGTAGTGTACAAACTGGCAGCGTGGTGTAGCTCCAGGATCCAGAGCCCGGGAGCGTGGATGTCACTGCACTGGGAGAGCGCCAGACGTCTGATGCATTGGGATTGGATGCTGGGGGGTGACCGGCAGGCTATGGGCATCAGCGATAGGCGGTAGAATAAGGCAGAATACGATAAGGCCGCTTCCTGCATGGTGCCCCGTTCGAGTGAACATTTGAACAGGGGGGTGGCTATCAGTAAATTTACAGTTGAACCCAGAGCATCCAGATCGCTGCATCCAAACATCGATCCTTCCCGCCCTTACCTCTACCTCGATTTCTTGTTCTCCTCACAAAACCACTAAACGAACTTTCCACTCAAACTCAACCCTCAAAGCCATTATGGAGAGGGATCCAGCGTTCTTTGTCGCCCCAAGGCCCAAAAAAAGTGGGCTCGCGCCGCCACCCAAGAAACGCAAGATAGTGCACAAGGTCGAGGAAATCACATTCGACAAGGACGCCCGCACCGAATATCTTACCGGTTTCCACAAGCGTAAACAGGCCCGCATCAAGGCTGCGAAGGCGCAAGCAGAGGAAGAGGCACGGCTGGAACGAATTAGGTTGAGAAAACAGGTACGTACCGGATGACCGCTGTCTTTCTTGGTTGGTTCCATGGCAGTAAGTCTAATCCACGTCGGGTACAGATCAGAGAGGAGCGGCAGAAGAACCTTGAGGAACATATCCAAACAGTGCACAAGCTTCTCCACGAGGCAGAGCGTGCCGGTACCGACGACAAACCCACCGAGAACAAGTCAGACGACGAATGGGATGGGCTATCCGAGGACGACGTGGCGGAAGAGCCTGCGCTTGATGTTGAGGAGGAGTACATCGATGAAGACCGCTATACGACCGTGACAGTAGAAGCTGTCAGCGTAGATAGGGACGGCATCCACAAACCACGGACCTTGAAGGACGAAGAAGATTCCGAGACGGAGAAGAACAACAAGAAGAAGAAGGCGGCTGAAGAGGCGGCGCAGCAAGAGGCCGACAAGAAATCAAAACGAAACTTCCCAGAGAAAAAGAAGAAGAGGAAATTCACATACGAAAGCCGACATGACCGAAACGTCACAGAGAGGAAACAGAGGGCAAAGAAAGCGAAGCGGGCATGATAGGTTAGATGGCGAAGGAAATAATCTACCGCTATTCCTGACAGCGGTATCCCTTACGATATCTAGATCTTGTTCAAGTACTGTGTGTGCAATGCTGGGATGATGGATTATGCTTTGAACTAGTAGGCAATATGAGTTGTACGAGGGAGTTAGATGACGGCTTGGTTTGTCCGTCTTATCTCCCTACTCGACAACCCGAGGACAAACGGCATAAAGGGTCAGGCTGATATTATCGATGCGGTGACGCTGTGAACAAACGTAAAGAAAGGGATTTCCACCATGTTCCGACTGCATCCGTTGACCAACTTAGATGTTGGCAATATCGGCCTGGAACTCTTCCAAGCTCTTCTGTACCTCGGCATACTTCTTGGCCATCTCCTCGTACTTGGACTCCCACTGGTCGCGCTCTTGCTCGAGGGCCTGAACCTTGCGCTCAAAGTGGCCGGCCTTGACGTCGGTCTGGCGAAGCCTGTTGAAGGAGAAAAACATCATGTTAGTCTAAGGTGTCGCAAAGAAAAGGGGTTCAAGGGCACAGGGGTTAGGACCCTCCCCCATCTCATCGTCCAGGGGTGCGTGTTTTCGATGCGAACGTACTTCTCGTTGGTCTCGCGGAGAGTCTTGTCAGCCTCCTCGGCCTCCTCTTCAAGAAGTTGAAGTCTCCGTGTCAGCGTCTCGTTCTGAGTGCCTTGTTGCGCGCCATCCTCGGCGGCGCTCTTGAATTCCTTAACCTGGGTCTCGAGCTTTTCCACCTCACTTTCTAGCACGCTGTTCTTGTGGGAGAGGGAGGTGATCTCCTGCTCCTTCTGAAGGTTCTCCTGCTCGAGGACCTTGATCTTGGACTGGAGCTCCTCGACCTTAGCCGAAGCCTCGTCAGCCTCGAGGCGGAGCTGGTTCATTTTCTGTAAGCGTGATCGCGCTGGTCAGCATTCCGTCGTCAAAGAGCATCGCGATAGTGGTGTCAAGCAGTCGCGGGCATGTTTAGGCCTTGACGGGCAGGCCTGGGGATACACGGATGTGGCGGTGGCCGTAGCTGGCTGTTGCTCCCATTAAGGGGTTACGCATCACTGGGCAGTTGGTGGGGTCCACAACAGGGATCAAGCTCTCGAAAGCGATGATGTTTCTTACCTCCTTGATGCGGTCCATTGTGTCGGTATTATGTGTTTGTGTGGTGGAAAGGTGAGATTAGAAGAGCGCGATGTTGCGAGTTGACGGGTATCTCGAGTGCGAAAAGGGCAGTTTGTGAGGATGGTGTGGATGTGTTGGTTGGGTTGATGGAAGGGAAGAGGAGAAGGAGAGGAAGGTAGCGGACAGATGATAGTGGGTTTGCAATATGAAGAGTGCCCCTCCCCTCCATAACGGCCGCCTGCGTGTCTCCCTCGCCTGCCGTGACTTGGGAGATACGGGAGCCATACATCGTGCCCAGATCGGGGGTCCAGCTGCCCCTGGCTGGTCCAGTTGACCCAGTGCGTTCAGCGCGCCAGCGGGCGGTCTGGCAAGTCTGACCATCTGAATGGGCTGCTCACAGCTTCCCGCTAGGTGTCTTTCAATTTCCATCCTCATCCACTGAAACTTGTCGGTCTGGATCCCCTGGATAGGATTCCACAGGCGGGCAGCAAGGGGCTGGCTCAAATGTGGGGCCAGTTAAGTTGAGCAGCTCACTCCGTTGCTCGGCCAACGCCTCGCCTCGTTCACCCACAAACAGACCGACGGCTCCAAGCACTTGAACTGAAGAGCATCCGATTACTGGACCTTTCCCCGCCACCACCTACATACGACTACAAAAACTCTTCTGGGCAGTTGGGAGCGATCCCATAGCAACACAGCAAGATGTTGAGAGCACATCAAGATCAAGAAAATCGCATTGCGCATCAAGCTGGGAACGCTAAACAACTCCCAGTGAAGACACCTGGCGCTTTGTACCCGAAAACGCCGTTGAAGGTCCCTCTCAACGATGAGAACACCACTCGAGTGTTTGCCGGAAAGGGCACGATTGCAAAAGGCGATAATGTCTTCACTAAGGGCACTGGGGCAGCCATGATGACGCCCGGTGAGTGCTCTTTATGATCTCTTTCCACAATCGAAAGAGGTTGGTTGCGCAAAGGATATCGGTTGACCATTCAAAACAGCCCCTCGAACTGCCAGAGCACCGCTCGGGAACAAGACCACCAACGCAAAGGCAAGAGCGGCACAGCAAACCGGCGGAGGCAAGGAACTAGGCGGCGATCTCAAGTCAACCGTCAAGCCAACGACGACCCTTCGTCAAAAGCAAGCCGCGCCGCAGACCCAAGACTCCAAGCTGGACGTGCATGCCGATATCAAGCCAAAAAACAACGACGAGGAGGAGATCGAGTACTGTCCTCCCCCGGCACAGGACCTTCCGTACGAGTCCGACGTCCTCCCTGCGCACGCCTTGACCTTCGAGTCGCTGAAGCCCGAGAACATGTTCAAGGGATACTACGAGTATTACTACAAGAAGTTGGACAACAATGGCATGACTGCCAAGGAGAGGGAAATGGCAGAGCGGCAACAGCGTGACTTTGCACGCGGCGACGAACAAATCAAGAAAGACATGGAGGAGTTCGACTGGAGCATTGGCGACATTCCTGAGAGCAAGGATCTCCTGAAGAAGACCCAAGTGGACGCAGCTGCAGTTTCTTGCTCCGGAGAAACCAAGAAGACTGGGCGCCTACCAAGCAGGCCGCCTAGTATGTTGGTAGCCCGAAGAGCTGCTTCCCTTCTGTCCCATACTTCTGCGAGGGAACGAAGCATATCCCGCCCACAGGTGAATAGCAAGCCCTCTTTGACGGCCGTTAACAAAGGCAGTCTTTTCGCGCGCAAGCCCTCGCTATCAAATGCAAGTCACGCCAGAACCCTGTCGAAGGACCGTCCAATTTCTAGTGCAACATCCCGAAATACCCTAGGATACAGCAGAGGCAGATCTGTTTCCGAGGCTGCAAGGCCGGCTAGCGCTGCTGCCAGCAATCAACAGCAATCTGGGCCAAGGCCTCGCCCTTTCGCCCGCACCAGCAGCTTGGTGTCCAATGGGTCAGACAATACCATCACCCCGTCTCGGTTTGCGCAGGCTCAGACCACACAAGATTTTCAGAAGCCATTCGGGCTGCTTTCCATCTTCGCCCATGATGAGGAAGAAGAGCACAGTGACCATGAGACTGTGCCTCATTTCGATGATTCCGATGATGATTTCCAGCTTTCAACCGATTTCTGAGCAGAGGCGTTCATTGGAAAGTCGAGCACTTGCTGAGTGACTTTTTCGTCCATATTTCTACATGAGTGGTGTTGGTTTTTTTTTTTTTTTGTTACGGAGTTCAGAGACTGGACGGTGAGATGGATCATCACAATAGTCGGTCGGCTGGTTTGCCATGGTTGGTCTGGCTAATTCTTTTACGCACTATGCAACATTATGAGCGCCGTTAAGGTTGGGAAAGGAATGGTTCCATGGTGTTTCGTCTTCATTGTCGGAGCAAGCATAGATGGTTTGGCGTCTATTCGGAAGAAAGGCAAATAAACGACCGTAATGATGATGTTCTCACGGCTTGTTTGGTGTTGGGCGTTGTCAACCGTTAGGCTGTCATATGGCAGAGCAGGGAACAAGGGAACCTTGTGGTTCTCGCTGTATTTCAACAATCAGACGCTTTTTAGCCCTATGTAAACAGTAGAAAGCGCGTCTTTTACAGTTAGCTTGAATGTTGAACAAAATACAGTTTCCGGTCGTCAATTGTGGGTGATAATCGCCACATAGTGTCAAGCCAACAGCTTCGAAACAAGTGTTCTTCAGACTTCAATCCCTTTGTGGTGATGGAGATCAACAACAGAGTTGGGGATCGTTGAAGCTGCAATGACGCAGTTGGTTGTAAAGAGAACTGAAATGGTAAACCAACAGTGGAACACAGTGACTGACATGTGGATGCCCCTCCACCGGGCCACTTTGCGCTTTTACGCTCCTGGCGGAAGGTAGCAGACGCGACAAGGGAAATGAAGCGCGACACGGGCTTTAATTGTTGATGCACAGGCCAGCCTGATGCTTGGCGCAGGACGAACCTGAGAGTATCTTTCCGTTTTTGGCTTAGCAAATCCCCTTATCCGCCTGCCGCCATGTTGCCCTTCCACGCTTGTTTCAACTTTCAGCGGCCGGCGCATCGAAGAATCCATGGTCCACAACCCGGTCTGCGCTGCCCATGCCCTTGTGCCCTTGACGCACCTCCTTTGAAGGAAGAACACTCTCAAACTTTCGACTTCATTCAATCCCGCCACGATTTTGCACTGCTCACAACGAACCACCGTCTCCCACTCAGCGTTTTCCGTGTCGCCGATGTCAGCAGGGCTCGCCGTCTCTATTTGATCCAGATTCATTCCTTCCTTCGCACACAATCGAGCTCACCACTCCACGCCCTCATTCGCTGCCCCGTTCACCAGCCACTGCAGTCACCCCCCCGTTCAGCGTTCAGCGTCAGCGCCCGCCCTGATCGGCAAAAGCTCAGTCCCGCCCGTCCTGTCGCGTGGTTCTCTCTCGCTCTGCACGCGCGCGCGATTCTGCCCTTCACAAAAGTTATCGCAGCTCACGTCGCCCTCGACTTCGGCCACGTCCCAGCTCAATCCGCCCGCGTCGATCCCCTCATGCATGCTATCTCGCAGTTTCGCCGACTCGAGTGATGATGGTAGGAGGAAGGCGGGAGAGGTAGACGTTCCCCATTCTCGCAATGTCTCGGTCGTCCGGCGCGAGTTTCGCTCAGTTCTTCCCCGCCGCTCCGCGGGCTGCCAGGGACAGAGCTACGGAGCGAGAGCGGGCAAGAATGAGAGCGCAAGCTTCTCCGCCCACGCAGCCAGTTGACACGAACGGCCATCGCACTCCCTTGTCCTCATTCACTTCCAACCGATCTGATGACGGAGCCAGTCCTGGCCGCTCACACATAACCTCTCTCAATCACAGCTCATCCGCCGGTGCTGACGCAACCCGCCCTCCGCTTGAAGATACCGAGTCGCTGCCCGGCGACACGCTAAACACGGTTGGCTCTGCAAGCTCGCATGCAAGCACAAGCTCATCCATCTTCAGTTCCTCCACGCGACAGCCCGCCATGGCCTCAGCTTCAGTGAGGAACTCTCACACTCACAACTCCACCACCCCTCTCACAACCGCCGACTCACCGTCATCCTTATATCTCTCTACATCCCTTCATGCGAAGCCGCACTCTGTCTCGCCCCATCATGCCGACAAGCAAAACGGCCTGACACCGACACTCAACGGCTCGGCCACTGATTCTCTCGTCCCACTCCCTGACGGTACCGAACGTGTCCCGCCCCGCGACCCTAGTCGCTCCGTCTTGTGCACCATATGCACATATGATCCTCTCCTGGACAAAAAACTGTCGAGCTCCGAAAAGAAAAAGGCGAAACCTATATACAAGGATTATGGCTTGGTACGTACACTGAACACGTCGGCGTGGAAGGGGGGAGGGCGTCATCTTTGTGAATCAATTGGCTAATACTGCTTATAGAACGATGAAGATGACGCTCCCCCTTCAGATCCACGCCTGGCGCACGGCGGGAAACTCAGCTACATCAACGTCAACTTTCACCTCCCTAAAGCCCAATTGATTGATGCGCCGAGCAACCTGAAGCCCTATCCATATGACCCCAAGACCTCCTGTGGCCCGGGGCCCCCAGTACAAATTCTTGTGAGAGGCTTCAATCCTTTGATCGCCTTCACAAAAGTCACCACCATATTCGCATCATTCGGCGACATTGCGGAAAGCAGCAACAAGATGCACCCAGAGACGGGAAGCTATCTCGGCTTCGCGACGATTCGGTACAAAGATTCGAAACCGACTTCTTCACGACCCGTACCTGTTCCTGCTCATCAAGCTGCCAGGAGAGCTGTCCGAGGAATGCACGGGAGGAGGATAGAGGCCAACCAAGTCCGCGTCGAGTTTGACCCCGAAGGCCGAAAGAGCAAGGCCTTGATGGAGGCTGTTCTTAAAAAGAGTAGGGAAACATCGCAGACCCCGAGCGCTGCCTACAAGATTCCTACCGGGCCTAAACCAAGAGCTGGTGAGGTTATCCCTGGACCTCCGCCAACAGCCCCCAAAGGTCCAGCAGCGCACCGAGCCCTTGGAGGTTCCGAAGCCGGTTGGACCTCAACCAAGCCTCGACATCCCAGCATCATCGAAACCGAACCGATCGTTAATCATATCAAGAGCGAGCCGTATATTTTTGTGGCGCATGAGTATGTTCCAGTGATGCCAACAACTGTGGCTCATATGAAGAAGCGGCTCAAGCAATATGGCTTTGATGACATTCGCGCGGATAGGACGGGCTACTACATTATCTTCCGCGATTCTCATTATGGGCGAGACGAAGCAAGCAAGTGCTACAATTCCGCAAACGACACAGCGTTCTTCACTTACAGCATGGTCATGGATCTTCACCTCTTCGGTACGGTGGGCAAGAGCTCAAGGAGCTCTGAGGATCATCGCAGGCACAGCTATGGTTCGGAGAAAAGACCGCCACCCGAGCACCGACAACGTGATGATCAAGACCGGCGCCGCCGTGATGAAGAGGCGGACATTGAGGAGGAGAAGAAACAACGGGCCAAGAACCTCGATCCGGTCAAGGAGGCTGCCGAAGTGATACGACGAGAAATGACGGAGCATCTGCTCAAGACCATCCGTACCAAAATCACCCTTCCTGCAGTCTTCGACTATCTTAACCCGGTCAATCATGCTGCAAAGCGGCGTAAGCTTAACATTGACGACGCTCATAGTGGTACGATTCCATCGATTGTCTTCGATGACTCTGAAGGCAGGTCTTCTCCAGTTGGTACTCCGAATTCGAGAGCCGACCCAATTGAGAGGCGTACGGCTCGCGCTGATGTTTCAACTTTACGGGTCCGAAAGCTGAAGAGCAGGGGAGTGAATGCCCGAAAACATGGGTTCAATGATCCCTTTGCGCGGGCACGACCCACGCAACGAGTAGATCTTCGGTCTCTGCATCATCGTCTTAACTCCGATAGTGACGATGATTCTGACGATGGTGTGGATAACCGATATTCTATGATTCGGGACACAGAGGAACCGGAGTCTCGGCCAAGGAGCCGTGTAAGTTCAGAGGAGGACCGGAACAAAGAAGAAACTGGGTCCTGGGTTGCTGGTGAAGACGACTCAATGACGGAGGCCAGCTTCGCTCTCAACGATACGTCAGCCCTGCTAAAGAAGCGAAAACTGGACCTTCCGGCAGAAACGGCTATTAAGCGGCAGAAGAAAGCTGAAGAGCTCTTCGAGGCGACTATCGCACGCATCGAGACCGAACTGCCTTCACAGGAGCAGGCTGTGGAGTCTGCTACCCCCACAGGCGTCGAAGCACCATTGAATGACCTACCTGATGCCGACGTTAAAGCCGAACCGGCAGAGGACAAAGAGACCGAGGACTCGCGGTTGCCAACCCCTATACCAGATAACACAAAACCGAAGAAGAAGGCCAAAGCCAAGAAAAAATCCAAAAAGCAGATCTTCGAGGAGCGTGAGGCGCTCAAAAAGCAACAACAGGAGACATTTGAGAGAGAGGCTCTTCGGGCCGCAGGGATTGAAGACATTGAAGGTACTCCGGACGCTGAAGCGAAATCCCAGGTTGGTGAACCTGAACCTGTACCCGAACCAGAACTCGACACCAAAGGGGAAGCCCCGGAGGCTCCCGAGGCAGAAAGCAAACCTGATCTGGATCCTGAATTGTATCCATCGGAGGTCGTCGACGCTCTCATCCTACCCAAGGATTTCAACTTGGATATTGGAACCCTGAAACTGGTGCCATTTCAAGGCGAGGATGGACCAGATGCCCAGAGGCTCCAAAGAAAGTTTGGTACCGCTAAGCTTGATTGTGATGCTGAGCTGTGGCTTTGGAGACGGAATAGGATCCGGCAACTCAATTCAGAGGATGGGTCAATCGATAAACCAGTTGGAATCGGCGGTTATTATGTGCCCAATCCGACTGGATGTGCCAGGACCGAGGGCGTCAAGAAAATTCTCAATTCTGAGAAGTCCAAGTATCTTCCCCATCATATCAAGGTCAAGAAGGCCAGGGAAGAGCGGGAAAAGAATGCCAAGAACGGGAACACCAACTCTGTCGCTGCCGCCGCAGAAGCCGCCAGGCTCGCAGCAGATAGCCTGGTCGCCAAGGGCAATTCGCGTGCCAACCGTGTCAACAATCGCCGATATGTTGCGGAGATCAATGATCAGCGAAAGAACTTTGGGCAAGATTCGGATGTCTTGCGGTTCAACCAGCTTAAGAAGCGAAAGAAGCCAGTGAAATTTGCGCGATCCGCTATTCATAACTGGGGTCTTTATGCAATGGAAAACATTAACAAAGACGACATGATCATCGAGTACGTTGGTGAGGAAGTCCGACAGCAGATTGCCGAACTTCGCGAAGCCAGATACCTCAAGAGCGGCATCGGTAGCAGCTACCTCTTCCGCATCGACGATAACACCGTTATTGATGCGACGAAGAAGGGCGGTATTGCCCGATTCATCAACCATAGCTGCATGCCCAATTGTACAGCCAAGATCATCAAAGTGGAAGGGAGCAAGCGCATCGTTATCTATGCGCTGCGCGACATTGCTCAGAGTAAGTCTTTTATGGTGGAAAGTGGCATGAGATGCAGTGATAGTTTGAGCTAACGCGGCGTGTTGTAGACGAAGAGTTGACGTACGACTACAAGTTCGAGCGCGAGATCGGAAGCACGGATCGTATCCCCTGCTTGTGCGGAACAGCAGCATGCAAGGGGTTCCTCAACTGATCGAACAACGCACGATGCGCTTGATATAGCAGTAACGACTGTCACGACTCCGGATGCTTCGGATTCTGAGCGTTCCTCGTGATGGTGGAGGTTGATTGAATGGGTACGACGCAAAGCAAGCTGGTGAAGGATGGATGGTGTCAAAGACTGGTCGGTGTAATATGGACAACAAAACGGGCTGGTGTCTCCTTCCTTTGCCTCTTATGAGTTCCACTTATTTCCTGGTTACGCTTATATTCTCCTCACGAGCGGACAATTAATCCCGGACTACCTTGCCACTCTTTGGTTATCATTCTTTGGGTTCGTTCTTATTTCTCTTCCATGGCCGTTTGGGGGGGTAGTTGCAGCCACCTGTCTAAACCCGCAGCAACCTTCCTGATATACCGTGTGAACTTGTTGAAAGGTTTATTTTGTTTGGGACAGGCCTCAAAATTGGCGGATGAAGGGACTCGGACGGTTCTTGAAAATGGGTTTTCAAATGCTTTTCTCTACTTCGCTACGTGGGGTGCCACTTGCCTTGGTCGGACTTGGGTGTGACTTTGATGGTGTTTCTGGCGTTTGTTAGAGGATATGTTAGGGTTTCGGTATTACAGGGACGGTATCTGGCTATCATTTGGGAAGGTTGAACACATTTGGCTCCTCGAAACGAATGAAACAGGCGTGGAAGATTCTGGGTGATAGGTTCTAGGTTATGGCCTTTTCGTCGGTTATACTCAGCTCTCGGCCTTGAAGGTGTGAGAAATCAGGTTAGGCGGTCGCCCCCTTTCAGTATCATGACGCTAGCCTATATAGGCCCGACTTGATTCACAGGGTGTTGACCGTCACAGATAAAAGGGGAAGAAGTCAGAAATATCATTCCAACGGAGACATAGAGCTTAGTTGGTGGATGGGTTGCCCGTTAATGATAACAGGTCGCGTAACAGGGCCACTTGAAATATCGATATCAATACAATTATGCTACTCACCTCTAGACCATAACCATTACTGCTAAGTGCGGCCATGCTGATCTGCGATACATCAAGTGAAGTCTGCTTCAGGGACATGCTGGATTCCTGATGAAGTGGGAATGTCGGACATTGGACAGCGATTCCCTCCTTTTTTTTACTTGGCTGAACGGGGGTCCTCACGACAACAGGGGGAGCTTGTTTACTTCAACCCGTCATCTTTCAAATGCGTCATTGCCCCGGAGGCTGTTTGCCATGTCACGATAAAACGAAACATCTGTGTGACGAGACTTGTTCCGAAATTCCTTTACCCATTTGCCGACCTCGGGTCAACCTCACAATACCTCTACCACAACCGTACCTGAGCTCTGTCCAAACCAGATTACCTACCCTAACCCTAGGAAAGCTCTGGGCGAGTGGGATGATGGAAACAACGCTAGGGGTTACGTACTTGCAGGAGGAGTTTGTAGCAGGGGAGAGCACGGTACAGTAATGATCCCTGCTTTTGCAACTAATGCCGGCAGCCCAGATTTTTTGCAAAAGAGGGGGGTTTGCAAAAGGGAGGACAGGAGCACAGACCAGGTAAGAGTCTTCTAGCTACTCAGTAATAGTTAGAGGTACTAGAAAGTGGATCCCCTGGAGCTATTAGACCCCGGTATACGGGTATAAGAGTGCCCGCCCCACCAAATTCGACCCCTGCTTTTGCAAATCCGGGCTGTTAGCGTTGCAAATTGCAGGTTGCAGGAATTACCACCAGAGGGAATGCAGGCAGTCGAAATCTTTTGCAAAAGGGGGGATTTTGCAAAAGGAGGGGGTTGCAAAAGCAGGGATCTTTACTGTAGGAGCACCGGTGTGGATCGGCGGGGTCATGGCTAGAGAGCAACCTGATGGGGATAGGTACCTCTAGGTTAGGTAGGTAGGTAAGCTGCCGTGGGCTACATACCTCTAGTATGTAGAGGTAGGAAAATGGGGAGCAGCTGCCGCTGTCCTCCCACTGCGGCGGGCGGCTGCGGCTGCGGCCTGGGGTGCCTTACCTCGTCACCACCATCCCAAATTCAACGGCTCTGCTTGACCAAGCTTCCAACCTCTCACTGCCACCATCACCAACCAAACCGTCCTCGAATCCCTCAACACCCGCATTGCAGCTCGATACGCCTGCCCGCCCATCACCCGAGCGACCCGCGCATAAACATATACCTACAGTCATTCTTACCTCGGATTCTCCTCGACCTCCTCTGAAACCTACCTCCGCGCCAATTGCCCCTTCGCCCAAGATGGCTCCCGTAAGCCTCGCCCCATCATCCCCCGCTTCTCGACAACGCGTTGCTTCATGTTGCAAACCACCACCACACCATCGCATATTTTCTATTTGACCTCATCTACGACTTTGCCTGCTGACATGGCCTCTGAATAGCAACAAAATGGCGCCGAGGTTGATGGCATCCATACCGGTAAGTGTTCAGTTTGCGATTTCGTGCAACTGCTAAACTAGACGTAAGGTTCATGATTTACTAATAGCTCGCAGGCAAGATCTACTCGGTGTCCGGGTGCGTTCCCCATCACAACCCACCTCCATGTCTCTCAACCAGCTCGCTAACCCATAGGCCCAAAGCCCCGTCGTTGTCGCCGAGGACATGATCGGTGTTGCTATGTATGAGTTGGTATGGTTATACAGTTGTCCTTGGCTACTATTGGGGTGCCTGAGCTGAGACTGGAATTAGGTTAAAGTCGGCCACGATCAACTAGTTGGTGAAGTCATTCGTATCAATGGCGACCAAGCAACAATTCAAGTATACGAAGAGACGGGTAAGGCTGACAATCTCAAGTCACTCCATCCTTGCACTAGATGGCTAACCAGTCCCTCGATAGCTGGTGTCATGGTTGGCGATCCCGTACTACGGACCGGCAAGCCTCTCTCTGTCGAACTCGGCCCTGGTCTCCTAAACAACATTTACGATGGTATCCAGCGCCCCCTCGAGAAGATCGCCGAGGCTTCCAACAGCATTTACATTCCCCGCGGTATTGCCACCCCTGCGCTGGACCGCAAGAAGAAATGGGAGTTCACACCGACCATGAAGGTTGGCGATCACATCGCGGGTGGTGACGTCTGGGGTACTGTCTACGAGAACTCGTTTATCTCTGTCCACAAGATTCTCCTCCCTCCCCGGGCCCGTGGTACCATCACTAGGATCGCCGAGAAGGGCGAGTACACCGTTGAGGAGAAGATCCTCGAGGTCGAGTTCGATGGCAAGAAGACCGAATATCCCATGATGCAGACCTGGCCTGTCCGTGTACCGCGTCCTACGGCCGAGAAGCATTCTGCCAACCAGCCTTTCCTTGTCGGCCAGCGTGTGCTCGACGCTCTGTTCCCCTCGGTCCAGGGTGGTACTGTTGCTATTCCTGGTGCTTTCGGCTGCGGCAAGACTGTCATTTCTCAGTCCGTCTCCAAGTTCTCCAACAGTGACGTTATCGTATACGTCGGTTGTGGTGAGCGCGGTAACGAGATGGCTGAAGTCTTGAAGGATTTCCCCGAGCTGTCTATTGAGGTCGACGGCCGCAAGGAGCCCATCATGAAGCGCACGACCCTCATCGCCAACACCTCCAACATGCCCGTCGCCGCTCGTGAGGCGTCCATCTACACGGGTATCACAGTCGCCGAGTACTTCAGAGATCAGGGCATGAACGTCGCCATGATGGCTGACTCTTCGTCCCGTTGGGCTGAGGCGCTCAGAGAAATTTCGGGTCGTCTAGGAGAAATGCCGGCTGATCAGGGCTTCCCCGCTTACCTTGGTGCCAAGCTCGCATCCTTCTACGAACGCGCCGGCAAGGTCCAAGCTCTTGGTAGCCCGCCGCGCGAGGGTAGTGTTAGCATCGTTGGTGCTGTTTCTCCCCCCGGTGGTGATTTCTCTGATCCCGTCACATCTGCCACCCTCGGTATCGTGCAGGTCTTCTGGGGTCTCGACAAGAAGCTTGCACAACGCAAGCACTTCCCGTCCATCAACACCTCCGTCAGTTACAGCAAGTACCTCACCATTCTCGACAAGTGGTATGAGAGAGAGTACCCCGACTTCCCCCGCCTCCGCGACCGCATCCGCCAGCTCCTTTCCGACAGCGAAGAGCTCGACCAGGTCGTCCAGCTGGTTGGCAAGTCGGCGCTCTCGGATCCCGACAAGATCACGCTCGACATGGCAACGCTCATCAAGGAGGACTTCCTCCAGCAAAACGGCTACTCAGACTACGACCAGTTCTGTCCTATTTGGAAGACGGAGTGGATGATGAAGCTCATGATGGGATTCCACGACGAGGCACAAAAGGCAATTGCTCAGGGCCAGAACTGGAACAAGGTGCGCGAGGCCACCCAGGACCTGCAAGCCCAGTTGAAGAGTCTCAAGTTCGAGGTCCCTAGTGAAGGACAAGAGAAGATTTGCAAGAAGGTATGTATATCTCTTTTCTGAGCCCTTGTTTCTCGACGTTTGTCAAATGGTATAAGGCTAACCATTTATGTGTGCTATAGTACGAGGCGATACAGCAGCAGATGCTGGACAAGTTCGCGTCTGTCATTGATGAGTAAACGAGCGCCGGGATATACAGTAGTCGAGTTAGCATAGATGGAAGCAAGAAGCAAGCATGATGCATGGACTGTCTGTCTGGGGGTTTATTGAAACGGGAGGTGGGTGTACATGAAACGGGTTTATGAGGGTGATGATGATGAAAGACTGTTTTAGTTGATTTTGTTTTGTTCACTGTTAGTTCGTCGTCGTCGTCGTTGAAGTAGTGTTGTGAACGTTGCTCACTTGTCGCGGGACCCTCGTTTTCGAACACCATGCTATTAATTCCTCTTGGATGCGCTTTCGACTTGCTCAGCTCTAGCAACCGTGCTTGAATCACTTGATCGTATGTATATACCCTTGCTTGCCTCTTCTGACTTGATTCAACCCTGTATATAGCCCTCTCTAATCACGGTAGTTAAAGGGCTCGAGCAGTCTCTGGGCTGAGTAAGTGAGTGATGTTGCACTCGTCAACATCGTCATGTATCTCATTCTATGTGCTCGTCATGTCCATCGTTGCAGTATATAGGCAGCGGTGGTGATACAAGAAATTCGTGCGCGCAGAGACCGAGATAGATAGATGGATAGCAACATGGAGATTCACATTCCATCTATCCTCCTACATCCAGATATTCCCAACACACCAAATCTGATAGCATGGTTGCCATTCGATCTGGCGAGCTTTGGTCGAGTTCCAACCCAATTACTGGGTTGGTACTGAGTCTATCGCCCGCCGCGCTTCCCTCCCCGCCGGCCCCGAGGCTTTGATGTGTATCCTTTCCCCCTTCCTCCTTGCTGTTTCTTTCTTCCTTGGGAAAAACTGCCGGGTTCCCCCCGGTTATGACTGTCGTCGAATTGGTTGGAACGTGAATCGCGAGCATGAGCATGGATTTGTATCCTTCGGGATGTTTTGTTGGTGGCAGTGGTGGTGGTTCACGATCCTTACTTCAATCAGTCCAACGAGTCTTGTCCCAGCTCCGGTTCCCTAAGTCCCGATAATAGGTTGAAAGGCGAGAGCGTGGTTAAGGTTCGATTGGCAGTTTTGTAGTCGTAAGTATCCTGGATGATGTTTACACGGCTTCATACTCGTTTTGATATCAACGATTGGAAGATTCTCGTGTCGTCGTCCTGATCGTCGTGGTCTTGGGCAAGCGTTTCGGTCAGTCGCAGTGGCCTGATCACCTGCCCTTACGTCCCTTATTTTTTGGACATTGAGGCGTCAATGGCATAGGCGGCCCGGGAGCTGAGAAGGCTGCTTGTGCATTCATGGCAGCGCCGACCTCTTCTCCCACTCCTTTTAGCAATTGGCTGTTTCATTCAAGTTGTCCGGCCTGAGTTTGGTGAGGACGGGTGTGGAGGGATCCTCAAGCATGGTATCGGTCGACGTAGTCACTAGTGCAGGAGAGTGGCCGGAGGCGGCCGCAACGAGTTGCTTGCCCGAACTGGAGGACTTCTGTTTCTTCTTCTTTTTGTGAGAAGCAAAAGGATTAGCCGGTCGTAGGGGGTGGAGGGATTGTGTGATGGGACACACCTTTAAAATTTTCAATATATTCTGATGGGTGGCAGAAGAAGATATAATATGCCGTTTATGAATCACAATCCACTACTCATAGAAGAAGTGATATGTATTGGCTCGTATTTCTGGTGGATTTGATGGCCCTGTTAAAACAAACTGGGACATGTATACATACGGCTGGATATGATACCCATGTAGGATGTGAGAGAGTAAGAGAAAATAATGGATTGCCCTTACACAGATTTGTCGTTCTCAGTTCGCTTTTCGGAGGTTGTTGATGGAATGATGTCGCCGTTAACCGTAGTTCCACTCCATCTTGTAGATGTTGCAGTACCTGTAGGTTCCCAATTTGACCAATCATTGTCGTCAACCGAGTCCATCGCCAGGGGAGTCCAAGAAAATCGCTTGGGTGACCTGGATGCATCTGTTTTGGATCGCATCAGTGCTGGGGCAGGTCGCGACGGAGATTTCAGCGACTCATCGGCCGTCGAATCCTGAGTTTTCTTAGGAGGGCTGGTGGACCGCGATATGGGCACGGCGGGTGCCCAGTCGGATGCTGTAGAAGATCGGTTCCTCGGGGTGTTCAGACCGGATGCCCTGAATCCATCTTGCCCTCCCGTGTGGCTAGAGGAAGCCGTGCCGCTCTTCGGCATAGGCATCATACTCAACTTGCCGTCCGCGCCTCTCATGTACATGCCCTGTCCGGTGACGGGTTCGTCTCCTACGGTAGCTTGCCTCAGATCTTCCATGAAAGTCCACAATCCCATCCTGAGGTCCTGGGCAATTCCTTTGACCCCAACAGTTTGTGATGAGGTTTGGGGGGCCCAAGATTGATGTTTTGGCCGATATGTCGGGCTGAAAGCAACATTGCGACTATTTTCTGATCCATCACCGCGCCCAGGGAAGTCACTACTTGGTTTTGTAGGTGATAGCAATGATAGTGTGCGTGCATGTCCTCCTTGAAAAACACGGCGGCGCCCGTTCTCGGGAAGTAGTTGATTTTGGTTTTGTAGGCTTTGTAGCAATGCTTTCCTTCTGTCGAGTTCCACGGCCCTTTTTGTTGCCTCCTCATCTTGGAAAGTCGGGACCAAGCCGACGGAACGCAACGGCCTTTCGCCTCGTTTCTTGTAAGCTTCATAGGTCGCCCACTGCTTTTTTAGCTTGGCCAAATCCAACTCGGCACGAGAAAGCTCTTCGCGGAGTTCAAGAACACGGCGCTCTTGTGCTGCAATTGCGGTGATAAAGTCATTGATATCGGAGGGCGACGTCAGTGCTGGGGTGTCTAAAGGGGTTGATGGAAAAGAGGCGGTAGTCGTCGAGGTCGGTATGGGTCGCGAGGGATTAGGGTTCGGCGGCGCGATCGGAAGTGTCAGGGAAAGACGATGTGTGGTTCGGGACGCTGTGGAAGCTGATCGTGTAGAGCGGTTCTCAGTCAGGTCGTCGGTATGGGCTAGAGCTGTGGCAATGGCTTCGTCCGGTACGTGTCGAGCCTCGGTCTCATCTGTACTTATCCCACGGCGAGCGCGAGATCGTAGAGAAGACGTTCGGCGGGGAAGAGAGGCGGACTGCATTGTGATCTGACCAAAGCTGCTCTGAGGTGATATTATGTGTGCCATGACGAGGGAATTCTCGTCCCGTCGAAGTTTGCTGAGAATTGGCCCTGAATATCTGGCTTTCTGATGAATAGTAGCAGTAATGATAAACGAATGTGCTGTTGCTGTTGCTGTTGCTGTCGCTGTTGTTGTGTTGATGTTTGGTGGACGATAGGGAGTGATGGTGGGGGCGCAGGGGCGGCGAGGAGTGCGAGTGGTTCGATGTCGATCGCAAAGCTGCCGGGAGGCCTGTCGGAGGGCTGTGTTTGTAATTGTTGCGGTGGGAAAGCGAGTCGTTCTTCTGGCGACGACGGTAGCCGTGTGGATGTTCAACGGATGACTATCACGAAGTAAAAGAGCGTTGGCGCAGGCCGAGATGGAGCTGGTGATGAGAAGTGGTAGGGCAGACCGGAGCTCGGCGGTGGAGGAGAACGAGGGCATTTACACTCGGAAAAAGAGAGGACCAGAAAGCCCCGAGAGAGAGGAAAGCTTCAACAACTGCTTGGTGGTGGTAGTGCCAGGACAGGGGACCTCATCTCGGTCCTGTCATGGAACCGTGCTGTTTAATTGGCGAGGATGGGTGCTTTCCCCCTGGTTGTAGGGCATGGGGTGCCCCGGATCTCAGCTGGAATCCGGTGATGCTATTCGCCCTAGAGTCGCGGCCCCAGTCGCCAAACGGCGTCTCCGCAAAGCCCCGTGGGTGGTGATGGCGACGGCGTGGTGTTTGGAGCTTCTAGACTCTGGAGCCTGCGCGGGCGTTGTATTATATTTCGACAACCTCGAGGACGTAAAGACCGTTCCGTTTAATGCCGACTGAGTATTGGCCGCACCATGTTTAGATGATTCCCCAAAACCGCGAGTTCTGTCTAGAAAAACAACAAAAGGTGGAGGCCCGGTCTGTTTACGTGATCCAATGTTTCCGCGTTGAATTGCAGGACAATGCAGGAACTGGAGAAGCGTCCACTGTCTGCACGGATCCACTGCAGGCGAAGACCGTTATTGAAGAGCTGGGTTGACGGGAAGATGGGAAAGAAGCATTTTATCAACGGAAAGATGTTGAGAGATGTGAGAGTTCAGGGATAGAGATTGGTTCTCATGTTCCCCAATGCTTCTCCTTTATGCGTCGTCAATGGGAAAGAACTACGTGCAGTGCTTTGGGTGGTGAACATTGTCAAGTTCTCCCGAGCCGTGAATTCATGCATGTTTGTGTTTTCGTTCACTGCACTTCTCTCATGTTATTTGCTACTGCATGTGTGACGGGAAGCAACAGCTGCCAATTGGCAGGCAACAACTTGGGTATGTATGTAATTGGGTTAGGTGGGTACCTCTATACATGTCCGGGTAGCTTTGGCGGCCCGTTACCAAATCTACTCCGACCAGGCACTTGCACTTGGGTTGGCGTCACGAAGCTCTTTCTCCATTTTCATGTTTATCCTGTTGTCAGTTCTCCAGTCCACCAACAACAATATGAGCGCCCTAAAGTTAATAGCACCTCCGGCATGTGGCCCCAGCTGTGGCACACATACATCTCCAGACCCTGATCATGATCTCGAATATTGAAAGCAGAGAAGAAGATACTACATGAGACGAGACTTGGTACTTCAGCATATGTCAGGCACTCCCACGCTGGTCAAAGCGTACGCAATTAAATCGGACGAACTATTCCAACGTTTCAAGTTCGTCCTTCGAGTACGCCACTGCGCATGTCTCCCATGTAATAGGATCGGGGTCCATTGATCAAGTCTGAACACCAACAAATCGAAATGTGCGGTCGATGGGCAACCTTCTGCCGGCGACATTTGAAAGCCCGGCTGCCTTTTAGACAACAAAGTATGCTGAGACCTTAGCCGGCTGGGACTCTTGCCTCGCAAGTCTCCATACTCGCAGAAAATCCAAACACTATTCCAGGCCCATACTTTTCTCATCCATATGTTTGTTGTATACGGACCATTGTGTCCCTCGAGCTGGCAAGCTCACGATGCCCTCCACTCGACACATCGATCCAAAGCCACAGTATTCCGGCCCGTACCCTGCCACATATTGTGAACACGGATCTGTACCCCAGTGAGTAGGCTAAGTCTGCCAGCTTTCAGTACATTCAAAAGGGTTTAAAAGCAGCGGCCTGGAAATACTTTGGATCTTCGTCAAGGATTCGCTGGAACTTCCGGCTGTTGATTTCTACCGCGCTTCAGTTATATGTTTCATGTTTTGCGTTTCTTCACTGGGTCCGAAGCCGGCTATCTTGTTTTTGATACTCTCCGCTGCATACAAGATTACTCTACCGTGCCAGCCTGCCCGTATGTAGAAGCTGACTCAGATGGGCCCGTAGAACCACAAGCACAACTTCGATCATAAGCTTTTGCTATGATCCACTCACTCAACAATCAACAGCCCGATTAGCTCAGCTGGTTAGAGCGTCGTACTAATATCAGTCCTCTGATATCAAGTCAATGCGAAGGTCAACAGTTCAATCCTGTTATTGGGCATATCTTTTTCCAGTTTCTCTGTCTTGTACTATCTATTACTTATGATAGTGAAGCTCTCGTATTTGTAACTTTTTTTTTTTTTCTTTTTTACCAAACTCCTCATTTTATCCCTGTTTTCCCCTTCGATTGCCCGTGCTTACAAAACTTCAAATTGGAAGACCATAATAAGATTGGCAAATATAGAGTGTCCGCTCCCATCGCGCGGCACAAGGACGTTGACCTATTGATCTGTACCATACCATGCTAATCATGTCATATTTTCGTAAGTTCAGCTGGGCCTGAGATCTTCACTTGATGGAGCATAATCACTAGACATAGCGACCAAATATCTAGCTCGTGGTGTAACGCTGGAAGGAAAGTCGGTCTGCTTCGACTATTGTGATGCCTGTCACCTAACAACGGCACTACTTGAAGACAATCAGAGGGACAGGACTCGGTCAAACCAAGCTGACTAGCTGAACTACACTGCCTGATTCTGCGATTAAGCGTAAAAGGCCATATCAGCACTAGAGACCTAGATACAAATTCCTGCATATTGCCACCTCAGTGTAAGCAAACCCTCTCGAGCCTTTACTTGGTCCAGAAACAGCATTGGTGGGTAGCACAAATGGTGAGGCTGGCGCTGTCGGCTGGTCTACAAGAGCAACCGAGAATCTGAGACCCTTTTAGACAATACCGGCGAAGCAGAGGTCGACGTTGTCAATGGAGGCTTGAATTGCGGCAACAATTTAGCCATTCCCTTCCGTGTTACAGCCCTGCCCTTCAGCTGGTCTCCTGGATCTCATCTGCGCAGCGAGACATAAGGACCGCGCAGCAGCTCATCGGAGGGAAACACAAGTGCCTCACAGACGTTTGGGACTTCGCCTGAAGCGCCATTGCCTTATCATGGTTGGCCTTCTTCTTGAACGGTTTAGCATGATTTAAATGCTTTCAACCTCCCAGAACTGTCCCAAAAAAAAAAAAAAAAAAAAAAAAAAAGAAAAAAAAAAAGTTGTCCATCTTAATCCCCAAACCCGCTCTTTTTCATGCCCGCTTTCTGACTGCTTTGGTGCCTACGGCATCCAGTTTCTCGCAAGGCATCGGTCAACATGAACCATACGAGTCAAGGAGTACTGACCACTGGTGTTGGAGGTTCCAATCCAGGAGATGGACCATATCCCACCGTGATCAGAAAATGCGGGCGTGTCTAATATCGGTTTTAGAGACGTTTTCTCAAATTTTAGGTATCTACCTCACCAACAGAGCATCGGTATCTATTCAGCGACATTCTGATCGGAAGAAGGAGATGGATGGAGCAGATAATACGAGAAGGAGCAAGGGATGAGAAATCAGGCCTTATGCCTCTACTCTTGAGTACCATGCATCAGAACTTAGTGGCTATGAAAGCAAAGCTTCGGTCGCGTACATTGTCATGGCATTCTGCAATTGCATCCCCATGAGTGATAGCCTACCTACCTCAGCCCTTCTCCGGAGACAGGAAATTGGATCGACCGAACTACTTCTGTCCACACGGGAGGTGATATGTCTCCAGTGCAATGGTGCAAGTAAGCATACACGACAGGACTCTATCAAATACATTGCCAATAACCAGAGGATCTGAAGCGGGGTCAAGGCTGCCGAAACCGTTGCTCCCTGTGATGGTATGTCTCTAGATTACGGTTGCTGCTTATGTCGACCTGCAAAGTCAATGGTCTGAAGGATTCCATAGGATTAGAACAAAGTCTTCGGTACCAATGCCGAGCTTTTCGGGTATGAGAGTCACCTCAACGAGGGGTTCCCATTGACTGTCTCGAGCGATTTTAGTCAGGGGGGTCATGTACCTAGTCATGCTACGGTTTGATATCTCTTTGAAGTACTTCTCTTCCGTGGCGAGCAGATAGTCAATCTTATTGGCTGGTGAACAAGATACGGTAGGAGGGTCGCACCACCAGATCCTTCGATGTCACAGTACTCGGTTAAGATTATACTGGACCAATGGTTATAGGGTCCCCCACGTAAGGACCGAAGCATGTCATCACAGGCAACGAGGCTCGGATTTGGTCTCCATGGGGGACCAGTCCGTGAGGTACACAAACTTCCCAAAAGCGCCACGCAAAGGTTTCGACATTGGCATTTCCCACAATGGATACATTTACTCATCCGCTATCTCGCGGCACGGATCGATCCCGCGTTCATATGAGCCGAAACCAAGAGCCGCCAGCATGAAATGTGCAGAATGGCATTTTGATTTTCGCATCTACCTCCTCGCATTGCTGTTGCAGGCCTACTATGGCTCAGAAGCTCAATGAGAGAACATCATGTACCAAGCCATATCAGTCACCGTAGGATCCGGTTAGTAAACAAAACGACCCTTGCCAACAGCTGTAAGATCGTCAGTACCTTACATCCCCCCAATTGCAAAGCTGACATCTTTCGACAACGGTTCGCACTGACAAAAGGTCTCTACAGATCCGAACTCGCCAACATAGAAGTACCGTAACGTACCTATGTGCCTGTTTGGTCTTGGGCCCCCTTATCGCGGGGCAGAGAATTGAGCACAAGACCCCTATTCTGTACTGGTCTACATAATATGGTAGTAGGCTTGACTGGTATCTCAAATTACGGATCTGATATACCCGCAACGGGTATATCTTTAACCACAGCCTTATGCGGGACGTCACCGCTCCCTATTTGAGAGGTTAGGAGGGCCCAAGTCCCGTCCCCCACCTCCTAGGTATTTACCTCCTAATTCTAAAAAGAAGCGGGTACTATCTTGTCGGAGATAAGGAGGCAGTTCTTGCCTTTTTGCATTATTCTGGGTGTGCTCAATCATTCAACTGGATTGTGGCACGAAGAGCAAGGCACCGTTCGTGGGATTTGGGCTTTTCCCATCTGCTGGTTTGCTGCTTCCCTTCCCTGTATAGCCAAGTGTTGTTGCTTTTGAAGTTACACTCCAAGTGGATTACACTTCTTCTCTCATTCACGCTTTTGAGCTCCTAGAAGCCAACTGCCCCGTTAGGGTTCAATGATATTCGCCAGTAACTCCTGCGTTAGTCTCAGTACTGGTCCCCGATGAATGTGGGAATCGGTCTCTCTTTGGCCGTCTTACTCTATTGTCTTCTTGACCCCGGTCGATCTGAAGTCTGAATCCTTCACCTTGGCCCAATCACAAGCTTCACCTCCCCCATATACTTCTTTTCCTGCTTACAAAAGTGCTAAGCAAAAGAACCACCCGCAGACACACCTTCCAACTTTTCCAGACTCTTATCTCATCCAGAGGTGCCGTGTTCCCCTCTTTCCCTTCATGGCAGCCAAAAAGGTACAATCTTACCCTTACCCGCGCACCAACGCCGTGAAAAGCTTAGTGTAAAGGGTGCTCCCGTTACCGAACCGATTGCCGTCTTTCAGTAGATGGTCTTGGACGTTCCTTATACGGAGCACATGTAAACGCAGCCGTTAGTACCATACTATCCTTCAAGCGGGCTGTGCATGTCTCCCGATAGTCCTACCGAAGGTACTGGGCCCCTTCTCTACATTCCCTTTAGGTTTCGGGATGTAAGCCCGGATTGCACTTCTGCTTTCCCATGAAAATCCGCTCAAGGTGCCCACTGTACTAAAGAAACGTGGTGTCACAAAGGGGTCGAGGTTGTGATCCTGAATATCACCCGGGAGTTCACTTCGGGACTCCAGACACAACTCCACGCCAGAAACCCAACTCAATTTATACATCTACCCGGCTTCTTCTACACCTCAATGCTGGGTTCTTGTTTTGTGTGTTTCCCATACCACATCAACAAGTTCGAGGTTTCAGATATCCTCGGCTTCAAGACCGCCATCGACCCGTATCAACAAGTAACTATCACAGCAAAGTAGCACTGTGTTCATTGAGACCCCAATCTCAAAGAGTTCATCACGTCGAGGGCAACAAAATTATTCAGAGAAAGCTTGTCTGCACGACACTGACGAAAGCTCCCGTCTATAACAAAGGGTCTCTGTCACCCAGCTGGATTTTACCCATACCACACAAAAGTATCACCAGCACCACCATACTCATACACATACCTCAAGATGGGACCGAGCAGAGACGCTTGTGACCGGTGTCATACCATGAAAACCCGGTGTCAACGGACTCCGCAAACTCGGGAATGTGTCCGATGCAACCGTCTCGGTATCTCGTGTACTTACTCTCCTCCGGGCCGGACCGGTCGGCCACTGGGTGCTCGCAAGGGGGGTTCAGAGAAGGGCAAGAAGGAGGCGGCCGCAAGGAGCAGTCAGTTTCCTGCTTTCCTCAATTTCTAAAGGATGATCTTATTGACGTTATCATACAGGAAAAGGGGGACGCATTTCACCAATGGTAAAAACGCACATGTCCGCATCATTGGGAATGCCAACGCCCGGACTCGATCACAGTCTGCAGATGATGCCCGACGGGAACTCGGGGGTAAACCCGAGTCTTCTCGGCGACTTCGACCTGTTTTCCGCTTCTGCTTACCAAGCGGAGCTTGACTACCTTTCCTTCCCTTTCATGGACTCCTTCCTCGCTGAAAGCGCCGGTGACCTCACATTTGCACTTGCGAGCGCCATGGATTCGCAACCATCATACTCCTCTGGATCTTCCAGCCCTCCTGGCTCATTGTCTCCGCGTACCCCCGCGACACCACATCAACAATCTTTCCAACCCTCTTCCAGTCATGATCAGCGCGCATGGAGTGTAAACAACACCGACTCTTCTTCAGACCCGGGCTCACCATCTTCTCTTTTCACTGAGAACATATTCTCCCCATCCTTCATTCCCAAGCCGCCTCGAAACCAATATTTCCCCTCGGACGAGCGCAGCAACAATGGCGAAGGCGATGGAGAGATTCTTGTCCGTCTACTTGACCTACAGGCCCGCATATCCAAGCTTGTCAAGCATCTTCACGGAGGTCGTGGTTCCTCAATTGACTGCGAAGAGGTTTTAAACGCAGGTAAATCGCTGATCAGCTTGCTCGAAAACGTTGGCGCTCCCTCCAGATTCTTCTCCAGTTCATCTTCCTCGCCATTTTCAGACAGCAGGATGTCTGAGCCAGCTAGCCCCATGTTCTCTAGCAGCTCGAGGTCGACCTCCTCATCCACATCTTCCGCGCTATCTTCGGAAAACACAATCCCCAGCAACGTCCTGATTCTTTCCCTCTCCAGCTGCTACGCAACTCTGCTCCACGCCTACGAGTTACTGGCTGATCGCCTGCATCATCAACAGCAACACAGTCACAGCCATTGTCAGAAATATGTTTCAGGCATACAAACGCCGCTACTCAGTCCTGCTTCGTCTATCTCTTCTTTATCACCCATAGAACAACAGCAGGGTTATTTTTTCAGCAATGGGCTGAGACACCAAGCACAACAGCCACTGGACGGTAATAATGCCCACCTTCATGCTATGGCGCAGATGGTGCAAAAGCTCAAGCATACGCTGCAACGGTGTATGGGAAGAATGGGTCAGGGAAGTAGTGGAAGCAACGGAGCGCTCGGCGCAAAGAAGAAGAAGCAGAATCCGAATGTGCATGTGGATATGGAGAGCTGCTGTGACGCGAGTAATGATAACTTGCTGATGAGCCTTTCCAAACCGGCGTTACTGGAGATGGGATGGGGAGAGGAGGAGTTGTGGCAGGGCATGAACTGGTGATGATGACTTTGTAAACTCTTTTTGCCGTATCTACCTATTTTGTTGTTCGCCTGTGATTGTCACATTCTCTCTTCTATCTCTTGAACGGGTTTCCGATAGGGATTTCGTTTTTTCTTCTCTCTTTATCTTTTTCTTTTTGGTTTCTGCGAAAGTGAAGCATTGGGATGATGTGCCGGCGGCTTCTTGCTTTTGATGGAATAGGGTTCATAGAAGGTTTGATCATGTTGGATTAGGAATGCACATAAAGATCATAACGATAATGGATTCCCTGTAGTGAACTTTACACCAAGAGAAATCACACGATTGGTTGAGCTTTTGTTGACGTCGCCTAAACAACTTGGTTCGGTCATTTGTTGTCCCAATCTTCCCGGGCAAGACAGAGCAAGCATAGAGCAGCCAAAGATGAACCCGAGACTCGTTCTCAACTGAAAAGGTTAACAAATTAAGTGGCATCTTTTCGTTATACTGACTTCCAGAAAGAACCGAAATTGCCAACATCTAGGATTCCCTGCCCATGCTGTACATTTGTCTATTATGGAACTGGCTCGATCGCATCGTGTATTATCATCTCTACCTGCATTTCGTCCGAACCTCCAACCGGCCTTGGTGGGGAACTATGCTTATTTTAACACTGAGGTTGATGATAGCCACACTCCACGAACATGGGGAACAATCAAGGAACGTGTACAGCCGAGAAAGCTATGAGGAAAGGTCTAAAACCGAGTTGCCCTCTCACGATAGTATTTTAATTTTGGGAATGATATAATCATTACTACTGATTGGAGGATAATAAACACTACGCATTAACGCTCTTTCATCTAAGAATCACATAAGCCCGCATGGCTCAGTGGTAGAGCGCATCACTAGTAATGATGAGGTCGTCAGTTCGATTCTGGCTGTGGGCATTAACTTTTTCCATTTTTTTTTTCCATTTTCTTTCCATTTTTTTTTTCTATTTCAATACGTTTGCACGATCACCCCTTTCTCCTTTTCTCCTTTTCTCTATCTAGTCCACTTGTAGCCAACTACAAATATATTCACATTTTGTCGCAAATCGTGTTTTCCTTCCGGCAGCAGCTGGATGATGTTTATCTTCATGATCATTAATTCTTCTAAACGTCTAAATCTATTGAGCTTAGCTCTACCCACGCACACAAAACAAACATATAAATGGGTAAGAAAGGTGTACATAGAGAGATGGAACCTAAAAAGGATGACATAACGTCGTCACAGTCATGATAATGGAAAAAGGAAACAAGCCGAAAGAAGATGAAGGAGTTGTATGAAAGCCCAAGAACCTACCAGACTCCAATAACTCCATGGCCGAAAACGCTCCTAATGCATCAACCACTCCTACACCATATCCCCTTTGTCAAGCCGGTAACATTGACGAACCTTTCATCTTTCGTCGCTCTCACTTCATCATCGACTCCAACACGCTCCCCGCCTTAATCTCCATCTCCTCAAACTCCCCTTCATCCGTACTCTGAATAGTAACCGCCCCACCCGCCCCAATCCGCCACACCTCTTGTTCCTCCAACTTATTCCTTACCAGCGTTCTAATGACAACCGCAAAGTCTCCTGCGCCACCAACATCCATATACCCCAGCACACCCGCATAGACACCCCTCGGCCGTTTCTCCAGATCAACCAAGATCTCGCACGACCTTTTCTTTGGCGCCCCCGTCATCGATCCCGGAGGTAACGAGTTCTTGAGGACATGCAGTCCCCTGGGGGCGCCGGGTAGTTCCGCGGGGGGCAGTTGGCCCTCGATGACGCTCACGAGCTGGTACACCTTCTCGTACTCCTCCATCACCATCAGCTTGGACACCCAGGTGTTGTCGGCGCCGACGACGCCGGACAGGTCGTGGCGGATGAGGTCGACGATCATCAGGTTTTCGGCCCGTTCTTTGCTACTGTTGAGGATTTCGCTGGCGATGGAGTGGGTCATCCCGGGGCCCTTTTTTACAGTGCCCTTGATGGGTCGGAACTGGCAGTGGCCGCCGCGTGACCAGGAGAGAAAGCGCTCCGGGCTGGTACCGACGATGGATATGTTGGGCAGGTTGAAGTAGGCGCCGTGCGGGGCTGGGTTATTAAGGCGCATCTTCTTGTAGAGGGACCAGGCGTCGAGGGGTGAGTGTGAGTTGGAGGATGGGTCCGAGGGGATGACGATGGAGCTCTCGTCTGTGAGGCAGAGCTCGTAGGAGTCGCCGGCTCGGAGATGGTCTTGGCAATTTTGGACTTGCGCGCGGTAGGATTCGCCGGTCGGGCGGGTGATGGTGGAGCGGGCGAGTGTGTCGTTGAGGTGACGAGACTCCGCAATGGAAGTGAGTGACGGGCATTCAGATTTGCTGGAGGCAGCAGAAGCGGAGTCGATAAGGCTGCCGACACGGAGAATCCAGGTCCAATCATTGGGCAGAAGGGATTGGACGTAGATCTGGTTGGTATGGTGATCGATAACGATGCTACGGTGGATAAAGGCAAAGTTGATGTCGGGGATAGCTGAGCCGTCGGTTGGCTTTTCGGGAAGCCCGACGTCGATGGTCTCAAGTCCGGCCTCGTACGAGATATACCCCATAAACCCGCCCCAAAAGGGGCTGTCGGCGGGCAGGTGACCGGCAATGAATCTGTCCATATCCGAGCGCAGCTTGGACCGGTCGATTTCCTGGTTCTGGGGGTAGTAGATATCGAGAGCCTCCTGAAAGAGAGGCCAGCATTCTTCAATCGAATCGATGTTCTTGGAGTGATTGCCATATTTGAGCGTGCGGTCATAAGAGCTGTAGGTGACGTTCGCGGTCTTACCGGGAACGACGAGTCCAAGAATATCGAAGCGACCCATGTTGTGTCCTTGCGAATCCAGAAGAATGACCTCGTCATCTCGGTGACCGAGCTTCTCCAGAAGAACTGTGGGGGTAACACCCTGAGCTGGATATTTGGCCCAGCGGAGGAAGATGTCATCACGGCCGGCAGCCGAGCGCAGTTCTTGAGCGAGGTGAGATGCCTGTAGATGACCAGACTGAATAGGTGCGTCCACAAAGAAGCTGGAGAGCGAGTTGGGAAGATAACGGCCAGTGAGCTCCATGGTCTTGACCCGACCGTTGTTGGCCGACCACCGAAGGGCATGCCTCCACCAGTTCACGAGCAAGTCCTTGCCAGCTTCTGAGGTACAGATGGATTCGGGATGAAACTGACACCCCCAGAACGGCTTGGAGACATGGCGCACAGCCATCAACACTGGGCCGTTATTCTCATCGCTAAGATCCCAAGCGAGAGGCAACAGATCAGGGCATACATTGTTTGGTTGCCAGAAGTGGGTCGGGCGAGCTCCTGTCAGCTCGAGATCGGCATGAAGCGAGTGATACTGAGTACAATCGAGATCACCGAGTCCCTTGAGAATATCGATACCTTGGTGCGTGGATCGGCTGACAATGCCATGGCGGGGGCTCTCGAGTCTCTTGACATCGGCACCATGATTGAGGCACAGAGACTGGAAGCCGAGGCAGATGCCAAAGATGGGAAGGAGTTCTGAGTCACTGAGAGCCCAGAGCTTGTTAATGAAGCCAACATCTTGGGGGTTTCCAGGATGACCGGGTCCGGGCCCGATGACAACGCCATCCACGGCCCGAAGCAGCGTGTGAAGATCCCTATCCGCCTGCCTGTCATCGATGCGAACCATGATGACATTTGCGCCTAGACGCTCCTCGAGAAGACCGATGATATTGTTTGTGAAAGAGTCGAAACAGTCGACATAGAGGATGGAGAGTTGCTCATTGAGTGGCGTGGTTCTTGTTACTGAGCCCATGGTGATTGTGATATGCGAAGAACGTGTGAGGTATAAGTCAAACGAAGCCGAGAAGAAGAGCCGGGCGAGGCGACTGATATATTGGGGGGATACAAAGTGAAGCCTGTAGGACTTAGAACGGAGTGTTTCGAGAATGTGTCTTGCGTTGCCCGCGTATCCTGTGGAGTCGTCTTGTGTTGAAGTTGTCGAGACTGTCGAGGAAAACTCAGAGTTGGTGGCAGAATCCGAGTATAAATGAGCATCGGACAACCTCCAAATCATGTCCAGATGGCCGAAAATATCAGCCGACTGAAGCCATCAACAAACGACTTACAATGGTATCAAATCCTTCCATATCCATCAATGCAACACCGTCCATGTAGAGCATGTAGACCCGGCGGCTTGTCGTGTATCTTCCGTCAAAGATGTCGCTTACTTGGCTACACTCGACTAGAGACTCAATCGAGCGAGTTTGGTAGAGAAGTGGTACATGGTACTGAAATCGGTACCTTGGCCCGGCGCCAACACGTTTGACTTGCACACCAAGAGCGTGCATGGCGAAGTGAAACCGCGTCAATCGGGGATGAAAGGGGGGGACGGAGAAGGAAGAAAAACCACATGACTACATTCCTAGTACATATTAGATGGCAGGTTCAACTCTCCACAACAGTTGATGGGGAACCCGAAATGAATGGTTTAGGCAAAGGTACTTACTGCAATGGGTCGGAAAGAAGACACTTCGTAAAGAATGGAAAACTTGGCCAGTCAGATGGTAATCTTATGACAGCGGATAGCGGTTTTCTGGCATGGCGATAGTCATCTGCGAGTTATTTCAGCCTCTGTTAAGACAATACAGTATGCACATGTCTACATCCGCTCATGTCTGCGATCCTACCACATAATGGTGTATGGCGTATGGCGTTCCGGTGTAGCACAAAATAACTGAGTGGTTGAGACAACGATTGCGTGCAGGTGAAAACCAAATATCGTTTGCTCAGTAGACCAAGGTGGTAGTGTAGTAGAAGCTTTCTGGAACAAGTGAGATAGAAGTTGTCAAAGCGATGCTTTGTGTAGCCCCCCGGCGGCTTTTGCGGGGTTTCGCGGAGCATTTCGAAGGTAACTTACCCATGCACCTGCTGTGTGACAGTGCGACTGTCATCACCACTCTATCCAAGTTGTAACCTACTGTGATATGGTCATATGCGTTGATACGACGCGATGATGTGCATGTTCTTCTCTCATGTCTTCCTGCCTCTGGTCCATCTTTGCTAACCGAGCTTCGAACCCCGGCCGGGGGAAAACCAAATGAAAGGATCGCCGCGCAGAAGAGGATGATTATGTGCATAGGTATGGAGATCTTGACTGTCTGCCGCGTTTTGAAGACGAGAATTCGCATTCGTTAGTAGCTTTGCGACCGTGATGACTTGCAGGAAAGCGTTGCGCCATGACGGGAACCGTCCCCGTAGCCACACTGCCACTGTAGCATACTGTTCAGTACTCGATCCTTCCGGTACTCCATGCCGGCAAAACTGTGACAAGAAGGGAATGGCTTCAGCCCATCTCGTTTACAGCCACTATCATGCTTCTCAATTGTCGGTGGTCAAGGGCTGGCGCTCTGTCAACAGTATTAGTCAACTCCAAATGACACCTCGTTTTAAACCGGAGAGCATACTTACATTGGACTTTTCTTCGTCCAAGTAGGTAACTTCTCATGCGAGATAGTTCATAGTTGTTAGATTCCGAAAGGGGTAAGACCATACAGCTGCGAAGCCCTCATGTAAACGGCTTGAGCTAGGTACCGCGCCGCAAGGGTTGTCCTTTGAGAATGGGGCTTTGCGGCCTGTGATCGTGAATGCAGGCTCACGGTTTTTAGCTTTGGACCTCACACATGGAGCTTTCAGGGTCTCTGCTGGCATACTGCGCAGGACATGTGCCACAGATTGAGAAGGTCCATCTGGGATCTAATCAAAACGAACCCAGACTATACAGCAGTCAAAGACATGAGCCTCATACTTGACCGCTGTTCAGTGGTAGAGTGGCACATTACTTCATGGGTAGTACGGCAGTGGCTGGGGCTCAGTCGATGCCGTATGTCCGGGACTTTTGCCATCGGTACCTTAGATAAGGTCACTTTTCCATATCGTGATATCGGATTCTGGAAATCCCTGTACCGAACCTTGCTGTCCTTGATGAACTTCAGATCCTGTATGGAGCCTCTTTGGTACACAGATAGAGACCGTACCGGAAGTCGTCGATAGTTCGCCCGACTGACTTGCGAAAATTCCTGGCACACGATCTTGCGTCCTTTGTTGTTAGTGAGTAGAGTTACTCTTGGATGCAGTTGATTGTGCGATTGACTCTAGCATGCTCTGATAAGTAGTGGTTTACTATTGAGACCGAGAGGGTCGAATGGTTGAAATGATGTAGTCTCCTATCAAGACAGCGACTTCTCACAACGACGATGTGATCGATATCGTACGTGAACGTATGGCAGTAGGACCTGTCTCCACATGATTCAGGGGTACCAATGTAAACACAAAAATAGAAAAGAAAAAAAAAAGCCACGGCACCCGCCATGCTCTGGTCCCATAAGATGTAAGAGTAGGAACGACTAGCACAACATACAGCTATGCCACAGTCAGCTACTCGGGGACTTGTCTTACCCTGATGCGATAGTAATAGGTAGCGGTATGTGCCATGCTAGTTGACAACATGCCGAACCGGTACCCGAACCGTGAACAGTCATGGTCGACGGTGGGTTAACGGTGGGTTAGGGGAGTCGCAGATAATGTTAGCCTGGTGATAGTGTGGAGGGGGTAATGCCCTCTTCCGTCTTCAGCCCAATTTGGGGACGGTAAGCTTTAACGAGTACGTGGTACCCCGATGTTGAGGAGCCTTCTTCCCGGCTTCCATTGCCGCGACACTTTCCGCGTACCATGGCTAAATCTTGGATCCAGGTCGTGACACATCACCACAGGTAGGGCTATGCAGGCAGCGCGGCAGCTGTGAGCGGGAAGAATGTCTGTGGCTTCAGATTCGAATTGTGTGGCGGGTCGTAAGATCGGGATTGGGTGCCTTAGGGGTGCACCGAAAACCCCCCTGATGATCCTCCTGGTAGCCCTGCCAAGGCTTGCTTACCCGAGGTCTCACATGGCGATAACGTCGTGGCCTTTTCCAAACTTGGACTTTGCAAAGAAAGAGTGAACTGGGGGGGACTGTGTCTGAGGTATGTACCTAGTGTCCTTTCGTGACATAGTCCGAGTGAAATATGCCTCCTCCGCCGCGTGCCCTGCGGTGACATTGCTACTGGCTTCGGCCGTTATTTCGGGAGATGTGAGCCGAAATGCACAAGCAGTGATCAGCAGAATTGATTACCGACTGGTTGGAGTACGAATGAGTAACCATCTGGGAAGAGCCACACTCATTCGCGCTTTTGCTTCGAGGATTAAAGCGCCCCAGATTCCCAGTATTCTCCCCATTTGCTGAACAGTCCCGAGTTATAGTAACCGTAAGGTTGACATGTATCACATGTATAGGAAAAGGGTTGTGTTCGGGACGAAAACATGTGCGTGACTGCTTCTCAAGTTGGTGGTCCATCGTCGTGCGTTGCTATTAGGCGATACCGTGGGGAGCGGGAAGCAGAGCATGTGTTCGATTCTCGAGAAGTTATGTTGTCATGACACCAAGCCCCTAGGCGATGTTGTGGACCATGACTGTGTTGATGGAGAGCTAAGTAAGACTGACATTGCAATGGGCATCGGAGAAAGGGAATCGAATGTTTTTATAGCCACGACATTTCACCTGCTATGTCTCATGGACACAAGACTGGTAGACAGTTTGATCTTTGACAAGACCCTTTCTCGGCCACGACTGCTCATCGATGGTAATGTCCTCCGGATCATGTGGTTTGGGATGTCGGGAAATTCGCCGGGTCACGACTCACTGGCCGGCGCAGAGAACTATTGTAGCTTCGTCGAGGGGACGGGATCCAAAACCGGCTCGTTCAAGGTTATGAGGTCATCCCCTCTAGGCAATGATCGGTTGAGCAGCTTCTTGGGACTGCTGGCGTCGACTTGTTGATGACTTTGAGAAATACCGAAAGAAAAGCCGGACTTTTTACAGCCCAAAAGTGACTGGATGGAAGCAACAAAATGCTGGTGACAGAATCTCATCCTGGGGAGAGCAATTCGATGTGTCAGTAAGCGTTGATATATCTCTTCACGACTGACCTCCAGTGGCTAGTATGCATCGAAAATCACGCCATTGCGCTTGTGAAGGTCGCTGATCCTTCTAGATCTCGAACATGCTTGACATCTCTAGCGATGGGGGAGAGGAGAAAGGCAGCCCCAGGTGAATAAGCCGACAACTGCCGATCAGCATGCCATGTATCAGGCTATGCCGCTGATGTGTGTTGGTGACCATGATGGATGAGATGTGATTTTGGCGGGTGGCATGTTGGGTTTCGGTAAGAGCATTCAAGGCCTTCGGGTCATTCCAATTGAAGATTCCGAGTCGCTCAAGTCACTGCATGGCCTGTGTTTCACCATGCGCGCAAAGACTGCAGTGTTGGCCGAATGATGTATCCGCGGTAGGTAAACTTCGCGCTGCCGCTCAATCCGATTTGCTTCTTTCGTAGGTGACAAGAGGGAATTGACGACGAGATGTGTTGTCATTGAACATGTCGACTCCGGGGAAGTGGGAAGAGGGGACGATTGGATGGCAGACGCTTTGGGACGTGACATCAGCGGTCGTTTCGGTGCCTGGATTTTGCTGGGGAGATCGCTGGAGAATCCAGTAACGGGGAAGGTGAGGCCTCTTAGCTTGTAACCTAACTGGGTCACTCCTGCTTGGTGATGGATGGGTGTGGACCCTAACTAAACCTTGCCCCGTCCCGTCTCGCCAGTGAGGTGCTGCCCTGGACTGGACACATGCTGTCGAGGCGGTGCTCCATCAACCGAACGCCTGCAAACTTTCCACTGCCTCTACACTAGCGAATAACCGCCAGCCCCCAGTTTCTTCACTGCCAACAATGCGGGTCGCGATGGATCAAGCTGGGCGTTGTTGCAAGGGTCCTTTCATATGGGGGCTGGGGATGGGGTCACAAGAAGGTTCATATTCATTTCTCTCGTCCTTCTCTCTGCCCTTCCCTCTTCATCAATATCTTCATCATAATTTGTAGAGGTATTGTCCCTCGACCCCAATCTTATCTCGAAAGGGCAGAAACAGAAACAATTCCTTTGTTCGCGAGACTCGATCCTTGATCCTGGCTAACGAACAACGCTGCGGGCTGTGCTTAACCGACCACCATGCCCATCTTCACAAACACCCCCGAGGCCAGGCTCGGCAGAGCCGACTCCAAAAACCCATCAACAACATGTCGCGGAATCACGTCTGCCGGCCGGCCCTGTAGACGCCCCAACACTCTGCCCCAAGGTGGAAAAATCAAGGTCAGCGACCCGAGCGATGAACGCCTCTACTGTCACCAGCATAAGGACCAGGCTCGCCTGGCTGCACAGCCGGCTCCGGGGTCCGGCCGGCCAGCCCATGCCGCCATCGCCGAGGAGCGCTCCAGTATCGACACCTTGGCCGAGCGTCTGGGCTTAATCAAGACCAATTCGGCCCAAGTGCGGCCATCTGCTCAACATCAACGACCTCCACGACCGGCGCAGCAGAAGAAGAGCTCATCGCTTTGGTGCTGCTGCTTCAGTGTTCCCCTAGATTTCGAGCTCGAGGAACAAGCTCCGCCGCCGCGACCACAGCCCAAGCCCGTACAGCACGATGGATCCTCGCGACCCTCTCACCTCGCTCCCACATCAGGTGTCTCCCCGCGACCGGGCTCGTCAAACCAACAACCCTCAGCTGGCTCCAACGTTTCCCAGACGGCGCAATTCATGTCCCTGATCCCACATACCGCCTCCCCTGAGACAGCCTCCTTGTTGATGAAGGAACTCGCCAAGGGCTTCTCCTCGGGCGACGAGGCTGGCTACATTTACATCTTCTGGCTCACGCCCGAAACCGACCCCGCGACACCGCCGCACGAGGCCGCCAAGGCCTTGCTCACCACCAACCCCCGATCGCGATCGACCTCCCGCGGGCGGGCGGCCAGCGACGCGCTGGATCGGTACGCCACTTCTTACGATGATGAGCCCCGCAGTCGCGGCAGGGGCGGCAACGAGAAGAAGAATAAGAAGATCCTTCTCAAGATCGGCCGCGCCAACAATGTGCAGCGACGTTTGAACGAGTGGCAGCGCCAGTGCGGATACAACATTTCGTTGATCAGATACTACCCCTATGTGTCGTCGTCCAGCACCAGCGACGTGATGCGCAAGATGCCACACAGCCATAAGGTCGAAAGGCTCATCCATATCGAGCTGCAAGGGCGCGGGTTGAGGGTTATGGACCGCGGCAAGTGCGCGTCGTGCGGGAAGGAGCATAAAGAGTGGTTTGAGGTGGATAACACGAGGGCGGCGGTGGCAGATATTGATGAGGTCGTGAGGCGGTGGTCGGATTGGGACGAGACTCAGGCTTAGACGATTGGTGGGTGATGGTTGATTTTCAGGATTCTCGGACTTCCATGGATGAGCGACGAAGTTGGGTTTTGGGTATGTGATTGGCATATAACACGATATGATGCGACATGGCACGGCACGGCATTTGCATTTGGCGTTAGGGATGGTTATTTTCGTTGGTCTAGATCTCGGGTTATGATGTTTCAACCAACTGTGGGTGGGAAATTTTACGTTTGTTCACATCTTCCGTCCTTTAGCTATGTGGTTTTCCGCTCTTGTAATTCAATGCCTTCCCCCAGCCAACTCCCAAAATACTAAGGCTCTTAATCTAGATTCCCATCCCAAAGCGCCAACTAAGTCCCATATTCATATAGCGCCCATGAATCAACAATTATACCCTACAATTCCGTCACCAAGCACCACCCCTCCTCTCATCATCGACACCCTCCTCCCGATGATGCCGTCCTGGCCAACGCTGATCGAGAGGTTCTCATTCAAAGCACACATCTGACAGGCTTTCTCGTTCAGGGTGAATTGCGTTAGCAGCCCACATTCATGAACGGACTTGGTCATATCACCGATTTGACTAATCACTGCATCAGCAACATGACTTTTTCCCTTTTCCTGGAGAAGTGGGAGCGAGAAAAACTTACTGTATGAACACAATCACGCGATCATCGAGTTCGGAATCTGAAGTGTCTGAAGAGTCTCCTCCTCCCACCATTGGAGCCCTACTCAGCAATGTCATCGGTGTTGTTGATGTTGATGGTGATGTTGATGGGCTGATGAACGAAAAATGGGTGGCCTCTTGGCTATTGGGGGTAGATGGGTTGAGAAAGAGGAGGTTGCCTAGGAGGTGACGGTCTCTGGAGGAGGATGGGGAGGAAAAAAAGTCGACTCTGGCGCCGATGCGAGGTGTTGAGGATGGGGTCTCGGGGCCGCACATGTTGCGTGGGAGTCTGAAAGGGAGTGGTTGTGGCGGTTGGCTCTTGATGATTTGGGTCCTGAGTGGAGATATGGTCGGTCGCCTTCGAGTGATATGGGTTGGTCTCAGTGATCAAGTCGGGAAATAGATGTTGGTGAGGCTAAGTAACGGTTCAATATTGGCGTGTTCAAATTGGCATGTTGATTTGTCTTCCATGGGTTGAGAACCTTGATGGATATATGTAGATATCAACCACCAGACCTAGGTCAACCCCCTATCAAGGCCATCAAGGTCCTCTCCACTACAACTACAACCATCGTTTCCGAACCAACCATCACCGAAGACGATCCCTCGTAACCTCCATGCCCAGTCAAGTCCTCAAAACAACAGCTGAGATATGGATGCTTGTGAGAGACGCTGTGAGACGTTCACTTACACGTTCAAGCATAACCACGTGCGAGGTGTAGTGCGGCAGTGGGTCCATAGTACTAAGCGCCTCAAGAGAGCTGGTGGATATGAGTTCGTTCTGGAAACCTTCTCACGACGTGGATGACGCAAACGAGCTCAAACTGCCGCTTTTCCTCTCAGTGTTGCGAATCTCAGCTTGCCAACTGTAAAGAGGTTCTTCCGACGGCCCGTTGACGTCTTGACGAGAAGATTTGAGAGGCTGGCGGGCACAAGATCCGCGGGCAATTGAGCACGTTTGCGCGCGAATCTGGAACTTGACGGGCTCTTTGTGACCGCTACAACGCCCTCTGTAACGCAGGCGTGGCAGGGGCGTCACAGCTCCAAGGGGCACACCTTTCTTGGCAAGAGTCACAAGATGCCGACCAATCATAGGAGGCATTGAAAAGGCGACAAGTGGAATCAACGACCGAGTCCACTCCTCCTTTCACCTTCCACTTGCACCCATTGACGCAATTCTTGCGTGAGCACCTTGACGGCCGCCCATCGTGACACTCCGTCACGGTCAACCATTTGTGACATTGGTCTATTCGGCCCATCGCACTGTTCATCTTGTACTTGGGATCAGACACAAAAGGCAGGCGCGGGGTTAAAAAATCGGACACGATGGTCAATCTAGGAAGCATTTGGCAAAACCTTCTCGCCTCGCAAGCTCCTCTCCAGTCCATGACAGGCAACGCAACCACCATGGCCGGCCTCGCGACTTATACCCTTCCGCAGCTACCATATGCCTACAATGTAAGCTGAACTGCTGTACCAAGTGAATCGTCATCCTGCGCCGAATGCAGCAGACGGCGAGCCAAGAATGAATAGAGACACTGCCATGTCTAACACCAGGAACCCCAGGCTCTGGAGCCCTACATCTCAGCCCAGATCATGGAGCTTCACCACAGCAAGCACCATCAGACTTACGTGACCAATCTCAACAACGCCTTGAAAGTTCACGTCGCCGCCATCGCCTCTAGCGATATCCCCGCCCAGATCGCCCAGCAGCCCGCCATCAAGTTCAACGGCGGCGGCCACATCAATCACTCGCTCTTCTGGAAGAACCTGGCCCCCGCTGAGACCCCAGAGACCAACTACCCGGAGGCGGCTTCTTCGCTGGCGGCCGAAATTGAGAAGACGTGGGGTAGCTTTGACGAGTTCAAGAAGGCCTTCTCTGCTGCGCTCTTGGGCATCCAGGGCAGTGGCTGGGGTTGGCTCGTTAAGGAGTCTACTGCTGAGAAGGGAAGGCTGCGTATCATTACTACCAAGGATCAGGATCCCGTCGTGGGCGGTGAGGTCCCTGTGTTCGGGGTGGACATGTGGGAGCATGCGTACTACCTCCAGGTATGGTTGTTTTTGTTTCTGTCTCGTTACCCCTTGCAGTCTCTTGCCGGTCAAGCCATCCAGATCACCATGACTGACACAGCGTACCCCTCTTTTTGCAGTACCTAAACGGAAAGGCTGCGTATGTCGAGAATATCTGGAAGGTGATCAACTGGAAGACAGCCGAGGAGCGCTTCCGGGGTAGTCGTGAGGACGCTTTTGCGGACCTCAAGGCTTTGCTATGACAGTGGTTATGGTCAGCTTGAGGGATCTATCGCGGTTACTCGTCAAGGCTAGAAACACCCAGTTCTTACCCCCCTCTAAGGCGTTTCTAACCCGGACGACTATTTTCCTCGCGTTAACCAACGTCTGATGAATACAAATTGTTTCTTACCCTCACTCATACACTCACTTATTTCCCCCCGCCATCGCTCGTCCAATACCTATTCACTCCGCATGGGCTTGACGTCCATGTCTTAGCTTTCCTTTTGAGTACGGTCCCGAACTTCCAGAACGCTGTCTTGTTGCACATCTACCCCGCGGCTCCGTCTTGTCTGTGTCCTACAACCACCCGCCACCTCTTTGAAGACTTGAGCAACAGGGATGTCAAGCATACTCACCGTCCAGGGAGAGCTTACATAGGTACGATAGCAGATAGCTGGAAGTTTCTGGTGCTTGCTAATCTATGTTGCCGTTTTACGGATTTCTATGTCCTGCCCATCTCGTTATATGTTATCAGCGCCCCAAACATGTCATATGCAGACTTCCGCTGTGGCGAACGCCCCAGTATGCAAGATCTTTTGGACAGGAATGGACCCCACGAGAAACTCCCAGGATGTCAAGGAGACCTGACTGTTTTCCTTCCCGCTCCGCAAAACGCATCTGATCGGGACTGCAGGCTTGCGTTACCTGCACAACGGCAAGCTACGTCGCATGAGCTGCAGGAACCTGAAGCTTCACTGACTGGCCAGGGGGTGAGCTCCTAACCTTTGCTCCGAATGACCGAGACAGTATCATTCTATTTACTTTATTGCTTCCTTCCATCATCGACTACTGCTACATATTGCCCTCGGTTATATAAATCAACAAGTATCACGGCTGTGATTCAGGGACAGGATAGCAACACCTCGTGCGTATGAGACATATTCGTGCCATCCCATCAAAACGTATCATGGCATCCGAGAACGGTAGCACTGGCCTGATGTTGCGTGAATGGAAATGGGACACGATTGCCAATATTTCACCAGACAACACACTGCCACCTGGCACAATCCAGGATTCAACAGTCATTCTTTCATGGCATCCGACGGGATGAAGCGGGTGCTCATCCGGAGTAACCTACAATCACACAGTCCCGTATTGTTCAATGTTTCCGTGACAATCCAACGACTTTTGTGGAAGACCCATTCATATATACAGACGACAAGCCGGGAACTTGGTTCATGATAACTTCCTATTTGATGTTGGGGTTTGGTCATTGCCCTGCTGTCCTTGGCCACGCGCTTCACTCCGGTTAAGGGCCCGTGTAAAGGGTGAGTAAAAGTCTTTCGGTGGTTCACCTAGCAACATTGCAACTAGAAGCAAGACTACACGGTTAACCGGCACCCCTAAAGGGTTCCCTCTGTCCAGGGCAATACAAAACATATGACGGGCTCGGAAAGCCGCATGTGTTTCCCTCAAGATATGTTGTCTTCCCGGTACTGCATGTACTGCGGCCGGGGCGAAAGACTATGACCAGGGGCTCATATGCTGTCCTTCTGATGCCGGCAGCCGGATGCTGAGCGAGTCAATCAATGGTACAATGTCACGGGAAGACAGGAGTGAAATACCTGACAAAGAATATCTGAGAGTTTCTGTCGTTGACCCAAGGTGGACATACGAAAGGCTTAAGGATATTTAAAGCTCATACCATCATGCGAGAATTCACCTTCCATAAACATTGTTTCCGCAGGTACTACCACATCTCTTTTTCATTCCTGCTCTCTTGGCTCCCAGGGTGAGCTGTAGCCACGACGCTTATGTTTGTTCATCTTGCTCTGCTCGGCATAGGGTACGTGCTTCCCCGTCAGAGACCTCAGAACTTTAAGAAACTAATATGAAAGGTAGCTTCACCGCTGTCAATGGCATGCCCAACGGTTTTGGACGCCGTCAAGGGTATGGTCAGAACAACGGAGAAACGTGCACGACAACCCAAACCATAACAGTCCCCGTTACCTTGGTGGACTATACGTACACAACTATCACCATCTCCGCGAACGCAGGAGGCACGCCGATCTTCCCATCAACTGTCACCGTATACTCTGGCTGTCCGAGCTCCTTGAGCAGCATCCCCGGATTGTCATGTAATTCTGCCAGCTTTTTCCTTGAGCAACAGCACACCAACTGAATTCTCAACGTTTACAGGTTTCAGCCAACCGGGCTCCAATGCCACATCCAGTGCTACATCAACCGCGTACACTTCTAGCAACCTTCCACTCTCCTCATCTTCTCCTCCTGTTCCTTCAAGTAGTGGCACTGCCTTCCCACCAGCTGTGTCTATTACCCAGACTGGCTCCCCAATGTTTGGAAACTCAACAGCCTATGCTGGCACATCGATTTCATCGGAGAATATTCCCGGAACAGGCTCGACCGCTGTGCTGACCATCGGCAGCTCTACAGGCCTATTCAGCAGTAGCTCATCATTCAGTGAAACTTTGACTCTGAGTACTCGTCTTCCTATCCGGACCAGTCTTTTTAGCCTTTCTTCGAAGCCTGCCGAGACATTGTCTACTTTAGGTTCATCTTCGGAAGTGACAGCTTCCTCGAGCACCAGCAGCGAAAACAGCGTGGTATCATCTTCCAAGTTACCGGAGTATGGCTCGATCAGCTCCGTTTCTACCAATACGATAGCCGATGTTGATTCTACGTCAGGAATGACACACATCACAGGCGCGACCATAGGCATCACCAGAACCTCCACAATTGAGACGACCATTACAGTGACCCAAGAAGTCACCGCTACTGTAGACATGCCGAATGAACTGGAAACTACCGTTAGTGGCAAAGATGGAGACTCTTCTTCCACCTCGGTCGTGGTCCTGACATCCACGGGCCATGTTACTGTGACTATTACGCCCGATACCGTCTCTTCTGCTAGTGTTCCAGAATTCGACACAAGCGCAGCAGATGCTCATTTCACCACTACCAACTCTTTTGCCCCGTCGGTTGTTGATGGTGCCCCGGTAAGCTACACCGAAAGTGAGGGGTCTCACCAGCCTACTACGAGCTATGAAGCCACCTTCTTGTCATCACTTGACAGCAGTGTAATATCTGGCGATGTCACGAGTGAAATCGCGACAACCGAGTTTTTGACCAGCACACAATACTCTGTCACTGTACATTCTACAACACCAGGGAGTTCAGAGTCTACGACAGCTTCAAATACTTCCAGCTTGATCCCATTGTCCTCGACCGGCACACAATCAACCGGCTCTGTAACTGAGTCTTCCACAACCCCAGGGACTTCAGAATCTACTACAACTCCAACAATCTCCAGCTCCATTCCGTTATCCTCAGCCAGCGTGTTGCCTTCATCAAGCGAAGGGATTCCTTCAACTAGCCTTCCCAGCAGTAGCACGTCTTACTGGTTTAATGACGACAGCACATCAGCTTTATCAGCCACTTCTCTATCTGCTAGCGACACGTCAACTCCCACAGTGTCTCTGTCATCGTTCTCAGTTACAGATACGGCTTCACCCACAGTTACCTCTTCGTGGTTGACTGGTATTCCCGCACCCTCCTTTACTTCGATTTCACCATCCACCAGCCAAGGCTCCTCAGACTCCGTCCCAGCATTGTCATCATCATACGACAGCGGATATAGCTTCACTCTTCCCACCCCCTCTTTAGAGACCTCGGCAGCTTCTACTTCGTTGGCCAGCCAGATGTCGTCTGACATTCCTGACGGAGTTAATTCAACTGCCGCGATCACTGGATCAGAAACCATGACGATGCCATTCCCAACCACGCTGTCCATAATTTCCGTCCCGTACCAGTCCAAGGCTTCTGATGATGATTTGACTACGACCTCTTCGGCCAAGGGCAGCGAAAGCACTACTTATGGCGCGGAGTTGAGGAAGATTAGTGGGGGTCAGGACTTGGGTCAGATTCAGGGAGTGTAGACTATGAGCAACACAGTCTGGTGAACGTTGGGAAATATGAAAAGGAAGAAGTCTATGAAGGTTTTGAAGACTTGTACTTTAGTTATAGGATAGAATGTGAGACGTCTGGGAGAAGACTAAAAAGAACCTTGAACGACATCGCTCCCTTTGTCGCCCGGGCAATATCACCCGCATGTTAACGTCTTGTCTCCACTTGATGAATGATATTGTAGCATTTGCTGTTGTCTGCTTCATTTACTTATCCGTCCTCAGAAGTGAAACGGGAACAGTGGAAAGAGCATTGCCAAGCACGGTACTAAACTTTAGTAAGTCGGTACTCTAACGGCTGCAAGCCGGCCCGAGACGGAGCGTTTTAGACCACATCCCCGCAAAGGTCCGATGTTACCTCCAGGCTCCAGTCGGGCCGCGCCCCCAACGCATTCAAAACTGCACCACATCATTCAATTCCAAACAACTCTAAAACAACCAAAAGAACTTCAGTCAAAACGTATCAGCGGTTCAGGGCTCAAGCCAAATCATCACCTAATCAGAGCCCAATCCACAATGGCCCATACCTCCACCATTCCCGGCGGGGACATCCCGCCCGCATCACAAACACAAGCCGAAGTCCAAACCCAAACAACAGGATCATCAAGCGACTCACAACAACCCTCAATTTCCCCCGAAAAAGAAAGCCTCCCCTTCACCCCTTCCCTCTCAACATCCATCCTCGTACCCCTCATCCCCGCCACCTCATCCGCCCTCGCGCTCGCCCACGTCCAACGCGTGTGGGACTCCATCCGTCCCAACTCCGCCATCTACAACCTTCTTCTATCCGACATCGTCCTCGTAGCCGCCGTCGCCCACCCCACTGGCCGGATCCTCGCCCACTTGACTTTGAAACCAATCCACCTCAACAGCAAGCGCATCCTGCACGGTGCCGTCAGCGGGACGTTGTGCGATTGGGCGGGTGGGATGGCTATTGCTGCCAGCATTGCTGGCGATGAACTCAAAGTGGGGGAAGGGGAGCAGGACAGACAGATGACGACGGGGGTGAGCACAGATATGCATCTGAGTTATTGTTCAACGGCTAGGGAGGGAGACACCTTGGAGGTGGAGGCGTGGGTTAGTAGACGCGGGAGGAAGTTGGGGTTTACGGGGTTGGAGATTAGGAAGAGGGTGGATGGGTGGGAGAAGGGGGAAAGGGGGGAGGTGGTTGTGGTGGGAAGTCATACCAAGTATTTGCCTTTTGGGCAGAAGCCAAGAGAGGCAAAGGAGTGAGAAATCGAGGCAGAAAAAGACGAGGGGGGCGATAGGTGAGATGTGGGTGAGTCTCTTCAGAAGAAAAGCATGGGAATCAAACTTGAGATACCAGTTGCAATTTAGGTCTGGTCGAAGTTTACGTGGCAGGCCGTTATGTTATCGGCTGATACAATCGTTGGAACCTGGTTGTCAAAAACCGCCCTGGTCATCCCTTTACCCTCCAGTACATCCTTCCAAGTGCTCAAATTACAGCGGTAGCATTGGGAGGAGAAGTAACAAGACCCTGATGGTTGAGCGGCGCCGAGGCCAACAAAAAGCTATACTTCCCTGTCCTCTTGCACACCCCGCTGAAGGCGTCAAGATCCCATAGCTCGCTAATGGACATGTCGAACATGGTGAGGAAGTACTTAGAGGCAAAGCCGGATCAATCCACATCTCTCATCCTGCGGCCAGTCGACTCCCACTTCCAAGGCGACATCTTTGGAGACACCGTCGTTCGATCTTCCTGGTATCTTGCAGGCTGTTAAGTCCGACGTTCTGACATGCCAGCGAGCCACTTTCCCCTCGGATGCACGGGTCCAGTTACCGCCCTGGATTTGACATCAGCTGGCGGGGCTTTATGATATCCGGACGGTACGGCCAAATTGCAATTGTGAGTATTCTGGGACTTTTGTACTGATGCACAGTTATGACAACGCGCGTAAAAAGGGGGGGGGGGGCTTTGGCAGAGAAGCATGTCTGTGGACCGTTTCTACGCAAGCAAGCGCATGGTTTCAATGGATGCCTCGGAATCATTACGATGCTCTGGGAAATTTTCTGAGCTCGCAATATCCTAACACCGTCCGCTGGATGTCGGAACAGGCCGCGATAGTGCGGCGGCAATCAAGCGTCCTTCGCCGTTGCTGTGACAACGCCTGGAGGGAGGTCCACAAAAGGAGTCCTGTTTTCCAAGAGAATGGCCATCTTGTGCGCCTTGTGTTCGGTAGCGACTCTCTTATTCGAAATACTGCTGAAAGCGCGCTACATTATGGACCGACAGGGTGATGTTCAGAGGACGGCGCTCCATCAGGAAACGGGAAAGGGGAAAAGAAGAAGAAGGGGGACATGGTCGTTGGTTGTTGGAGAAAACAGGGCGGGACAGGCTCAACAAAGAGACCAAAAACAAAATGGAGGGCCAGAAATTTGGCAAAATAAATGGGACCTGGGAGGCTCGAACTCCCGACCTCAGGATTACTCTGACTTTTGAACCAGATCATACAGGGGTATGAGACCTGCGCGCTAGCCAACTGCGCCAAGGTCCCTTGGGTTGTGAATTTTCAGGTGGGTTTTGGCATTCATAGAATCATGACACAGCTCTAGTCAAGGGAAAGTTCTCTTCGCAACCCGCGACGTTGATGCTGTTCAGCAGATATATAAACACATGCAGCAGGTGCACACATACCTACTAGCATTGCTTCCAGTCCAAGTGTTGAAATTCTTAGAGTATAGACGTGCGACATTCTTCCAAGCTACGAATGACAATAAAGTAGAAATGGTGCTCCATTTTTTTTGTCCCGAAACTACTTTCAAGAGCTTGGGTTGAAGCTGGCCTGAGCTCAGACCAGCCTCAAAAACTCTGCTTTGCAGATCACTTTTCAATAATCAAAACCCCTTGTGGTGTAGTTGGATATCACGTTCGGCTGTAATTGTCTAGATTGTATACCGAAAGGTCACCGGCTCGATTCCGGTCGAGGGGAAATTCTCTTTTTGTCTTTTTTTTTTCTCTCGCTATCTTTGCGTTTTTTTTCTTCTTCTTGTTGGCTTCCAAACCCGGACATGTCCCCTGACCCATGTGCATATTAGATCCACTTGTTAATGCAAGATCTGCGATGTCCACTACGAGATTTCTATCGATGGCATGGGGTATTCTGACTTATCTTTTGTCAGTGCTCAGTTAATTGAATATCCGATTCCCTCTGCTCTGGTCCTTTTCAGCAACCGTTAGAGTTCCCGTGCTTTCAGTAAGCTCTGCTTCGGATATGCTTTTGAGGGATGACAGCTCAGCTTTATACTAAGACACCAACATCAACATGATTACAGTTTTTCTAGAGCTGCACATAGGTATGCCGACCCAGGTTATCTGCCGGAGTTCAGTCCGTTGCCGCAATGAGATCGAACGTTTCGATGTGATGTTTCGCCGACAACGAGACAACGCTCCAACCTTCACAGGATATCTGAATCCTCGGAAGTCGGCACGAGATGCCTAGGTAGACAATCGGACTATGTAGGTATCAATCATATGGTGATGTCCTGCTCGCCTTAAAAGTAACTTTCCTAAGCCTCTTCTTCATTAACTCTCCAGGCCGATCTTCCCCAGAGTCAAACCCCGGATTCTGCTTCCTGCAATGCATGTGAAAAGTCCATGGGTATGTATTTCGATTTCATGACATCGCGCATTTCCTTGATTGCTCCCTCGATCCCCGCAAGTGCTGCAAAAGAGTTGTCGTCATTGGCTATTTCGAGTAGAGTCTGAGAGAGTCTAGATCTTCAGAGCTTTGAGCTAGTTGATGTCAGTATCCACATCGCCTGTCAGTTCCGGGTACGCTTCCCTTGGTCTTCAACGCTCCAGGAACCAGGGGTTAAAATATATATCAGACCTCCATCGATTCTTCTCTTCTGTATCCGTTTCTTGTCGTACCCATCCTTGCCCAGGACAAGATTGATGATACCCGAGTCCACCGCCCAGAACAACACCAAGCTCAGCCAAAGTAGCACGCAAATCAACGAAATCTATTGTATTCAATGCTCTACGGCAGCGCCTATGAAGTCTATACAGTTCTGTAGTATTTGTGGTATGTAATCAACCCATTTTGTCATGATTTCTTACCTCAAAGCCGCCCAGCCTTTCGCCGGGTGCAGGGTCAAAATCCGAACTCGATTGTCATCAATTTTTGTCCTGCGCGAGCCATCCTGTTGCGTGCTGTCGCACACGTTCTTCCATTGTTGGTGGATGACCCCCCATTGGTGCTCATCGTGTACCGGAGGCCAATTGAAGAAATGTCAAACTCGAAATAAACGCAGATACGAATGAAGGCAAAGGCATAAATAACAATCTTCTAGCCTAATGTAATGGGTAACCTCTTAGGTCTTCGAAAAGCCGCAACTCCCGGTATAAGAAAACGAGCCACTTGGCATCTTCGATGAGCACACAGCGATAATCATAAAGTCATTGAATTGCCCCGCTACAGCCCGCGAAGTATTCCAGTCAAAATTTTATGTATCCCACGAACCACCAGAAGTAAAACCGTATTTCCATCCACTCCCACTCATCCATTGCGAACTAGCAAGAAGCCGTGGCATTATTGCTAAAAGTAAAACCGCAACGCGCGCTATACGGACGCCCCTCCACTGCCACTCACATCGGAATTTCGGTTGCCTGTGAGTATCGCCAGCTCGATATTTCCCATCGGGTTTGGGGGGAGGGCCTGCGATGCATCTGGGTTTTGAGATGTTGCTGTACCTGGTGAGTTCCTGGCAACTCCAGAATGATGGCTGCCTTCAGCGATTGTTGATTCCAGCCCCGTCGCCTGACCAACTAACGGAACATGCGCAGGGGTCCCAGAAACGGCACCGGATTCTGTCGCCCGCACCGCCTCATAAAACTGAAGGCCATGAGGTGGTATGGCAAAAGGCTGGCCAGGAACAAAGTGGAAGGGGTTCGTAACGAGGTGCTGCTGTGGCTGAATCGCAGGTGGTGGCGGCGGCAGCAGCTGTTCTGTGGATGCCACGCCCTGTATAGGGAACGCAGTACCGCCCATAACCGCATGGTGATTATGCAGCATTGGCTGCGTGTCAATTACCATCTCGCTCCCATCTTCCAAGCCATCATCGTCGTCTACCGCATCAGGCTCGCCATCGTCAATGAACGCAGCTGCTGCGCCATGGTGACCAGGTGGAGTGACCTGCATGGGGTTGACTGCTGTTCCTGGGAAAACGGGGCCGGCTCGGTTCGGCACTCCTTCGTCGATTGGTCTTGCACCACGAGCGATCTCTGTCAGATTGTGCTCGCTGTTGAGGTAGCGCCGAAGATTCGTCACCCCCTGGCCGGAAAAGACGCAGAAAACAGCTCTCTGATGTTCGGTGAACTCTGTAGGTTTCGTTAGCCCTTGAACTTTATGGTGAATCGCTTGGGAGGGATTATCAGCATACCAGCTGGTGCCTCGCGGCAAAAACTCTCCAAATCCTCCCGCAGGAACGCTTGGACACCCGTAACACTCAAGTGAGTGAGACGAGGGCATGCGTTCAGAAGTCTTAGGACACTCTAAGGGAAAATGTTAGGATCACAACCGAGATGGATAATTCACGATTCCACATACCCTCAATGTCAGGTTGGTGCAATAGCTCAAATGAACCCTCTCAAGGCTGCTGTGGTGCATATTGTTGTAACAGTCCCCGGGAACAAGATTACCGTCAGCATCTCTGCGAGGCCGGCGTTGGTTCGCCCTAGCAAGAGCGTAGACACTCTCGTCTGTGATATTTGAACATTTGACCAAACCAATGCGCTTAAGTTTGGGCAAAGTAGCAAGTCTCACGACAGAGTCATCTGTCAAATGGACGCAGCAACCGAGGTCGATGTATCGAATCCGGTTACAACATTGAACCAGACGTTTGACAGCTTCATCTGTGATGTTTCCGCAGTGGCCCAGATGGACATAGTGCAGATTCTTGCCCAGCCTGGCGATAGCGAACACAGCAGCATCTGTGATGTTACGACACTTCGCGAGCACGAGGTTGCGCAGGCGAGGAGCTACATCAATGATCTTCTCAACAGCTCGGTCCGTCAGTCTGGAGCAAGACGTCAGGTCTAGGATTCGGAGTTGCTCGTAGGTCTTGTTTGGAGGTAAGGAAAGGAATGCAGAGTCGTCGATCAAATCGCAACTCGCAAGGCGGAGCTCTCGAAGAGCTTTGCCTTTAGACATGAGCGCCGTAACCGGATCGTTCCCAATTAGACGGCATTGGTGAAGATCGATCTCGAGGATGTTGGGGCAATTCTCAGCAAATGCGATGACGGCCTCGTCAGTCACCTGAGCACACTCGTTTAATTTCAACTGCATGCACAAAAGACGTCAGCGTTTGCTTTCATACCCAGATTCTCACCACCAAAGGCAAAGCTACCCCGTTCACGGGGCGATGTAGTGGAAAGAACTTACCCTCTTGATAAATCTGCAGCTCTGCGCCAGCTGCACCAGACTCGCGACTGAGATCTTAGTGCAGTTGGAGATATTGAGGCCCTGTAGTCTGGAGCACTTTTCCGCCACAGCGTTGATAGAAGTTTCCGTGATGTCTTCCATGCCAGAAATGTCGAGAGCCAGGAGGCCAGTGTTGTTCCGTAGCAATTTGAGGAGACCAGCATCCGTGATGCGTTTGCAACCAGTCATGGTCAGTCGCTCGACACGACTGCACATCTCCAAAGACTCGACACTGCCATCGTTGAGTTCGGGGGCGAGGGCTGACAAATTGAGACGCCTGATGAAATGTCGGTAGGCGAAGTACGGTCGTGGCGCACTGAGGGTTTGGCAGATGATGGTGTGTCGTTCCCAGGATGAGCAAGCTGGACGGTGCCACAGAATTTCCACTGCATTCCGAGCCCATGACTTGCACGTCAGCATGACATGGAGAATATCTGAGGAGGTTGTGAGTTTGACGAAGATGGCAATGAGTAGTTCGTTGGGCAAGCGATTAATAGGCGCTACACGGCACTCCTCATCGGCGACTTGCATGTTCTCGATATTGGGAACGCCTAGCGACGACTGGGAGTCGTTCGCAGCGAGAAAGAAGTCGGATTCTTCATTATCGACGGGCGGAGGGGTGCTCGACGACGAGGTTGATCGTGAATCGTCTTGAGCCTGCTGTTGGGCGGCCTCCGAGTGGGCTTCGGGAGCCGCGTCCCCGTGGGCCATCGGTGTTCTCCGGTCGTCGGCGATTATGTCGAGAGAAGCACGTAGCCTCATGTCAAAAGTCGTGCCAGTCTGGTGGCAAGCGAAGAGAGATGTGTAGAGTCGTCGAGCAAGTTGTCGGGAGGAGCGCGACAAGAGGCAAGGCGATGGATGACTAAGTAAGCGCGAGGATCGGTTGATTGCTCGTCGGGGTGGGTTGAAGGTGCTAGGGGGACCAGGGCTGCAGGTTGATCAAATGCCAGGTCAAGGGAGCCTCTGCTTATTGGCAGGTAGACGGTGGGAGACTAGGAGTGACGAGATGGTCCTCAGAAAGACGGGAGGGAAGTCGGGGCGGCGTGAGCGGAGGGTGGAGGTTCGGTTCAAGTTGGTCAAGAAGCCGCCGAGATGGGGTGCCGACGGGTTGGTAGCACTGGCGCCTCTTGTCTTTCAAGCGTGCTGTTTATTGTAGTATGGTACAAAGAATGAAAGTTGTTGTTGGGGGAAAGGACGAAGAATTGTCGATGATGGCGATTTGTGTCGCAAGGTTAATGGGGCTCGCTTGCTTGAAGAGGATGCCCGGTTGAGCAAGAGAAGATGCCCGGGGTTTATTGTTGGCAGCGGGAAACCGACAGCGGCACTGGTAGCTGCACTGACTGTGCAGGGCCTTCACTAGAGGTACCTACACCTACCTAGTACGTAGAGGTAGAGGTAGGTTTGGCCGGAGTGCTTAAATGCGGATGGAAAGGGAATGGGCGAAACCTGGCTGGCACAAGGCGAGACAGGGCAACAGGACGAGTGGGGAAAAGCTGGAGCGTCAGTGAGCGGCACTGAAGCAGGCACCTAGCATCCATTTCCCGGTCACGCTCTCGGGTCACTGCCGCTCTCAACCTAACGGTCGGGCGTAAACCTCCGATCCAGCTCGTCTTGCTGAGCTTCGTATTCTTCCTGGAGGATTTGATCGTGCCCTATTCTTTCTTGGAAATTCCTAACATCTCTACGAATTATGGCTGGCCCCGTTTGATCGCCAGTTGGTAGGCAAGTATGGCGGGCCGCTACTGCCCGATATCGAGAGCCAGCGGGATGCCATGCAGGTTACGCCATTGTAGCAGTTATGTACTACCTACCTAGGTATTCAGGGGATGGGCAGTGGAGGTCCCGTTACACGCCAGTCCTGTCGCTATGTAGCGTGATGTAGACGCAGCGGGCTGTCCGTCGGCGGCTGTGTAGGTACCTGTACTGTAGTCGGGCATTGTCCCTTTGCATCCACGTTCTCGACGGGAGTTTCCATGCATGTCTCCATTCGCTCTCATACAGCTAGTGTAGTAGTATCCCACGAATTATCATTCCCATGCTATTGGCTAGGTTGGGAAGAGCCGTGACGGTAGGAAAGCAGGCAAACACTGGTCGTGATCACTGCGCACCGACACATCGAGACGTACGGGAGACTCCAAACTCCAGAGTTCCCAGGTCCGGACTTGACAAAGTCTGGTGACTGTCCTGCAGCCTCATGACATACAAAGTGTGTAGACCCCTCTTGTTGATGCAACAACACAGATCTCGAGAGCCATCAGCTGGTGCAACTCTGTGACATCAAACCATCACAACAGGTACTAGGAGGAGTGGACAATTCGGATAGTGTCAGCAAAGACAAGCCAATTTCCTCCTCTAATCATCATAGGGCGATGGCTATACGGTGGCCAGCAAGGTTCAGCTAGCGAGCGATTGTCCGTCCCATCCGAGACCCAGCAATTTTCGGCCTAGAGTCTGGAGTTTGGATGTCGTTTGTCAACATCGGAAAAACAGGGTCGGGATAGTGGCATTACTAGGTAGATATCTCTAGGATTGTCGTTTGGAGTCGAGACTGAGCGTGCCAACTGCCATTTCGACATCTTTGTTTAGGCTTCAAAACGCAAGGGAAGATAATGAGCCCGACAGTAGCAGAGCCTTCCCAAACCCATGCTGCACATTGAGGTTGTATCAAGGTCGCTCGAGAACGAGACTGATCAGATGTGCAACGGTTATTCGCCCATGGCGCTCTGCATGGCGCTTAGAGCCCGACGGTCGCTGGCCAGCCGATATTCAATAGTGGTAAATGATGTGCGAATCTCGACCCTCTGCCGATACTTTGGAACTTGGGGTCAGTTCATGGTAAGGCCTGCGCTTTGTTCGCATACCTACCTCTCTCTACATTAGACTACTCTCCATAACCCCGCGACGGACCCTGGAGAGCCTGGTTTTGTCACTTCAGCTCGTCCCACCTTAGGATCCAATGGGAGGGCGACCTCATACCTCAGATAGGGGCATTGTCAAAAGAACTGATGATGGGAGCAAAAGAGGAGAAAAGAGAAGAGAAGGAAGGAGAAACTTGGTTTTTTCTTTTCCATATTTGTTTACTATTGTTTTCATTCCATCTTTATTCTCCAATTCTTCTTTTTATCTCAGCGGAGAGGCGGGAGATAGACACTATAAGCTATATACCTATGGACCACTGCATGAAGCTGAACTCGGAGGAGACTGCGAAGATTTGTCTGCGAATCGGCCATCAAGAGCAAGTAAATATTCATGATGGAAGGCAAAAGCACAGGCAAGGAGCATGGAAGCGGAGGCTTGCTCCTGAACCATTCACCACCAGGGCATAGTATGGTTTTGCATCCGAATCCACTTCCCTGGAACCTCAGGGACCACTCCCGCCGGTCATAATAAATACACTAATATGCATCATCAGAATCGCGCCGCGGGGGTGGAGGGAATCTTATGTAGATGGTCGATATCGGTCGAGGCAGCTTAATGTACAGTCCAGTACTGGTTTGTTTGTTAGCTCGAGACCTCGTGTCAACTTTCCTATACGTCTTCATAGCTAAGTAACGCGTATTATTACCTTGGAAACGCCATTCCTGATATTTAATATGTTATATCAATTCCTGTTAATGCCTTTATAATTCGTACTCACCGATCTTAACTTATCCTTATAAGTTTTGGGGCTATTCGGGATTGATTTTGTTTAGTATGCACTACCAGAAGTACTTACCTATTGTACCAAGCTAACAAACAAACCAGCATCGGATTGTACAAGCAGCACGCAGAATAACTTAGAGATGGAACAGTGGGATTCTTGTGGTTTGTAGGGCAGTCAGGAAGGCCATCGGCAACTTCACTTTTGACGACGGGATGCCCGCTCAGAGGTTGCATTCATTATCGTCCTGCGATACCGATTTGGTTCATCGAATTGCTAGTGCTCCTAACAATTAGTAACAACTTTGCGGCCACTTTTACCGACAATTCGAGGCGATCCAGAGATGTACTGTTAAGCCTCTGAACTTGAATTGAATGCCCACCGCTGGCCACTGCGAAGCTCAGCTACCTAGCAAAGCCATGTCAATCTCGTCTTCTGGTTACGGAGCTAGAGCCAGTATCACCAACCTCAAAGCTTCTAGACCCAAGCGACTAGGACAAGGTCTTCAGGAATTGCACAAGATCGATGTGCAACGCTTGGACATGAGGTTAACCAGTCAAGTTACTCAACTGATCTTTAATTGCACAGAACAGCCCTGAAGCTTGCAACAGTCCACGACAATCATGCTTCGCCAGTCGACCTTCAAGCAACTGCCCAGGTCCTTTGGATCCGCGGCCAAAGCCGCAACACGAACTCCAGCTTCACGCCGAACCTTCCTGAGCCCTCCGCGAAGCCAACCCAATGAGCACCTCAACCGCCTTGACGTCAACAAGCTCTCGGAGCAACAGCTCAAGTATGCCCGCAACCGCCGCGCCTTCCTCTGGACGGGGCTTTTCTGTAGCGTCAGCTCCATGATCTACGTCGGCTACCTCATCAAGCTCGAGCTCAAGAAACCCATCCAGGCCGATTCCAGCCTGCCTTCGACCGATCCTCTCGCTGGCACCAACGCCGCCGAGCGCAAAGTAGTCTTGCGCGACGAAAAAGGCCACGAACTCGTCCCAACCGGCAACAGCACCGTCCCAACTTTCCCGCGTACGCTCGAGCTCGGTAGCTTTGAGGGGGCCATCGCCCCCGGCCCCTCCGCCTCGGGCTTGGCCCCGACAATCACCGGCCCCGACCAGACCGAGTACACCCTCGTGGGCTTCGGTCTGCGCACCGTCACCTTCATCGGCATCCAGGTCTACGTGGTGGGCTACTACGTCGCCACCGCCGACGTGGCCTCGCTGCAGTCGGCGCTGACCAAGAAGGTCAACCCGATTGCCACAACGCTCGTAGCCGGCGAGCGCGACCAGCTGCGCACCGATCTGCTTGACCCCGCCAAGGGTAAAGAAATCTGGGACGGCCTGCTGGCGAACGGAATCCCTGCGCGGTCCGTCTTCCGTGTGATTCCCGTGCGCGACACCGACTTCCACCACTTGAGGGATGGCTTCGTGCGTGCCATCCAGGCTAGGGCTGGTAAGGTTGGGGACGAGCAATTTGGCGAGGCGATGAAAGACTTCAGGCAGATTTTCAACCGCGGAAAGGTTCCGGCAAAGCAAGAACTTCTGTTAATCCGCGACGGAGAGGGTAAGTTGAGCGTTGTGTATGACGATGGCGGCAACAAGAAGGAAGGGAGGCCGGCAGGGAGACAGCTGGTTGGCACCGTTGATGACGAGCGTGTCTCACGTGCTTTGTGGCTGAACTACTTGGCTGGTAAGAAGGTTGCCAGCGAGCCGGCGAGAAAGAGCATAGTCGAGGGCATCATGGAGTTTGTGGAGAGGCCGGTTGGAACCATCGCGGCCCAGGTGGTATAGACAATACGAATAATCAGAAACCCATTGATTGAGGGGATTACAAGCCTTTTTAGCCCAGGATTGGGTTGAATGTAAGCAGAAATGCATCAGGCGCGTTTTTGCACTCATATCGATGATCACTATTCCAAGCTTTGCGCACACGTATGACCATGATGTTGGGGGTATTCCAATGCTTTTATTTTCGCAAAACCGCTTCAGACGAATAGCCACCCTTTGATAGATCCCTGGGTATCCCATCCCGCAATTCCAAAAACTACTAGCAGAAGTAGAGGCCCATGGCGCCACGCACACCACGGGGCTCTCGTGATGTCTCCTACCATTTGAGCCTCTCGAGCGCTTTTTCCCTTTGCCGACGGTTCTCCCTGTAGAGGTTTCTTTCAACCCAGACAGTTGTGTCCTTCGAGAACATCGAGGCTGTTTCTAACGTGTCTTGCGGAGAGCGACTTACAGAGCGCCCGCCTCTTGGAGGAGCTCTTGGATCTTCTTGCCGTTCTTGCCGTTCTTGACAACAGCCTCGAGATCGGAGTTGCCGCCAATGTGCTGCTTGCCAATGAAGATGTTCGGGACAGTGCGCTGGCCGGTCAACTTGAGAAGAGCGTCCTGGACATCGGAGCCATCGCTTTCCTGGTTGAGCTCGTAGGTAGCGTACTTGGCATTGAGGCCGTCGAGGATTTGCTTGGTGTTGGAGCAGTAGGGGCAGTAGGACTTGCTGAAAACAACTATTTGCGACGATGAATCGTTAGCAATGGGTTGCCGCATGCGACTCGCAGCATGTTATCTGCAATTAACTGCATGGAAGAGCGAAAGCCAGTTTCCAAGTTCGTTGATACAGGCGAGAGCGAAGATCGGAATAGCGAGCCTCCGCAAGAGATACACGATAAGGGTTCTAGAGCGAGCGGTGCATGCACCAGACCGTCGGACTCGCGCACAAAATTCGCACGTGTAGCGGCCCGTGCCGATGTAGCTGATGGCTTCGCGCGACATCATATGCCAGTGCGCAGGGGAACGCGGGAAACAGTTGAACGTAGAGTTGTCACATACCGACAGCGTTGTCGTTGATCAGCTGCTTAGCCTTCTGAGTAGCGGCGTCGGACATGGTTGATGTTGTGCTGGAGAAGAAGCGGCGGAAGATGAAGGACATAGAGATTGCGCGAGGTGGAGGTCCAAGAGAGCGATATTGATATATGTATACAAAAGGGAGGGGAAAGGCTTTATATGGGTAAATTTGGGGAAACTAAGCACTGCAGAAACCGAAGCTTTGGAAAGGCGTGTGTGACCGTGTGTCGAACTAGGGTGGGCACAACGAGATCTGAGGGGGAGGAATAGCGATTGCGACATTCGGTGTGAATTTGTCACGACTCCAGTTTTGGAAGGCTCACCCATATCGGGCAGTTCAAAGACTGGGTCATTTGATAGAGGATCGGGGATGAGGCACTCCCGACACTGTGCGGCTTCTGCACACTTTCGGCGTGCAAGATGCCGCAAAGTCACCGCGGGCGACTCCATCACGTTAATTGCGGAGTGATTTCAGTTTCCTCATCCTCAATGGAAACAACTTGAACCCCAGTTCAACCGGTTGAAGTCCGCCGGTCTCTCGAGGTGTCTCGAGTATCAGATAAAAGATGGATGTTGCCATCATCTCTGATTTCAGTTTGCGCTCCTTAAATCGAATATTTGCCGTCTTTACTATGTACACGGCTCATCCTGGAAGTAGGTGCTGCATGGACACGAATATTCCAATGACGCAAAGGCCTTTCTGACCGCGCGATTCACCCGCGATTCACCAGAAAGCCATCATCAAATCCCCGCCGTTATCTCAACTCCGTCCCTTTCCCTAACTACCCCACTTCCCCAAATTTCAAGCCACGATACTTGTTCGTGCTGAGATTTGGCAAGCCTCCGCGCAGATGTTGAAGTTGAAAACGAAATCGGCACCAGGAAATGGTGTTCGATCGCTCCAAGCTTTACAAGTGCCTACAACCTGCCGAGGGTATTGTGTTTCCAGTGAAATCTTTCACGAAGCCACGATACCCATGGTGATAAGAAGAGGGTCGTCCGCAATCGGCCGCGCTGCAATGCTGACAGGAACGTCATCAGAACAGCGAGGATAGCCGCCATCAAGGGTTCCACTCGGAATGCCGACTGCAGCCACGGCTGGCCGGGGCAGTTGGTGGCCAGTCTGGTGCGCGAAGCGAATGCAACACTTCATACTCTTGAATCAGCCTGGCAAGCCCGGCCCTCTCCAGCACTGTGCTCACGGGAAGGCAAATCGGGTTAGATCGCAAGTTCTAGTGAGGCGGACTTGCCAGCGTTACTTATTGGAGCGACAAATGAGGCTATTCACAGTATGTGAGGGGATCAGATGGTCGGCAGCCTTGGGCCCGGCCATGACTTCATCTGGGACGAAATGCATGTCATCGACTTTGCTGCCGCCACGGCATCGTGATCCTGGCTTAGACCCAGTCGGCCAGTCCACCTTCCCCAGAACAGAGGGCGAGACGGCTCCACGGGTCTTGGGAAGCGATGCACGTGAGTGACCCTGACGCTCATTCCAGGTTCGGCCGTGCGAACACGGCCTGCTGGTTGATCATGTACACTACTGCGTACTTCGTGGTGATTTCTTTCGCCAGAGAGCTCTCGAAATTGTGACCAGAATGAACCGAACACGCCTCGGCTCTCCCACGCGTACGAGAAAGCGAGGCGAAGAGAGGTTGAACGGAAAAGGTTAGCGTCCTCTTTCTTTCGACGTTATCCGACATTGATGGACGATTCTCTCCGAGGTGAGGCAATGACTGGTGGTTGTATTTTCAGTCGCACACTCACAACAACAGAGCGTTGAGTTCACTGTTTGCTTGCCCTATTCGAGGCCCTGAAGCGGCCTCTTGCAGGGAGTCACATAATAAGGTATGTAACATCCAAGGTCACAAAGATAGTTGAATTTGAGAACAATGAAGGGGCCGTTGAGCTCTTGAGGCGAACAACATGAGCCAGTCGATGAACGTGCGAGTCATGATGGATTACCTAATGATACCGATGTGGTTCCAATGAGAGCACTTGCAGCGGACACGCCCCGGGGCAGGAGTAGCAAGCAAGCTTGCCTTGGCCTTGGGAGTTGGCGCCACTTTAGCGGCTCCGTGGGTTCTTCCCTTTCGGACGGGTGTTCAGATGAAAAGTTGGGATCCCGGTCGCCCTTTTAACCTTTCCTTCTGACTTCGAAATTGTCCGAGTCCCTACATAAGTAGTACATGAACAAACCGCCACCGTACGTTCCAGGCCTATACCCTCAAACCTCAAACATCACCCGAACCTGGCCTCACACCTGTCCGCCGCACCGCCATTCCCACCATTCGCACCCAACCTTGCCGGCCTTGCTAGACTCGTCCAACCCAATCGGCTGTGTTGCCAAAGACGCCCACTCCCGCATCTGCGCAACAGCCTGAAAAAGGACCCTTGGATCCCGAGGCGGTGATCGTCGTTCTAGTCGTCATTTCCCTACCCATTTCGGATACGGGTGTCAAAGACAACCGGTCTCTCGTACCCTTCTTCGCCAACCCACGAAGACAAAGCACTACGTCCCCAGCTTCGCGATTGGTCTCACGCCTTTCTATCCATCTAGATCTTGTCCGCCGTTGATTGCTTGACGCCTGCGGCCAAGTTGATAGCTGCGCCGTATCATACGATCCCACCCGTCATAAAACGTCAACCCAATTACCCCCCAAACCGATCAGATCGACTATATTAGACTCTTCAGATTCCCACTTTCTCTTCTTTTCTTTCGCAGCAGGTCAACGGCGTACTGTCGTAGGACCAGCACACAGTCGCAAAGGTGGCTTCCGGAGGAGATTCGGCATCGTCAGGTGCCTTCGTTGCCCAGCTTGCCAACATCACGTCTTTCTTGAAAGTCCCGACTCAGCTGCAGCCTTACCTTGAGACTACCGCTGAGCATCTAGCCTCAGCTTCAGAGTATCTTCAGTTAGCGACCGGTTTTTCTCCCTCCCAGGTCTACACGGCCGCCGCTGGTACACTCCTCGCTCTGAGCGTCATCCCCGTCGTCGCCGCCCGGAAATCCAAAAACAGAAAGGGAGGAAAGATGTCTTGGTGGGGGCGCCCCAGCTTGTCGCCTTGGAACTCGGGTGTTGGCCAAGGGGGTGTGCCGAGTGTGACTGAGGAAGATTTCAGCTACATCACTACCGAGGATCTTGACAGTCCTCGATACAGTCAGCGCTATGACTATACTCGGTCTCCACAGGCTGCTGTTCAGGGTATCAGCAGGTACGAAGAACCCGAAGACGACGCTCTTAACATTGTTTACAAGAACGCTGTGTACCCCGAGGGGTTTCCTGCGTACTCGATTGGCGACGGCAAACTCCTGGTCAGCGATGTGAAGGAGCGAGTGAAGCTGATCTTGGGGATTTCCGATCGCCACGGGAGGATCCGTCTGTACTACAAGGGCCGGCGCTTGAGGGATGATGACAAGCCCATTCGAGAGTATGGAGCCAAGCACAACAGCGAGATCACGGTTACGATCAGCGAGCGCGAATCCGAGAGCAGCAGTGATGTGGGGAGCGATGAGATTGTTATTGTTGATCATGACGGACACGAGGTCCGCGAGGAGCCTGAGCCGTCGAAAAAGCATCGTAAGAAGCGTAGGGGCAGGACCAGGGAGGAACGAGGTGCCCGTAGCCCTCAGAGCCCACAAGAGAGTGCTTCGGATGTTGGTCTCAGAGTGCCGACCGAAGATCCTCGCAAGAGGGCAGCTTCACGAGTTCGATCTCACTCCCCTTCAGCCGAGTCCGGATTTTCGGCAGCATCCGGAGTGTCCGGGGTCTCGGCAATCTCCGCTATCTCGGCCGGGAGCGTTACTCGCGCCAGCCCGGCCTCAGTTGCCCCGGGCGGTCCCATCGAGAAGCTCGATCAAATCGCCGCCCACTTCAACAACACACTCCTGCCATTGTGCCGACAATTTGCGACCCATCCTCCTTCGGATCCTAAAAAGAGATCAGAGGAGCACCTCAGGCTTTCAGAGACGATCCTACAGCAGGTCCTCCTGAAGTTTGACGATATCGAAACGGGAGGAGATGTCGCAGTTCGCACAAGGAGGAAGGAGATGGTGAAGCAATGCCAGGATATCCTGAAGACGCTCGACGAGGCTCTTAAGGCATAATAGTGTGGACGGTCATAGGCGTAGTACCCGGATTTTTGTCATTTTTCAAGCTTCATAATCAGCATGAGAATGGAAGGATTTAGGTGGTTCCTCGTTACAAAGTCGACAATTCTTTGGTAATCCAGCCATGTGAAAGGCGTATAGGGGTTACTGGTGCGACGTCACCAGCTGCTCTGTTTTGTTGCGCTTAGATTTCTATAATTGCTTTTGCGGGTTGAAGGCTTCTTGTATCTCTTGTCCAGTGGTGTGACACGAGAACATGGAAGTTGAAGAGAATCTAGCATTTTGTGCAAAGAACGTGGTCCGAAGCGATGGGATATTGTTGACCAAGTCATAGATGGTAATTGACTGGCGTCCCTCCCAAAGGCCCAGTTCACAGAGTTCGCACTGCATCCAAAGACCCGTTGGTAACTACCTTGATGGCTAGCAGTGACGTGACGATGATCGTCCGTCCTGTTGATTGTGAGCAGTCATCGCTCAAGGTGATGACCACAATCATGGCAAAGGCCACAAAACAACAAAGCTGACCATCGATATGAAGCGCAATTCACTTATCAGATCAGTGTCCAGTGATGAGATCATAGGTAATCATTCTGCCCACGAAAGAACCACTGCAAGTACCTTGAAATCAGAATCAAGGGGGCCGTGATAAGGTTATCAGCGTGGTCGTCGCGCGCCACAGGATTGCCAAGACACGGGAAGCAAGGTGAAAACCAGCCCCACCAATTACAGACTGTAGGTCTAACCCTACCCCAACGCCTCAGGCAGCAAAGGCCACACTGGCTGGCAAGCCTCCACCGCTTCCGAAAACGGACTAGTGCATATCTCCCAACACCAAGCACACGGGCAATTTTCAGCACACACAAAAAAGTCGCAGACCGTCAACCATCGCGAGGTAAGAGCCAGACTTGCTGCCCATTTGATCTGCCGGAGCTTGACGGACAGATCGCTAATCCTCCTTCTTTGTCAACCCAGTCTTCCCCGGCAAAGATGTCTTCTTTCGAGTCTGTGGTACGTTGCGAATCCCCGAAACCGACTTGATGATGGATGTGGTTTCCACCGGTTCCATATCCGTATTGCGACGAATGGCTAGGCTGCCGACCGCTGCAGCGATACCGAACGAGATGGATACGACATGTTCGATTTGGCGATGGATACGGATATGGAATTGCGCGAAGCTTGGGACATGGCACACTGAGAGGGGCCGGTCGACGGCAAGGGTGCGATAGCAGCAGTTTTGTGATGGCTAACCTGTTGCTTTACAGGTCGTCATCGACGGCAAGGGCCACCTCCTCGGTCGCCTCGCCAGCATCGTCGCCAAGCAGCTCCTCAACGGCCAGAAGATCGTTGTGGTCCGCTGCGAGGCCCTCAACATCTCTGGCGAGTTCTTCCGCGCCAAGCGTACGTTACACCTTCACTCCTACACGACACCGAGAAACATGACTGCGGCAATGGACATATTCGGGAGGATTTTGGAATTGGGCACAGCAGGAGGAGGGCAAATTGGGAATCGCAGTCATGGGCGAAACGAACAATAAGCATCGAACGACGAGAACAGTCAGACTGACACGGAACCGCGATTATAGTCAAGTACCACTCGTACCTGCGCAAGATGACCCGGTACAACCCCACTCGCGGTGGTGAGTTACAGCCCTTCCGACACGACGACGATGACGGTCGAGTTCTCGGTCAGACGATACTGACTGCCCATAGGTCCCTTCCACTTCCGCGCTCCTTCCCGCATCTTCTACAAGGCTGTCCGCGGCATGATTCCCCACAAGACTGCCCGTGGCGCCGCTGCCCTTGAGCGCCTCAAGGTCTTCGAGGGTGTCCCTCCCCCCTATGACAAGAAGAAGAAGATGGTCGTTCCCCAGGCTCTCCGTGTCCTGAGACTCCAGCCCGGTCGCAAGTTCTGCACCGTTGGCCGTCTCAGCTCCGAGGTCGGCTGGAAGTACGAGGATGTTGTTGCCAGGTACGTTGGTTCGTTAAGAGCTGAGGCTCTTGCTTCCCGAAACAGCTCACCTTGTGTCGCTAACTGCTTGGTAGACTCGAGGAGCGCCGCAAGGCCAAGGGCGCCGCCTACTACGAGCGCAAGAAGCTCGCCGCCCGCCAGCTTTCCGAGGCCAAGAAGAGCGCCAAGGTCAACGACAAGACCGCCGAGGCTCTCAAGGAGTTCGGCTACTAGAGATAGTAGCTGTTGCTTCATCGACTTTTCATCCTTTGTGCGTTTTCACTCTAGATTGGCGCGGTTCAGGGCATCATCAACATCTGCGAGGAAATGTGGAGGAGTCAGTGGCTTTCCGACTCGCTGTTTGTCCCAGGTATGGGACCTCATACGAATAAATGATGAGATCACACAACCAATGGAGAGATCATGCATGGGATGAATGGAAGAAACAAGACAAATACCCCCGGGCGTTCAGCATGCAGTACCCAGTTCAGGACCTTTGTGTGGTGCGTGCCAGGCGTGTTCTCATGACAGAAAGGGACCCTTGCGTCTCGTAGATGACGACCATGCTGTCCAGCGGCACCCCGTCCACAAGCCCGAACATGCTGAAGCAAGCCAATGAATGACTACTGCGTACTTAAGCCAGATAATGCTAAAGTCTTCGAACGAACCATTTGATATCATAGCGTTGTGCTACAGTATCACATTTATTTCCAAGCATGGATAACGCCTCGAGCCCACGACTTCATCACAACCTCAGGCTAATTATCTAGTGAAGCATCACACCTGACATCGCGAGCTGGTCAGAGACAAACGGTCCTGTAGTGGCTGTTAATACCTTTCCAAGTCCCCTGGCCAATAACTGATTGAATGCTTGTCCGCACGACATCCCAAACCTTACTGTATTTACCAAACAATGACAAACATCGTGATCATCTCATGGTGTACTTATGACTTTGGGGTCTTGGGAATAGTCGCCATGTGCAAGTTACCTAGTCCACACGTCCTAAATCGGATGTGCGCATCGCATATCATGAATGAAGCAAGCTTGTGAAGTTGTACATGTTCTTGTTCCAGTTCGGGGGTGGCGTACTTCGTCGACAAGAAGGCCATAAACTTCGTTAATCTTCTTCCTTATAAACCGTCTTGAGCAGCCCATACGATCCTGCGCTTAAACCTCTCGGCATGTCCTAAGTCTGTCATTCCTTTATAGTTTTGTGTTGAGCATCACTTTTCTCAAATAGCATTGCCAAACTTGCATAAGGATGTTCCGCCTCTTTGCCTTTCAGGATCTCACTATGTCTTTCGCTTACCACGCAATTACACAGCAGACGGGTTTACGTTAGATTTCAACTAGACTCGAGTCTCTCGCCAATCGAGCTGGGTAAAAAGTATGCTGGGACCATTGTCTATTTGTACAAGTGATTGACATCCGCATTAACACTTCTTAGATAATGTTCTACATCTTTATATCAATTCCCTTTTCCTTCTCTTCCTGCTTTTCTTCTATCTTGCTACCTTCTTTCTCTCTTGTCAACAGAGAACTCTATTCCTTCGTTGGCTCAACCAGCAGCTCGCAAATATGAAAGATCAATCAATGTTGAACTTCGAAAAGCATCGTGTTCCCGAGGAGGCATGCCATGCAGGCATCATCAAGCATAGTTTTGTTCCTTATTTCTAACTCACAATGGGACCTTGGCGCAGTTGGCTAGCGCGCAGGTCTCATATGCCTATATGATCTGGTTAAAAAATCAGAGCAATCCTGAGGTCGGGAGTTCGAGCCTCCCAGGTCCCAAGTTCTTTTGTTGATTTTGTTTTTTTGTGAGGTTCCTGACATCATCCTTGCCTTCCCCTTTTGCGGTCTGTTTGGCCAAGCAGAGCTGTCTCGCCTTTGTTGAAGAGCAGCTCACGAGCAATGACGGGAATGGGCTTTCGAGGTCCTAAGAATGAAACCCATCACGACCTAGCCATTGGTGCGAATTTGAGTCCTACGCTGAAGTCCATCCCGGACAGTGTGGAGCCGGTCACCGTAGGGCTTGCGATGACATCAGTGCACTCAGCTGCCCCGCGATGTCTGGTGATGATGGTGAGCTGCTGAGCTGCACAACTTTGAAGTTTTGGGGAACGACTGGTTGTCGACAGGTGTCACAGATTTCTTGGTGAAGGTACAGTAATATTCTCAAGACTGACTGCCTCTCAAAATGATGTTCAATTTACAGCGCTGCAGGGAGTGGCCGTTCAAGGCACCTTTGATCGTTCGTATCTATATGGTCGTGACATTCTGGAGCCTAGTTCTACAACGTGTGTGGCATGCTTACTTCGACGGACAAGATGGCGCGAGTATCTGTGTTTTCTGTAACGTGGATAATCGCTTCGTCCAAGTGAGAACTCGCTTTTGGGTTTCAAGATCCCATAGATTGCATTTCCATAGAATTCCGGAAAACAATTTGTGTGCAATTGTCCTCGCAAACAAATTGAGTTCGCATACTCGCAATAGGCGGTACCAATTCCGACTACTACCAGGAGACAGCCAAAATATATAGAAATAGGTAGTAACTCTGGAAATTTGAACCATCGCAGAAGGCGACGGCGTCGTCGAGGTGAACACTTGCCACAGCCCTCATCAAGCAACGACGCAGCCGTCGCAACAACAACAAAGACAAGCGAACACCAAGTGAACCATTGTACTAACTAAGCGTCAAAGGTGGAACGCCCACTCACAAAATAACCAACGCACTTGATTCCGAATCATTCTAGCCTTCAACAATGGATCAGCAATGTGACAACTAGGATTATTCAATCTTTTTGCATTATTCAGGGCTCGTCTCGTACCTCCTTCATCCATATTCCCCCCTCGCGTCCTATCTACCTAGTCCGGCCTAGCAATTTTCACCGCCTTCCCGCACCGGCCTCCATCTCATCGGCTCTTCTGGATCCGGCATCGTCATCTCTCGCCCAATTCGGTTCCCAACCCCAATCTCAAAAACGGTCCCCGCCCTCAGGATTCTAAATCCACTCCCTAGGCTCCGGCTTCCTCGCTGGTATCCACATTTACGACTGCGTCTGCGTTTCACGCACCCCATCGGCCGTGCGCGCTTTCGCTGAGCGCCCCCGTGTAAGTCTCAGTGGGAATATAGGGATTGTTGCTGGGCCGGTGGGAACTGGGGCGGGGGTAGAAGGTGTGCTTGGCGGTTCTGGTCACTCTTCTTCCATATCACACAAAGGGGAAGAGAAGGATGGCGGTGATAGTAAACCGTTGGTGTACGGTTATATCAGGAGCAGGGGGCTGTATGCAGGAGAGTGGATGGATGGGACGGTGGTAGTGCCGAGGGGGATCACGGTGAAGGGGATTCTGAAAGGGGATGTGCCTTGGCCGGAACGAGGGAGAGATAGGAAGGATGGTAAAAAGGTTTGGCCGGAGGGGGTAATGGGCGTAGTGGAGGCTTTGAGGGTGGCTGATCAGAAGGAGAGGAGAACATGTAATGGGGATCATGAAAGTTCAAGCAAGAAAGTAAAGGGTGGCTGAATGTATAGAGATAAAGAGAGGGATAGACGCAGAAGGATAGATGAGACGCCGCCTGTTGACAATGGGAGGGACAGCATGCGTAGGAGGTGTAGCGTCAAGCTCACATGAGTACGATGAGAGGCGGTGATAGGTTTCACGTTTTGTGTAAATACAACTGACGTGAAGCTGGACTTGACAATGAATGTATCAACGAACCAACAATTTAAGGCGTGGAAAACATACCCTTACAGGAGCCAACCGTAAAGTTTCTTCTTTCTCCATGATAAAACGCTACGGTATCCCTTCATCTTCACTCAAACTAAGGTACGCTTAGTGATGGCTGGATATCGACATCACAAGGCTGAATTGTCAAATCCATTCCCAGTCGCAATCCGCCTAAATTTGAAACGTCTTGCAAATTAGGCCAGGTAATATGCGATTATGTTACAAGTACAAGCCCTCGGGCTCGCCTTCCTGCTTGGTGCGCAGAACTCTTTCACGAGCAGCTCTGAAGTCAGCCATCTGCACCCGCATTCTGCGCTCACGGAGGGCCATGAGACCAGCCTCAGAGCAGATAGCCTTGATGTCGGCACCTGAGAGATCGTCCTTCTGGGCGATGAACTCTTCCAGGTCAACATCCTCGTTAAGTGACATCTTGCTGGTGTGGAGCGTGAAGATCTTGCGCTTGGTGTTCTGGTCGGGATTCTCGAAGAGAATCTTGCGGTCGATACGGCCAGGACGGATTAAAGCAGGGTCAAGCGACTCAATCTTGTTGGTGGCCATGATGACCTTGACGTCTCCACGGTCGTCGAAACCATCCAGCTGGTTCAGCAGCTCCAACATGGTTCTCTGGATTTCACGTTCGCCGCCCGATGTCGAGTCGTAACGCTTGGTACCGATGGCATCGATTTCGTCGATGAACACGATGGAAGGGGCATTCTCGGCGGCAACCTAAGGAACATGTTAGAGTATATACTTGACAGTGTAGCTTGAGACACTTTTACATACCTGGAAAAGCTGGCGGACCAATCGAGGACCATCACCAAGATACTTTTGGATAAGCTCGCTACCAACGATGCGCAAGAACGTTGCCGAAGTTTGGTTTGCCACAGCCTTGGCAAGGAGGGTCTTACCGGTACCGGGAGCACCGTAGAGAATGACACCCTTGGGTGGCTTGATACCCATTTCTTCGTAGAGCTCCGGATGCAGCAATGGAAGCTCAACTGATTCACGAACTTCCTGGATCTGCTGTTCCAAGCCACCAATATCCGCGTACGACTCCGTGGGCGCCTTGTCAAGCTTCATGACGCTGACGGCCGGATCCGTGTCGTCGGTGAGCACGCCAACAATGCTGACACTCTTGTGATGTAGCAAAACGCTGGCGCCGGGCTCCAGAAGGTCTTTGTCGACGAAGCTCATGATGCTAACGTAGTACTCGGGCCCCGATGTGCTAGAAACGATGGCGTGGTCGTCGTCGATCAACTCCTCGAGAACACCGACACCCATGGGGCTGCCACGCATGTCATCGACACGGGAGCGCTCGTCAGCCATGCGGTCGGAAGACTCGAGCTCGGACGCAGGAGCGTTGCTGTCCTTCGCGGTCTTCGCCTTGCGTAGACGTTCTTGATTTTCGACATATTCCTCCTCGAGCAGCAGATGATCGTGGATTCGTTGCATTCGTAGGAGTCGGAGTTTGCATCGACTTGTCGGATACACTGAGGGGAGCTTGGCGGCAGCGCTGGCACCGCCTTGTCTCTTCTTCTTGCGACCGATGCGGGTGGTAGGCTTCGGCGGCGGCTCGTACTTGGGCTTATCTTTCTGTTTTGGTGGCGATGGTGGTTAGCGATGTCCATGATGTCAGCGCCTGAGTCTCACAGGACAGCAAACATCCCGCGCACAACAGAAACCTTGACGCAACTGAAGCCATCCTACCTTATCTTTCTTGGACTTTGAAGGGTCCTGGCCTCCGCCCATGCCAGACTGATTTTGACCCTGCGCAGCTTGTCAGTATGCGATGCATTGCAAGCTTGAGCTCAGCTCCGTATTGCGGCAACTGACCATGTTGACGGTCCGCCTTTCGCAATTCTTGAAAGTGTGTGGAAGGCTCAAAGGGGTACTGAGAATTATATGATGGGGTCTAAAAGTACCGCACGATCTGAAGTCGTTGATCTGGGCGGCAGTGATGGAAATGATTGTCCTGGTGTTCGTTGTTGGCGGATGCCCGTTTGAGGTTCAGTTGCGACGGGATGGCGAGCTCCAGTTCAGGCCCCCAGTGAACGCGACACACCTCATCCGTCTGTCGTCCAGTCCTACACTACACCTGACGCACAGACCATCAAGGCTACTAAGCTGCCGGGGGCAATGGCACCTTGCATGCCGTTTGAGCGCTCCTAGCACTTACTATGCGTTTGCATTCGATCTGTCTACTGACCATAAGTACCTGGACAAGCTGCACAGCTTTAAGTTTGTAACTTGTACCGTATGACGGACTGTTTTCCCATACATACAGCGCATGGCCACGACATTGGCAAGGGAGGGGACCACGGCACATTCCAGGGACGACTCGAGTCCAGCCAGAGCCTCCTGCTTCCATCCTATCCCGTCGCAACTTTGTGTACATTGGAAGGCGACAGTGGTCATTCATCCTCAACCTTACCCGTATACTGAGAAATAAAACAGTGTGTGGTTGAGGCGATCAAACGTTACCATAGCACCAAGCTCGTTCCATTGCCGCTTCTTCAACACAGTAGAGGTAGGAGCACCGCGCTCGCCAATTTATGTGAGCATTTGACTCTTGGCACTCTTGGGTACCTTTACGGACGCCGCTCCCCACTTGCCCACCTCGACTCTTGAAAGTTGCCTTCTTGCTTTCCTTTCCCTCGACAGGAAGTGACGACCACAATCTCACCGTGTCAGCGAATGTTTTTTCAGCCTTGCATTCGCAAATAACCTACGGTACCTAAGCAGGCCCGGTTTGCGAATCCTCGATCAGTTGCGGATGGAAACTTAAACTGTCCTGTCCTTCGTTCCACTACCAGCTCCTCCATCACTTAATCGAAACCCTCTCACCTTGCAACATCATTCCACGGGCCTCCTTGACCCCTCCACAAGGTTTATCTTATCAGTACTCCGTTGTTATACTTCACTTGTTTCGCTGAACACCACTTCCTACGATCTTATTTGCGTCCAGCAGCAAACGAATACTGTACCCACTCCAATTTGGGCGCAATACATATCCCTTCCTCTGCACAAAAACCCCATCACTTGACCATGGCGACTACTCGTGAGCGCCGCGTTGCGAAGGAATTGCAGGATATATGGAATGACCGCGAGACCTCGGGCGTCATGGCCCAACCTATCGACTCGAGCAATCTGTCGCACCTCAAGGGCTCCTTCAGCGGCCCCCCGGACTCGCCCTATGCCGGGGGTACATACGAGGTCGACATTCAGATTCCGGACAAGTACCCGTTTAAGCCGCCCTCGATGTATCTTATTACCAAGATCTGGCACCCCAACGTCAGCAGCGTCACTGTACGTTTCTCTCGTTCATGTCCCCGTGTTTTATGATTGATGTTAGGAAGTAGGTGGAGTTTGGAGAGCTGAACTAACCCTCCGACATCTTCACAGGGCGCCATCTGCCTCGACATTCTTGGAACAGCATGGTCCCCGGTCGGTACGATCAAGACAGCGCTGCTTGCCGTACGAATGCTTCTTGAATCGCCAAACCCGAAGGATCCCCAGGACGCCCAGGTGGCCAAGATGTTGATGGAAAACCCCAAGCTGTTCGCCCGAACGGCACACGACTGGGCCGTCAAGTATGCCGGCGCGCCCAGGGTGGATTCGATTCCTCTCAAGTATGACGAGACCGCAAAGGAAGGTTCAAGGAACGATGCTAGCAGGTATGTGGCATTTTTGACCATCCCGATGCAGTGAACCACTTTGAGTGAAGCAAAAGCCATATGGACACTACATTACTGGAAACCCGGAATAGAAGTCGAGGTGACTAACCTTAAGCGCCTGCTTGGCGAACCAAACACAGATATGCTGGATATAACAAGGACCTGGTGGATCGTTTTGTCAACATGGGATTCGACGTAGAAAAGGTGGTGGATGCTTTCATCTTCGTGGGTATTGACCGGAACGGAGGTGCCGATTACGAACTCGAGGAAGCATACATGGGCGATATCACCGCGCGGCTCCTCGGCGAGCAGTAACATTCAGAGAGTGAGGGCGGGCAATGAGAGCAACAAACACGGCTATGTATGGTGATGAGGAGGTGGTATGGTTTTAACGATCAGCATTATGGAAACCATAATGGTCTGGACTTTAAAAGCGGACAGGTAAAGCGAAGGATGGGAACCGCAGTAGCTGAGGCCGACGTTCGACTGGTTTAATCGGTGGTAGGTTGGCGCGGCTTCGTCTGTTATTAGTCTATACATCAGCCGCATTCGGATATGGAGTTTTACGGACGACAAGGGTGTCAATGGAGCAATGGAATTTCTGGCTTCTTTCTACTACTGATTCTTCACTTTACCGGTATTCGGAGTTTCCGTCCTCCTTTACGTGGTAGCTAGCAGAGTGATAGCGTATCTATACAAAGTATATGACGTATTCAAGCTGGTAGGTGAAGACAGGTCGGTAAGTCGTGTTTATGTGACGTTGTGAATAAATGGAAAGTTTAATATACCTGACCGCCCAAACCCATTCCTTGGTTTCACCTCTATCAACAAGAACATCGCAAGATGCGGAAAGGGATATAAATGCACCACACGGTATACGCCCAATCCCCATTCCCAGTAGCAATGGCCAAACGTCTCTATCAAGCTTCAATTGTCATCCCAAGACACACAGTCACAAATGCAATACGCTCCACGTTCCCTGCTTCCTTCTGACTGTGCCTTCGGCCCCGATCAGGTCGGCAGATAAGCCGAACCAGAAATACAAGACTACCCGTGCGCAGAGACAGGAGACATGGACAAGATGTTTTGGTTGTTTGGTTGGTTGGCTGGCTGCTGCGACTATTCATATGTCCGCCTCAAAGAAGACAAAAGGAAATGTTCGAAAGATTATAAATTGAACCCCTTCAAACTTTTCTTAAAGCAAATCGCGTCTGACGAACTCATCACGGAGAGCCTTACCGAGGCTGGCGGGCGAGCGCTCGACAACAACACCGGCGGCCTCGAGGGCCTTGATCTTGGAGTCGGCACCACCCTTGCCGCCAGCGACGATGGCACCGGCGTGACCCATGCGACGGCCGGGGGGAGCGGAGATACCGGCGATGAAGGAGACGACGGGCTTGCCGCCGTTCTTGGTGTTGTACTCCTTGAGGAAGTCGGCAGCCTCCTCCTCGGCGGAACCACCAATCTCACCGATCATGATGATACCGTCGGTATCGCCGTCCTCGAGGAAGACCTTGAGGCAGTCGATGAAGTTGGTACCGCTGAAGGGGTCACCGCCGATACCGACGACGAGAGACTGACCGAGGCCGGCCTGGGTGGTCTGGTTGACGGCCTCGTAAGTGAGGGTGCCGGATCTGCTGACAATGCCGATACGGCCGCGCTTGTGGATGAAACCGGGCATGATGCCGATCTTGCACTGACCGGGGGCGATGATGCCAGGGCAGTTGGGACCGACGAGACGGGTCTTGGACTGAGTCTTGAGCATAGAGGTGATTCGAACCATGTCTGCAATGCCCGGTTAGATCACTGGTTTCCAAAATTCGCTTTTCTCCGCTTGCGCGCCGTCCTTGTGAGCCATTGTACTGACCATGCTGGGGAATGCCTTCGGTAATGCACACGGCGAGGGGGATCTCGGCCTGGAGGGCCTCCTCGATACCGGCAGCGGCGAGAGGGGGGCTATTTTCGATGTTACTATTAGTAAGGTCCTCAAAGGCTGGTATTGCAGAGATAGTGCTTACGGGACGAAGATGGCGGTGGCAGTAGCACCGGTCTCCTTGACGGCCTCGCTCACATTGGAGAAGACAGGGCGATCAAGATGTGTTTGGCCAGCCTTCTTGGGGTTGGTGCCGCCAACAACATTGGTGCCTAGAACAGAGGGCAAAATGCGTCAGAATTCCATGTTTGCGACAGTTTGCGACCCAAGATCGGTACCGATAAGCGGGAGATAAGCGAAGGGAATGGTGGCAGTGGTAGGTGGTTGAGGGTGGTGGTTTACCATATTCGATGGCCTGCTGGGCGTGGAAACTGTACAATGAGCCATCGTCAGCCAAGTCGAATTCGCAGCATTAATCACATCCAATGGTGTCCTGGTCTTGGAAAGCTTGTGATCATGGGCAGTTGGCGGAGGTGGAGCATTCCCCAGATGCGCCCGAGTCGTGTCATCGGCGTCGCGAGTCACGACAAGCAGGGCGCAATGGGGAAAACGGGGAATGGGGAATTTCGGGCAGGGGAGGCAGCTCTAACTCACGTTCCCTGCTTGCCCGTGAATCCCTGGAAGAGAACCTTGGTGTCGCCGTTGATTTTCAGGTTGTTGATGGTCGCCGCATAGGGGGACGAGTTGGAGCTGTAGGCTCTCTTGGACAGCTGCTGGACGAGCTTGCCCGCGGGCCGTGTTTGCCTTGCGATAGCCTGCATTGTGAAATCTGTGGGCAAGAATGCAAGTATAGTGTGGGAATGAGGAGGGCGCCGGAGGAAAGAAGAGGGAGAGGGCAGTATTATGGGCGAGAGAGCCAACAATGGAGCCGATGATGTCGTTGAGGGGGGGTTTTGTTGTTCGTTTCCAGTTTTGCACGGGATCGCACGTAGAAATTCAGGACGTCGACGGCTCGAGCTTCTCCAACTCCCCGCCAGCCAACAGAACCCTCTCTCCTCGAAAAATATCTCCAACTAGGTGCTCTCACATCGGGCCGCACTATGACAGGATCCGCTCGCGAGCCACAGCTCCTGTCGCAGACCCACAAAACACCCACCGCCCACCGCCCACGGCAGGGTCTGCGGCAATGCGATTCAAGCTCATGAGGGTCTTGTTATCAGCCAGGTACACCGCGCTAACGCTTTTCCAAAACCGCTGCGTGTGACCACACCCAACCCCGCCGCTCTCCTAACGTGAGAAACTTGACCCAGATGGCTTGGTGGGTACCTGACCAAGCCAGCTCCAGCTGTACGTCACAAAGTACCGATCGGTATCAAGCGTACCTGCCTGTCTTGCCGAGCTTGCCAGGGTACCGGCGGATTCTCGGGGCTAAATTCAGTTATCAACCCGCGCCAAGTTACAAGCCACATCTACTCTATAGACAGGGGACTCGCAGCTCGGCGACGGGTGGCTGGAGATCTAGTTCAGCCGCATTTTACGCCGAGGTCACTTCGTTGGTTCTTGTCGGTGCACGCACATGCATGACCGCCGATGCATGACACTTCAGTGGGTGGACTTGAAGCACCCATGCAACTTGAGGCTGGCACATCTGTTACAGCCACGGCAGGCGTAAGCGGTACGGCACCTTCAACGACAACTGAAGCGTCCCGAAATTTGCCCCGCAAAAGGTTCAAATAATTGATTCAACGCCAACACCGAAATCGTCAACAACGAGATACGAGGTTCGCCAGTCCAACACAGCACAAACATGGCGACAACAACGGCCACAGTAACTCGCAGCAAGAAGAATGCAAATTTGCCGTCCGAAAACGACAGGTTCTTGAGATGTTGCGCCGACATCGCGAACGCCCTCATCGAAGATCATGAAGCCGCTCAAAACGGCCGTCCGCAAAAGGACATCAATCTCAACAGCCTTCGATCCAAGTTTGCGAAGAAACACAAAATCAACAACGTTCCCCCACTAACCGCTATTATCGCCGCTGTCCCCGAACATTACAAGAAGTACATATTGCCCAGACTCATCGCCAAGCCCATCAGAACCTCGTCGGGTATCGCTGTAGTGGCTGTCATGTGCAAGCCCCATCGATGCCCCCATATTGCGTATACCGGCAATATTTGCGTCTACTGCCCCGGTGGTCCAGACTCCGACTTCGAATACAGCACACAGTCATACACGGGATATGAGCCGACATCTATGAGAGCCATCCGGGCTCGTTACGACCCCTTCGAGCAGGCGAGAGGACGAGTTGATCAGCTAAAGTCATTGGGCCACTCGGTCGACAAGGTCGAATACATCATCATGGGCGGCACTTTTATGTCGCTCCCTGAATCATACAGAGACGAGTTTATTTCCCAGCTACACAACGCCCTGAGCGGTTACGGAACCTTGAACGTGGACGAGGCTGTGAGGTCGGGAGAACAGAGCAACATCAAGTGCGTGGGTATCACGATAGAGACTAGACCGGATTACTGTCTTCAGCCCCATCTTTCGAGCATGCTGCGCTACGGCTGCACCCGTCTCGAAATTGGTGTTCAATCCCTTTACGAAGATGTTGCCCGCGATACCAACCGTGGCCACACCGTTGCTTCCGTCGCCGAGACCTTTTGCCTCGCCAAGGATGCTGGTTTCAAGGTGGTCAGCCACATGATGCCTGACCTTCCGAACGTCGGCATGGAGAGAGATCTTGACCAGTTCCGGGAGTACTTTGAGAACCCAGCTTTTCGTACCGATGGTCTCAAGATTTATCCTACCCTTGTCATCCGTGGAACGGGCCTTTACGAGTTGTGGAGGACAGGCAGGTATCAAAACTACACACCCAACGGATTGATCGACCTCGTGGCAAGGATAATGGCCCTCGTTCCCCCTTGGACTCGCATCTACCGCGTCCAGCGTGATATCCCCATGCCGCTGGTGACGTCCGGTGTCGAGAATGGTAATCTGCGTGAGCTGGCTTTGGCGCGTATGAAGGACTTTGGAACCACCTGCCGCGATGTGCGCACCCGTGAAGTTGGTGTTAACGAGGTCAAGAACAAGATCAGGCCGAATCAGATCGAGCTCGTCCGTCGCGACTACACCGCCAACGGCGGCTGGGAGACTTTCCTGGCCTACGAGGACCCCAAGCAGGACATCTTGGTCGGTCTGCTCCGCCTGCGCAAGTGTTCGGAAAAATACACGTTCCGTGAGGAGTTGGTTGGGCAGCCCACCAGTCTGGTCCGCGAGTTGCACGTTTACGGCATGGCTGTACCTTTGCACGTCAGAGACCCGAGGAAATTCCAGCATCAAGGTTTCGGTACGCTCCTCATGGAGGAGGCCGAGAGGATTGCCAGAGACGAGCACGGAAGTGTGAAGATCAGCGTTATTTCTGGTGTCGGTGTGCGTAGCTACTACAGGAAACTCGGGTATTGGCTCGATGGGCCTTACATGTCCAAGTGGCTCGATGGCAGGCCTGGACCTGAGGAGTAGGTCTAGTGCTTTTCTGTGGGTGGATCAACAAAACGGACATGAGGGCGTTGGGCTTCTGCTTTGATTCAAACGGTCAGGCGCAATGGGTTGCATTACGACGAAAAAGGCGTTTGAGGTATGGTGTGCGGTTTTGGAGACTGATGACCCTTTGGGTCAATGGCAGATACACATGACCTTGTTCTCGGACACAGACATATGCTGCACAGTTTCTTCCCGGCTTATTGTCTCATTTTCTCTCACAAGTGCAGTCATGTGTTGGTTTCACAACGCAAGCACGCTTTGAAAGCGTCTTCCCTGCGAAAGCCTGCGTGCGTGAATCACACTTCATCATTGTAAATGTTTGAGATACCGTGTCCATCCTTAGCAATGTTGATGTCCCGAGTCTGGCATTGCACGCCTGGAACCGTGACAGTAGATCTCACATTCTTCGAGTTCTTCCTTTTTGAGAGAGATCTGGCTAAGCAGTGATAATGTACAGTTCAAACACTTGCTGAGAGGAATCTCAAAGCAGGGATCTAAAATGAAGTTCATCATGTCCAACACAAGACCTCTGCATGGATATAAAAGGTTAGCTTGATACGACGACTATACAAGAAACAGGAAGTAGACAGACGACAGGAGAGCTATTTCCTGTGCAGAAATCAAGTCAGGTTCTTTTCGACACCCACAAGAACCGAGCTAGCGTTTTCAAACATGCAACATGAATTTTGGTAAGATGGACCCAACTCACCTCAACCATCCATCATCTTCAATATTCGGGGCATCAAATTTCCGGTTCCTGAATGGCCCCAGTTTGTACCCCTGGCTTTGCTTTGCTGACCTTCAGCCCCCTTTTTCGGCTGACGCCTTCTTGGACGTTCATTCGTTGAAGCTTGAGGCTCAACAAGAGGAGCTTGTCACGTTCAACGTCTGGTCAGTTCTGTCGTCGATCCCTCCAGAATGACACTCTCCCCGATGGCAGCGCCGACCGTGAATCCCTATTGAGGTTTTCGATGGACTATAGAAGAAGTGCGGTATCTTACAACCAAAATGATGATTTCGTGTTTGGTTTCTGTGGTTGCGCTGGTTTGACGAAAGTCCGGAGGATTTTAGGAATCAGAGGCGGAGGTTGTCCTACCCGATGGACTTGGCACCCCAGATCTTCAACCACAAGATCTTCATAGTCGACCCCGCGTACGAAAGCCCGCTAACATGGGGCGTGACAGCTAATTGTATAGCCGTTGCGCTATTGCGTAAATGGTGTCGACTTGTTACATACGCTTTCGTAGGTAGAGGCAGCTACCCCGCAGCCACAAAGAACCGGTCGACAAGAAGGGGAATGAACTGCAATGGTAGCAGTTACGCATAGGCGCCAAGACGGCGTATAAAGCTCGGGTATATAATCGTGTGCATCGATCCCATCCTGGCCTCTCTTGAACTCGACCCAAACTCTTGCCCATCATGAAGTTACTGGGCCCATCTGTTACCGTCGCTTTGTTGGCTCATGCGATCTACTCCTGGGGGACATATATATACCACAATGCCATCGTCTTCGGCTTCCTTCGTACCAATCCCGTGAGTACTTTTGTTCAAGGAGAGGACATTCAGTACATTCCCGACACTGTTCACTGTGAAGACCTTCACTATCATGCCCCCAGCAAGACCCTCTTTACGGCTTGCGAGGACTATCCCGAGACTCGCTTTCAGTGGTTTCCCCCCTTGACCAACTTCAACGATTCGTCAATCCTTAAAACCTACCATGGTTCTCTGCATGTGATTGACCCCGAAGTAAGTTGAAAAAAAACACCCTGTGTCGACAGTCGTGTGCATAATGGAGTCGTTTACAGCTTCCGCAGACCAAGAAATCCCAGCGCCTTACCGTGGACAACTTCGACGGACCTTTCATCACCCACGGGATCGAGGTTCTCACCAACCCCGAGCAACCGAATGCTGTATACATCTACGCCGTCAACCACCTTCCTAACCCTGAGCCCGTCATAGCCATCCACCCTCCACCGGCAGACGTTCCCAAAGCGCGGTCTCAAATCGAGCTTTTCCACCATGTCATCGGCACCACCACCGCCACTCACCTTCGCTCCATCTGGCATCCTCTGATTCGCACTCCCAACGATCTTGTTGCCACATCCCCCACATCCCTCTATGTGACCAACGACCACCTTTACCGGGACCACGGCCCCATGCGCTTCATGGAAGATATGTACGCCAAAGCTGAATGGACCGACGTCATCTACTTGCAGTTCTCCCTTGAAGCCCCCTCCACTCCCGCCGAAACAGACGCTGTGGCCGGCGTCACCGCCCACGTGGCACTAGACAAGTTCCACAACGCCAACGGCCTAGGCCACGGCCGGTACGAGAACGAGGTAGCCATCGCCAGCGCCGCTTCCGGAGTGCTGAGCATCAGCGAGCTACCATCATCGCCTTTATCAAAGTCGAGCATGATCACTGTGCTCAACCGGATCGAGTTTGACTCCACCATCGACAATCCCTCGTACTTTTCCGACCCCTACGCCGGCACGGCGGACGGCGTCGACCACAGCGGGTTTGTCGTAGCCGGTTTAGGCAAGGCACATACGCTGGCGCAGACGCGCAAGCAGCCGGAGGCCAAGGATCCGGTCATGGTGTGGTTCGCGAAGCCGGTCAAGCAGGAAGAGAACGGGAATGTGATTTGGGAGAAGAGGCTGTTGTTTGAGGATGATGGGACCAGGATTAGGAGCGCGAGCGCGGCGGTTTTGGTGGCTATTGACCCGGAGAAGGAAAGAGGGAAAAGAAAGGCATGGTTGTTCGTTACGGGATTTGTATCGAGTAGTGTGATTGCTGTGAAGGTTGACTTGTGAAGTGAGTGATGAAAGAAGGCGGGAGAGATGTTGGCTGTTGGGCTGTAGATATTCAGGGGCTTGAGCACGAGCCATCAGACCATGATGCTTTGATGGCTCGTGCACGAACAGAAACCTCGATGAATGATACAATCAACTCAAGAATCCACTCGGCGTTATTCAAGCAAATACATCGAGGAAGATGTTTTCGTCAGTAACATATGGTTAGACGAGGGTATTGTACACTAGTGGTTCACAAAATCTAATGGTATAAGTCTTCTCTGAACAGTGCTGACCTAGGAAGATGATCCGGCTTATGTACACAAGTTACCAGATGCTACGTGACCCTAGAAGCCTTCAAGTCTTTTGAAACACCCTTTTTGTTTTCAAGTCTATGAACTCAGAAGACCTCAGCTGAGCATAAGGACACGAGAAGTTCATATAATACTTGTATAGGACGGGTTATACCAAGTAAAGAGAACATTATCTCAAATGGACATGCACACGAAGTCGTCATGCCCCGGAACATCACCATGGATTCCAAGTGTTGTGAAAGCCACCCGACGCTCATTGTTTGGCAGGGGCAGCAGTATTCTCCATCTACTGAACTGCCCGTCCCTCCCTCTTCTCATCATCCAACTCACTCGCCACCATCTCCATATGACCCGTCTCCAAATCGTCCAACTGCTTACCATGCTGCTTTTGGAGGTTCATACCCGCCGGCAGTGCCTTCTCAAACTCTCTACCCCTCTTCTCGGGCCCAAATGCCGTGGTGACCACGATGCCCATTACAATAATCGCAGTAGCAATGCCCATAGTCGGGCCATAGGCCTCGACCAGCTTTCCGGTATGGCTGATGATGTGGATCTTCTCCGACACGGCATTAACAATCTGTGCGGACGGGGACGACACCATGTTGCCGACCTGGTACGTGATTCCGGGAAACGAGGAGCGGAATGCGGGCGGCGCAAGCTCGTTCAGGTGGATTGGGATGACCCCCCAAGCTCCTTGGACGAAGAATTGCATGAAGAAGCCGGTGGCGGACAGCGCGCGCTCGGAATTGGGAAGGATCCATGCGGGGATCAGACAGCCGCTGATGAGCGAGGAAACAATGATGGTCCGCCGGCGGCCAAAGTATTGGCTGAGGTAGCCAATGATGGTACCGCCCACACAAGCGCCGGCCTTCATGATGATACTGGCACGGCTGGCGCCCGAGTTATCCATTTCCTTCGCTCTCAGTACGAAGGTGGTGTAATTGTCCTGGGAGGTGTGGCTGTAGTCTGTTTGTGGTAAGGACAGTTAGAGTGGCTCCGTCGATAGCTGGCTGCAAAGAACCCTGGGGGCGAGACTTACAGTTGAACCAAGTCATCAAAATGCAGCAGTAGACACACATCTTCCACTCTTGGCGAAGCATCACCTTAGTTTCCCTCCAGAACTGGGACGGGTTGGCGTGCGCCTTGCCTTCCTTGCGTGCATCAAGGAACTGCTTGGACTCGGGGAAGAAGCAGCGGATGATGCCAACACCAATGGACAAACCAGCAGCAATCCAAAATACGGTCTTCCAGCTATCGGTATCGCCACCGACCCCAAGATTGGCGCACGCGGCGCACACATAACCAAAGGCGTAACCTTGCTGAAGAATACCTGACATCAAACCGCGGGCGTCGACCGGGCTGTTCTCCAAGGCCATTGCAATTGCGTTACCGTACCTGTAATTAGGGGTTATCAGCATAACCAACCTTATTGACAAGGAGATACTGAGGACGAAGGGGGGAACTTACACTCCACCCATGAACAATCCAAACAAAGCTCTCACACCAAGGAACTGCGAATATGTCGAGCTGTAGATGGTAGCAATCTGCAAGATGCCCAAAACGATCATGTTGACCACCATCGGCCACTTTCTCCCCCATCGATCACCAGCCAGACCAAACGCAGCAGCGCCAATCGACCGAAGCAGCAGCGTCAACGTAATCGCCGTCGACACACTGGTCTTGCTGACTCCATAGTAGGCCGCCAGCTTGACCTGCTGGATGGACAAGGCATGGAAGTCAAAGGCATCGGCACTCCAGGCGCAGAATCCGACCGTAAAGCAGATCCAGTCACGGCCTGAGAGCTGGGCGAGCAAGCTGATGGGGTTCTTCAGAGGCACGGGTTTTGCCCATTCTGTTGCAGTCTCGCCGTACACGTTGGTCACGACGACGCGCTGCTTCCAGATGAAGAGGTCCTTCCATGACTGACGGGCTGTGGGGAGGATGCCCTTGGCGACAGGGTCGGCGGGCTCGTGGGTTGATTCCATGGTTGCGTCTTTGTTGATGAGGGGATGAACGAAGACTTGTATGACAGAGGTGTTGGTACCTGGAATATGTACTCCCACAACGATGCGTGATTTGTATAAAGCCCGATCAAGGTTTCAAGAGTGTGTTGTGAGCCGGGCTTGGAGTAAAATAACGAGATGGATGAAGGTGAAGAAGGGGAACCCAAAAGAAGAGGGGAAAGACATCAATTTGAACCTGTGTCGGGTTCCTGCCGGTAGGGTTCAGCTTTAATATATTCGCAAAGTACAGCATATATACATCTCACATCGTTTTCGTTTTCGGTGTTGGTTGTGTCCACGCTTTTGGAAAAAGAGGGGTTGACTCCTTTTTCTTCGGTTGACTAGCCCGTCTTCAGCGGCAGAGCGGAAGTGCAGTGTTCAACAGTAGATGGTTGAATCTTGATTGACAAAGCTGAGTGAGCCACCATGGATGTGCAGGAAAACCCCCGCATGCCAACACGTTCCTCATGGCTGGTCGGGCATGATCCCATTGCCAGCCACATCAACGATCGAGAGAAATCCGAAGAACAGCCGGGAGCGTACTGTGGTAGATGTCCCAGAAGGGCGGGAATGATATCGAGACACCGATACAATTCTTGCCGTTGGGCAGTCTTGTCCACTCGTTGTCCAAGTAAGCCTCTTCCCTAGGAATTCTCCTCCAACTTTACTTCATCTGGTAGCCCTCTCCATCTTGGCAGCCATCAGCTTGCCTTTCGTCTTCGCGCGATGCCAATCCGGGGAATATATTGGTGAAATGGGGGAGGTCATGTCATTGCTCTTGGTCGATGGAGTGGTTTGCCAAAGAGAAGCTTAGCTTACTCTGACAGTTGCTTGATATCTTTAAAGCTTCGGTACCAAGAAAAGGGCGAGACTTGGCTGTTGATCTAACAAGTGAGGAGAACCTTGCTCGGGCCTGCAGGTGGTACTCACGGCATTCTGGGGAAAGACTAGTAAGACAGGGATAACATGTGCGTGGTTCCCCCTAGTGGTTCCCCAGGCCAACCGACCCAATGGTATATCATGTTTCCTTCGGGGGATCGCTGACATCCAGACCGTTATCCGGGCTCTAAGGGCTGATTGGCTTCTGGATTGCGGGGAAGTGGAAATCTTTTGGAGTTTGGAACTTGTGATTGTGATCCGTTGGGAGATGTGGGAGATCACGCCAGCTCCAGTCTTAACCGCAAGCCAGAGAAGTCCAAAGTCCAAAACTAGCGCTGATCAAGGGAAGACAGAGAGACGAGGGAACCATCTCTCCCAGAATATTCGAGGTTAATTAACTGGGAGAATGTCACCACATGGAGTTTGATACCAATAAGGCTCACTGTGCGTGACAAACGCATCCAAAGACTCAGAATCTCGGAAGATGTGGCACATAGGGCATCGAAAAGCTATGTTGGTGACGATCTTGTCTGCGGGGCCCCAGTTATGGCGGCAAGGCTTTGAAAGAGCGCTACTGCATCAAGCACACAGCAAACATCCAACCGTAGCTTTGGGTGACCCAATCCGACATATGTGTTTCTACAACGTTTCACTGCATCGTGAACGGTGAAACTACCTCAGTCGGCCAGAGGGATGAGGATTTAATCGTACTAGATCCAGCCAATCTGTGGAGAATAATCATAACCAACCGAATAATCCTTTCACCGTTCTTCACGCGTTGAGTTCTTCGTTCGAGATCAACTAGGTTGCCTTTCCAGTCGCTAGTGGGTATGATTCTCGACGTCGGAGAAGATAAGTTCAGAGGAAGAGATGAACGCTGTCACACCAGTTCTCCCGACCAGCTTGTACGTGGATACAGTACAGTCCTGTAGTGGTTCGTTTGTTAGTTCGAGACCTCGGTCATCACCTTGGTCGAACAGGGCTTTATTTTCGGGACTCGGTGTCCAGGTAACATTAACCGTACTCCGTGCGTCTTTGGGTGCTATACGGCATCGTAAGCAGGTGAAACTGTCATTCATTCCACCCAGAGATTGAAGCACCTTCCTCTTTCACCCTGAGCCGCCTATGGTTTAATGATCTTCCCCGCTCCTGTAGAAAGCTTTTCAATGTATCACAAGGACACCTGTAGCCTCTGGTAGGTCTGTACTCATCATCCAACTCTGTAAGCGGTGCCGAATGTGGGTTGAAAATGCAGGATTGCCTCCTCTGCAACTCGGATCAATTCCCAGAAGGAACTCATAGTCTCCTGACGGTAATATGTCGGCATTGAAGGTCGGGCTTGGCGGGTTTACAAGATGACGGTCAAGGACGGCCGTTCCTATGATCTGGAATCCATTTTCCGTGGACAGTGCTCTACCGCCCCATCAACTTGCGGCTCTCGAATAGAACCAGGGTCTTATTACCGCCTCAAGTGACAAGACAAGAAGATATGGTGTGGGGAGGAACCAGTGCCGCCAGAATAACGGAGTTTAAAGGTGTTGCCTGGGTTGTGTAATATATTGATGTGGTAAGGAAGGACAAATTACATATATCTTGTGTTTGCGTACCGTTTGTGAGGACAAGAAATAAATACGCTGGTTTAGTAAGTCTACGTATCTGTAAATCAGACCATAACATCAAGTACATGGAGGCACCAGAACTGGTAAATCCGAAGGTACTTGGGCGAACGTGTAAGCACGAACCGAGAACATCTAGTCCGCATCAGTAGGATCCCTACGCACCGCCAAGCGTCAGTAAGTCAGCGCACCACTCGAGGATTTGAATGAGGGGAAATCTTACCAATCAGTAACCAACTTCTCATCCAACCCATCCAGTTTCTTCATATCCTCCTCGGCCAACTCAAAACCCCCCACATTCGCATTCTCTACCAACCTCTCCTTCTTGGTACTTTTCGGCAGCGTCACGAACCCTTTCTGCACCGACCACCTAACCAACACCTGCGCTGGCGTAACCCCGTACTTCTTTGCCACCGCTGTCAAAACGGGATGCTTCATGCGCATCCCTCTCGCCAGCGGCGCGTATGCCTCGATGACAATACCATACTTCTCGCACGCGGCCCTGATCTCCGTCTGCGTGTTGAACGGATGGCACTCAATCTGATTCACGAGAGGCTTGATTTTAAAAGGTGCTGACATGACCTCGTCGAGATGCTTGACGCCGTAGTTCGAGACGCCCGCCATCTTGACCTCGCCCGCGAGTACCGCATCTTCGACCGCTTTCCAGCTGGTCAACCGGGCTTCACGACCGCCGAGCGGGCTGTGCAGGAGGAACAGGTCAATGTAGCCAAGTCCAGAAGCCTTCACTGACTTGGAGATCGAAGCACGAACGGCGTCGTAATTGGTGCTGTTGTCGCGCAGCTTGCTGGTAAAATGAACGTCTTCACGGGTGAGGCCCGCGGTGTTTTCGGGAGAGGACAGAAAGGAGAGGATGGCTTGGCCGGCTTCGCGTTCGTTGTAGTACCATTGGGCGCTGTCGAAGCCGCGGTAGCCGGCACCGAGAGCCCAGCGCACTGCGCGTGTGGTCTCGGGGCCGGACATCATGTAGAGGCCGAGTTGGATTTGGGGGATGGAGAGGCCATTGGAGAGCTTGGTGGGTGTTAATGAGTTGCGAAGCGAACCTCATGGGGCTTGTGAGGTTGGAGATGAGGGGAGTTCCAGCATGTCTAATCGTACCTTGACTCTGCGGCTCAACATATCTGTCACGGTTTCAGGCATTTTTGACTCTTTTGTTCGGCGGATTTGTTAAGAAAAGTTGGGTAGGTGTTGTCTGCCCTGTGAGGTGAAAATAAGCACACTTATTGTCGGGTTGATGTTGGACTTAATCATCGAAGTCCCCACTCTTCCGGCGGGCGATGACAACATCGCCGGATATATTTCGGTTTTGTCAATTACCGTATCAGTTGGCCAATTAGCGCGCAATTCCTTGCCTTGCCTTGTATTGCAGCGCCCATTGTTTCACTTGTGCTACGTCAGAAAGCTGTCATGCAACTCCACAATGCGAAATAAACCCCGGTAGGGGCTAAGCGTGTTGTGATCGCTTACTGAACTGCACGCTAGGTATTAGACTGACAGAAAAAAAGGTTCGTTGTTGATATCTCATAGCCATAGTATCTCGAGATCAAGTGATACCTGGAATATTCCAAGTCTTGTGAATTTCTCGTTCGCATGCTAGCATTGACACCTAGATATGTTTTCCAATCTGTAAGGCGTCCTTGTCGTATGGTCAGCAAGATGTATACAAGGAGGAGCCGGGATTGTGGAAGGCTACCGTACCTCAAGGCCGACATACCCCTTTCCTCCCACTTGAATTCTGTCCTCTTGAAGCCACCTTTTGTGACCAAATCGATGACGGACGCGACCTGTCCCTTTGAATTTTGACCTAATGTGCACCTGAAACACCCCACGCTAGCCTCTTAGGAGATAAGGTCGGCAACGTTCATGGGCATCTCATCAATCTGGGTCGAGTAGTACACTGTATCACCCGTTAGCAAAAGAAGGCGCTGAGGTTAAATTGTCCAGAACTTACACTCGATATCACGCAAGATGCGGACATCCTCGCTAGTAACGAAGTTGATGGCAACACCCTTGCGACCGAATCTACCCGAACGACCGATCCGATGAATGTAGTTTTCACGGTTGCTGGGAAGATCATAGTTGATAACCAAGCTGACCTGCTGAACATCGATACCGCGGGCCCACACATCGGTCGAGATAAGCACTCTGCTATTGCCCTGTCTAAAGTCCTGCATAATGCTGTCTCTCTCCTTCTGAGGCATATCGCCGTGCATGCTGCTGACAGTGAAGTTGGCTTCGCGCATCTTGTCGGTCAACCAGTCGACCTTCCGGCGGGTGTTGCAGAAAATAACGGCTTGTGTAATAGTTAAAGTGTCGTAGAGATCGCAAAGAGTATCGAACTTCCAGTCCTCCTTCTCCACAGCAATGAAGTACTGCTTCAGACCCTCGAGGGTCAACTCGTCACGCTTGACCAGGATACGAACAGGGTCGGTCATGAACTTGGTGGTCATGTCGAGCACATCATAAGGGAGGGTGGCAGAGACGACAACGACTTGTGTGGCAGGCGGAAGATAGCGGTACACATCGTAGATCTGCTCGCGGAAACCCTGGTTGAGGAGCTCATCGGCTTCATCGAGAACCAGCATCTTGATGTGTCTGGTGCGGAGATGACGGCGGCGAATCATGTCGGCAACACGACCAGGAGTGCCAGAGACAATGTGTTGACCATAGTCGAGCTTGCGAATATCCTCTCCAACGTTGGTGCCACCAATGCAAGCATGGCATTGAACGTTCATGTAATCTCCCAAAGCCATCACGACGCTCTGAATCTGGGTCGCAAGTTCGCGGGTCGGGGAAAGGACGAGGGCCTGGGTCTCGCGCACGGCGGTGTCGATGACCTGAAGCATTGAGATCGAGAAAGTGGCTGTTTTACCGGTACCGGACTGGGCCTGGGCGATGGTATCGCGACCCTTGCAGATCTGAACGATGGCGCGGGACTGGACGGCAGAGGGGGACTCATATCCGTAGGCGTAGATACCGCGAAGGAGGCTCTCTGTTTGAAGAACCGGTTAATTTCAGTCCGATCAACAGAGCCACAGCAACCACGAAATACATGCGATGCGACAAGACCTACCCTTCAAGGACATCGACTCGAAAGTCGGATGAACCGTTACCTCCTTGGAGGTGGAGAACTGAATCTTTTCATCGGCCTTGCGATCGATTCCGCCGTCAGCCATGTTGGGCGATTCTGTCGATAAATTGGATATGTTTCTGAGGTGTGTCAGGACCGAGGATGCGATGTTGTGGTTGCGGATATTGACGATGCGGTTCGACCGGAGTGTTGACTTCGTTATTGGAAATTATTTGCACCCGAGACAAAAACAGCCCACTGTACCGAAAGCGCGACAGTGATTGACGATGGATATGCGATGTCGACGTGTGGCGGCACTGGAGTGGAGCTTTCCCGTTGTCAAAAAAAGTTGCCAAGATGACAAGCCCTCAGCTCGGCAGAATGTCGGCCAACCTTATTTAATGGAACGACGGGGGATCTGTAACAGGGCAGTTGGTGGATTGCGCCAAGAAGCTGCCGGGAGTTCTTTGCCTGCCGCGACGTGTTTCCCTGCTGTTCTTTCTGGACTTCGTACACGGAAGCAATTGGTGGCGCCGAAAAAGCACGTTTCAACAACCTCTGTTCTAGAAATCATCCTAGTTTTCCAATTCACAATTCTGCATCCCGACACGACAAGTCCGGCTCTTCTTCGCGCATTTTCACTTCTTATTGAATAGGGGGATCCGCGGGTGTCACATTGGTCAACATGTTGATAGAAGAGCAGAGATACATCCACGAGGATCTCGAACGCCTCGAGCAGGGTATCGCGGACCGTTTGCGCGACGAGCCAAAACAGGCATGTTTCCTCCACGCGAAGTTTCTCCTAGGACCCTCTGTGCTGACACATCCGTAGATTCATGAACGTCTTAATCGTGACCATGAGGTGTCCCAACTCCTCGACCAGATCCAACACCAGTCCCGTGAGCTTCTTCCCCTATACGAGGACAAGTCTGGAGTGCGCTCCAAGGAAATCCTGCAGATTGGCAGTGGTGACCCCTTCGAGGAATTCTACAAACAAGTAGCCAGTATCAAGGAACATCACTCGCGGTACCCAAATGAGCAAGCCGAGAACTCGGAAAACTGGTACCGGCCGCGGAAGCAGGGCGACGATCAGCCATTTTTGGTGGAAAGCATGTTCTCAGGCGAAGAGGCATACGGCCGTTTCTTCGATTTGCACGCCAGCCACGAATCCTACCTCAACCTTCCCAACGTGAAGCGACTCCCGTATATGCAGTATCTTGAAGTTTTTGACAACTTCCAACCCGGTTATGGTGGAGTCAAGCGGGCCGACAAGTTGACCGACCAATATTTCAAGTACCTCGGCGAGTTGATGGAGTATCTGGAATCCTTCATTCGACGTACGCGACCACTCGAAAATCTCGAAAAGCTGTTTGGTGGCTGGGACAAGGAATTCGATTCGGCTTGGGAAAAGGACGAAATTGAAGGTTGGCGCAAGGAGAAGCTGGCGGCCAAGGGCTCTGCGACAGACCGGACTCTGAGCAGCGCTGACGCGGTTTGGTGCGAGGCATGCGAGAAGGAGTTCAAGAACGAAAACGTTTACAAGAACCATCTTTCCGGCAGGAAGCACATTAAGGCCGCTGAGGTGTTGGCGGCGATTCACGGAGAGTCGGCCAATGGTACATCAAACGGCACGGTTGCCCCGCTAGCGCATCGCCTCAAGGAACGGGCGGTCGCTGAGAGGGAGTACCGCATCAAGAAGCTTGCCGGCGCTATGAAGACGGAGCGGGACGACACAAGAGTGAACGTTGAACGTAGGCAGGGCATGACGGAGCGTGAGCGGCAACAAGAGTTGGAGAATCTCTACAACACCACGTTCAGAAGGCAGGCTAAGGAGGCTGAGGAAGACGAGGATGATGGCGGAGATGATAAGATCTACAACCCGCTCAAGCTACCACTGGCTTGGGACGGAAAGCCGATTCCCTTCTGGCTTTACAGGTTGCATGGTCTGGGCCAAGAGTTTCCCTGCGAGATTTGTGGCAACTTTGTCTACCGCGGCCGGCGTGCTTTTGATAAGCACTTCAACGAGACAAATCACATCACCAACCTGAAGCGTCTGGGCATCACAAACACACATCTGTTCCGAGACATCACGTCTATAGAGGAGGCGGTGAGGCTCTGGAACAAGATTCAAGGTGACTCGAGAAAGACCAACGTCGATGAGGGCTCGATCGTGCAGATGGAGGACGCTGAGGGTAATGTCATGCCAGAGAAGGTATATCTTGATCTGCAGAAGCAGGGTCTGCTTTGAGAGGTGTTAGAAGATGGATGAGATAGGTAGAGGATTTTATGCTTGATAAAGATCACAACCGCCCATTGAGCCGATAATATAATACCCAAAAGTTCTTCCGTTCACAATAGAGCTACGAATTCGGACTATTACAAGAATAAATAGACAGTGAGGTTGTTCGACATTTCATCCTGTAAACCAGCAGAGCAGCCAAGGGCTTAGAAAGCTTGGGCCCACTAAGTGGGGTATAGCGAGGTCAAGGGCGTGAAATAATTGGGCAGCCATTCCGGGTACTGCGGCCATGAATAAACAATATCCTGTAAACAAAGACGACAACTTCACTTCTTCACTGTTACCAATTTTTATCACATTACAAACTGGGTTAAATACCACAATCGCCTAATGGGTGCAATCAACGAATGTTCGGTACTTCTTGGCGACTGTCCTGACTGACGCGACACTCGGTTCACATCTAAGTCATCATCGAGCAAATCGTCCACCGGGAAATCCGCAAAAAAAGAAACAAGGTCTTGACCGCAAATGACAACAAACCAAACGTCACGACAACATCACCTATAGAAAACAATTTCACTTCCCTCCCAAGAGGGAAAAACAGAAACGATGTCAACCACCACCCAAATCCAACCCAAACCCATTCCCGCCCTCTACACAGTCTACATCCTCCGCTCCCAGCCCCGACACGCTTCCCTCTACATCGGCTCCACGCCTCACCCACCCCGGCGCCTCTCACAACACAACGGGCTCGCCAAGGGTGGCGCCTATCGCACTTCAAAGATATCCCTTCGGCCATGGAACATGGTCTGTCTGGTCTCCGGTTTTCCGAGCATGATCGCCGCGCTGAAATTTGAGTGGGCGCTGAATAACCCACACAAGTCGCTGCATATCCCTGCCGAAAAAAGAGCCGAGGCAGTGAAGGGATTGGGGAGGAGGAAGACGGGACACCTGAAAAGGCCGAGGAAGAGTTTGGTGGGGGTGATGGAGGCTTTGAGGATGTTGGTGGGCGTGAGGAGCTTTGGGAGGTGGCCTTTGAGGGTGCATTTCTTTGAGGAGGATGTTTGGAGGGTTTGGGAGAGAGGTGGTGGGAAGGGTAAGAGTGGCGGAGGAGGGGTGGGAGACTTGAAGGTAGAGGTGGTTACGGACTTTGGCAGTCCGACAGCGCCACAAGGGGCGGGCGTAGTTGTGGTGGGGGAAGAAGCTGAGAATGACCCGCACGATGACGACGACGGCGACGACGCGCAAGATGAGAACAAACATGGGATCTATGCTTTACCGCTCGATTACGCGCCGATAAAAGAGTACGTAGCCAAGGGTCAGGAGATTTGGGAGTTTGAGAGGCAGGGGAGCTGTGTGGTGTGTAAGGAAGCTATGGTGGCGGGACGGGGGTTATATGCGATCTGCCCGTTGACAAGCTGTGAGGCTGTAGGACACCTTGACTGTTGGAGCCGGTGTCTCCTGAAGCAAGAAACAAGAAGGATGAAGATCGATAGAGGGGATGAGATACTTCCAGTGAAGGGAGAGTGTCCAAAGTGTCACGGCGAGGTTCTTTGGGGAGATATGATGAAGGAGTTGACATTAAGGATCAGGGGGCAGGCGGAGGTGGAGAAGTTGCTGAAGAAGAAGAGGCGACGGGCAGCGAAGGGCAAGGAGAAGGGCAAAGGGAAGGTTGCTGATGAGAAAGGGAACAATGCTGAGGAGAGTAATACAAAAGGGAATCGAAAGGTGAAGACGACGCCTCAGAAGGTCGTGGAGGATAGCGAAGACAGCGAGTTTCTCGATATCGCGTGCCTTCAGTAGGCGAAAGAATCCAGACTTTAGAGAGCTGGCTCTAATTGCTGGCCCAAGCACGATAGTATGCTCTTGTTGATTTATCCTTGATCTCTGGGACTCCAAGTCTCATGCGTGCCGTGACACAATCAAGTTGGTCGACTCAAAGCATCAGGCCAGCCAACAGAAACAGCTAGGGAAACCACAGATGTGATTGGACTCATTGGGAAGAGGCTCGGAGGGTTGAAAGAGAGCCTGTGCCGGTTGCGGTTTCACGTGTCTGCTGAGTCATTCAGATCTGCCCCGCCAACGCAGCGAAATCGCCCCAGTCTGATGGCCTTGGCATTTCTCTTCAACGTCGAGTCTTTTCTAATTGGCGGGCGATGCGACTACTGACGGCCATACCCCTGTCAATATCAGGGCCCTTCTTTCGGTTCAACCGGTGCTTAGATTTCCCGGGTCCATCGAGTCCCTCTTTTCTCTTTCATGGAACATGATGGGATGTGGTCTCCAAGGATTTTATGACTCCGACTGAACCCCGAGTCGGACTGCCACCTGGAACTGCCATGCACATTTGGCCGCTTGCGGTATTCCAATTGTCGCATTGCCCTATGGCTTTCCCCCAGATTCAGGATATTGTAACAACCTGCAGACTCATACATTTGTGATCATTTGAACAGTTGCGATTTTGGGAGGACTGATGATCGCGCGTCTAGTGATTTTCTTTGCTGGCCACGGGCGACCCAATCGATCGAAACTTGCGAGAACCCAAAAACTTCGGACCATTTTTGGTCGTTCAGGTGTGGTGATTCATGTTTCGAAATGCGCGGAGCAGTGGAAAGCACAAGTATTTGTTTCCGGATGCATACAAGCTAACCACCCTCCGCTCTTTTATTCCATTGATTCCTTTCTCATGCTCCAGCCCGATGACAGTGATGTTTCAAAACGAATTATATCTATCCTTCCTCAAACCATACTGTTCGGTCATGCATTAGAGTCCTGATGGCACATTGATGCCCATACCGCAGCTCGGACCTTCACCCCTGCCAATATCTCGACCACTGGAGGGGCGGATCAAGCACAACACAGTTTGCAGGAGTACACTGTGTTTGCGGCGGATGGACAAGACTTGCCCAGTGTGTGAGAAGGAGTACCCCGAACTTTCCAGAGAAAATGGGAGAAAGGAAAACTAAGTTGATTTACGACTCATCGACACCTACCTAGGGTAGGTGTACGGTTGATATGTTGGCACATTTGAGTTTCCCGTCAATGAAGAACGCACCTCCCCGGCCAGTCTACGCAGGAACAAAAGATAGAAGGCGAAAAGGCTGTCGATATTGACCTCAGCCGCACGTACTTCAACATAGGAAGCGCGCGCACTTTCTCTCGATTGGTACGAGGTTGGTTGTAGTAGATGGTTTGATGTATCAGGTGCGACTTTGTTTCGTTATTCAAGAGGAGTCGATCCATCGATGATGACATTGAAAATCGAAGATACAGAGGTACGGAACTTGACCTAGAAGGGTCTAGTGGAGATCCACCAGATGCCGGAGGACCGCGACTGAACTCGAAGGGCGGGCGGCATCATGTCTGGCGTCGCTGCTACCATGACCGCGCTGCAGAGTTGCGCCCTCCCCATTTCGTCCCGACAGCTACCGCAACGCCGCTTGCCTTTGGTCCTTGTTGGATTTGAACGTCTTCCGTGTCCCGCAGCCCGTCAAACCAGCCTCAACCTGTACAAGTGGAATGGGCCCACTATGTAGTAACATGCCCCTGCCCTCTTTCTGATAACCCAATTCCCATCTACACACACTACACAACCCTCAAAAACTGTATACCTCTACACCACTTTCAGATCTGGGACTGGGGAGCTACTACTATCAATCAGTTCACTGGTCTTGGGCGTCCACACACCTCATCCTCACACCACATTTTATCGATTCACCATTCACATCGTCCCGTGCTGTCCAGGTCCCGGTCATTCTTCCACCTTCACTTCCACTTCTTGCTCCCTTCCGGTCTCCGCCTGGTCCTGGCCTCCATCTCCATCTCCATTTCTCTCTCTTTCTCTCCGTCCAGTCTGCACTCCCGTTTTCAACGCCATAACAATTTTGGAACAATCTGCCAGGCTTTCTGCTCGGCCAACCCTTCCGCCTTTCCGGGTCAATCCACTCATTCTCACAATCACCAACCGGCAGCCTCACTACGAACGCGTCCAGTTGTCCAACCCCGTACTGCAACCTTGATTAGTTCAGACGACAAACCCCCAGGTGGTCACCGACGGATCCCGGACCACATTGCCTTTTCCAGCTACAAATCAGGCTGCTTCTGCTGTCATTCACGGTATCTACACACGGAGTGTCTGTACAAACAGCCAACCCTAACACGGTAGACCGAGGTAGTGGAGGAACTCGGACGAGGTTCGATCTGCATTTCCTTTCTGCGACACATACACGCACGAACGATATACCTACCCTTTTAGTCGCCTTCTGGCCCTCAATTTTCAGCTTCTCAAGGCTCGCTCCCTGGGAAACATACGCTCAACCTGTCCGCCACAGTTCTTCGTCTGCGCAAACCCTGCACTTACTAAAAGCAGCAGCGCAGAACCGGATACCGCATCCCCAATTTACGCACAACTCCCTGTAGCGCCATATCATTTCGCGGTCCTGCGCTGTCGACGGTTCTTCCCCAAACCAGCCCTCAGCCTTGTATCCTACGATGCGTCCGATATTTCGATAAGACAGAGACCTCCGATTTCGTACACACCAATACGTTACAGCTGCGTCTCGACCCACCCACCACCGATCTTCGCCTGTGTGATTATCAATTCGCCCTCCAAAGATAGCCTCCACTCGCCATGGTGTCCACCCCGTCTGGAGGCGGGTCTGTTGCTGTGGCGGCTGCCGGAACGTCGAGCAACAATGCAAGCGCGCGAGCCTCCCCTACCGTTACCTCCCATTCCAGCAACGGCAAGTCCAAGACAGCGCCAGTCAACTCGAACGGCTACCATCCTCCGAAATCCCAGATCCCGCTGAGCTTCATGAAGAGCGAACCTCTCGATTTGAATTCGGTGGAGCGACGCGGCCAGCCTACCGCGTGCAAGGAACCTTCAAAGAAGAAGAACCGACCTCACGGTCTTGAAGAGGCACCATCCTATTGCCCAACTGAGGAGGAGTGGAAAGAGCCTTTCGAGTACATTCGCAAAATCACACCAGAGGCCAGCAAATTTGGTATCTGCAAAATAATCCCGCCCGAGTCATGGAACCCCGATTTTGCAATTGACACCGAGGTACGCTCGCTCGCCCGTCAACAGCCGTGATGCTATTTGCAACTACGCACTCTTTCAGAGCACAGATTCTA